AAAACTTATATCATCACATGAAATGATATTTTCATAGGCATCTCTATCTTCACCCCTTTTTCCCCGCTTATAAAAAAAAGTTGTCACTCACTGCCATGATGATCTTGATGATACAAAAAAAGAGGTTGCCCTAATAGTAAATTGTGATTGTCGAATTTGGACTTCGAAAAAACATAAAATAATTGTTAAAATGTACGAATTAGGAACCTATTTTGTTCCGTTTAAAAGAAAAGTTATGTAAAATGCATGTAATAAAGTTATGAGGAAGTATTGGCATCCGAATTTTGTTCAACTCTATGAAACTCTCATATTAATGCTGTTAAATACAGAATATGCAACATGAAAAACCACAAATTTTTTTAAAAGTTACTAATATAAGTTGATAAAAAACTTGTATGAAACTGAGTGAAATTTTTTCAGTTAAAAAGAACAAAAAGGGCTCCCTAACTAAGATATTTCAATTGTTTTTCAAGAGTTTTTGTCAGAAATTTACAAGTTCTTAACTCAGAGGGGTTTTTTTCTTCTTTTTTTTTCTTTTCCAACAGCCAGTGGCACGAGATAATGGGCTCCTCTTTCTAAAGGTTTGGTTGAACTTTTGCAGTAATATTTTAACAACAAAGGTGTTTAATATTTTTCTTGTCACCAATAAATTATTATGTTAAATTCATGGCAGTGTTTATGTTAACTTGATTTTTCCTCCTCTCAAGCTCAGTCAGAGGAAAAGAGGAGATGTAAAATCCAAAACTTTGTGACGCAAAAAAAAGGAATGGTGTGAATCTCAAGTCCTGATATGAAAGACTCATTCCATTGGCTACCTCATTAGTGTTAGATTGCAATGAATCAAACTAGTTAATATTTATGTGGTTCTCTCTATTCATTGTTAACTACAAGTCTAGTTTTATTTGTGAACTACCTCATTTGTTTCGTTAGATTCATTGTTGTTAATTTATTTATTTGTCCATTACTACATTCACTCTTTTGTGTAGCTTTTTTCAGTTCAATACTCAATTTTCGAATGATGCATTTGTTTGTAGTTTTATTCTGGCTCAAAGGCAAATCAGCAATTCATCGGTGTTTGTCTCTTTAAAATTATCGTTCTGTTTCTAGTTCATTTTTCTGTTTTTAATTTATGACTCTTTTCATATTCATATTCTAGCTTTCGCATGCTCTCTAGTTGTGTTAATTCAAGTAGCAACAGCTTAGACCTCAACTTCCAAGCAGCAAATTGTACCAGCAGATCCTTTTTTTTTTTATTTTATTATTATCATTATCATTGGAGCATTGAGTTAATTTTTTAACATTTTGGTGAATTATTTTCTATTTTGGCATAACATATTATTTTCACTCTACAATTCAATGTCTGAGTCAAATATAAAGCCTTTAATTTGAATGAATAAAAGCCAATCATATATTTGCTGCATCTCTTTAGTTGATTGATTATTTAAAATCTTACCGAGTTACGTAATTGACTTTTTGAATGTGCTGTAGATTATGAAGAAAGTACCTACAAAATTTCAAGTCTCAGTGTTGCTTACCCTAGTATTTTAAAATTTTAAACATCAAAGAAAACTAGGCAATGTGTGATGTAGTTTGGCTGATTCCGAATTACTTGCTCCATTTCATCCTTCGCTCAAAAGTGTTAAATTTCTTTGCAAAGCTTCATTTTATCAGTAACTATATTAATAATGCAGAACTGAAACGATCTTTTAAAATCCAGATATCTCTTGCAGTACAAATGTCTCATTTAGGCCTTCATTGTCACTCCAATCAGTTTAAGCTCAGAGTTTAACAATTTAAAAAACGAAGTGTTCTGATTTATATCAAAAAATTTATCGTATCGTCCTCAAGTACAAATACTTTTAGGATTAATGTTAGGTGATGTATTATAAGTACTTATAAGGTATGAATTAATGCTTACAAGTAGAATTTTAACTCGTAAGTCTGTAAATATACGTTGATGAAGCTGCCCAAGTCTTATGATAATAATTGTGTAATTTTTTAATTGACATTTGAACTTGTTGCTTTTTTTTAAGGGAGCCGTCTGTTTTCAGATGAGTCCTCATGAAAACAATAAAGTTCTGCCGCTTATCCAAAAACAGACTCAATCCCTTGAAGAAACAACCCGTTTATATTATCGAAGTCTGATTCAATCAAAATTGATTCATATTGTGATATATTTTACTCTCTCTAAAAACAGACCTATGTTTCTTTTTCTTCTAAAGTCTCCCATTTAATGAAGGTGAAAGTTGCAAAACTTATATCTGGAATGCGTTTTTCAAAATCTTTCTTGCTACTTTATTTATCTCATCCATTTAATTTATTTGAATGTGGACTATCAGGAAAAATAAGTTAACGAATGCATATCTCTCCTTCAAATTACTGAATATATCTCCACTTTTTAGTCTTCAAAAGGTTCATTTTGCAGCTAGCATCAGTTGTGATTTTACAAGGCCCTTAAAAAAATAGATGAAGGCTGAGTGGTTTTTTTCATCGAGAAAACTGCATCCAACCAAGCTTATCATCTGCTGCTATACTTTCATGTCATATTGAAACGTATTTCAGAGTCTCTTAAAATGCCATAAAACTAGTCATTAATTTTGTGTCATAAGCTGTGCCATATTTGTCTTGTTATGAAGTGCTCAGATTATGAACTTTCCTCTTCGAGAGGGAATGCACACTCACCTTAAACATTGCAGGGACTAAATTTATTCTCAGGGAATTGTCTTTCATTTAAGTAGTTGTTAAAAGTCTTGTAATTTTTTTCAGTTTAAATGTTTTGGACTAAGTTGCACTTCTGTTTTTCTTCCCTTATCTTTGTACAAAATTCCTTCAGTTGTATAACTTAATCTTCCTCTGAAAGTTAACAGCGTACAAGTTGGCAGTTTTTTTACTTGTAGCTTAAATTAATTGTATAACTCACCGGAAGGTTCCACCTTTTTTTTTTTTGATCCTTCAGTAACTGATCTTTTTTAAATTTCTTTAGTTCACGTCACTAGAATTGGGCAGCTTTTGTGTTATGTAGGTAATAGCGAATTGTTATTAGCATTGAATCTAGGCTTGATGTAACACACTTGATCGTTGCTTCAGAATTGGAGGTCTTATTTGTAAATTTCACCGGTGAAACTGACTGAACGTTTTGAAAGTGAGTTCATTTTATGTTAGTTGAGATTATTTTTCTCGTCTTCTTATTAATTTGAAACTCATCTTAATATTCTTCAATTTGGCAAACATGTGTTGTAAGTACTACCTTTCTATTATTCAAAAAATAAGCAACTGTCTCAAAATTTCTTTTGTTTTTATAAATCCTCATAGTTGAATAGTTAGTTTGATCAGTAAATTTGCTTATATGACCTGGAGCTAGTACCAGTACCTGTTTCATTCTGATTTTTTTTATTATTATTATTAGGTAGAAACAGGCATTCATTTTGAATTTTTTTCTTATTACCTATTTGTTTTTGTTTCTAAGTAGGGCCTCCTCCCGTTAGTGGAAAAATTTAAGAAATCAAAATGATGAAAAAAAATTTTGGTGCATTTAGCTACTACTTATTTGTTTGCAAGATACTTATTGTTTCTGATGTATGCTCTCTTTTTTATCTGACTTTGTTTTTTGTAAAATACTCAGCGTATCAAAAAAACACTCTGGTCATGCTTAAAAAAATACCTCATGCAATTTTACCAGTGTTTGTAACTTTTAAACTGGTTGTCAGTTGAATATTTGTGTCTCAACTTAATTTAATTTTTGTTTTTGTTTAAAAAAAATGTTTTTTATCATTTTTTAAGTGCATTTAAATTATTATATGAATTTTTATGAAAAATAATTCTAGAATGTTATTATATTTTTACTTTACTCTTTTTAAGATCTGCTTTATTGCTGTATTTTTCTGTAATAAACAAATACATGAGAACTGTTCAATCTAATGACTTTTTATAGAATCCATTTCACTGGTTTTAATGATACTGGAGGAATATGAAAAAATAAAAATAAAAAAAGGATAAATAAATGAATTGGTTACATTACATTTTTGATGATGGTTTGATCTTCTGAAATTTTACCTTGAATAGCAACCTATAAATCAATATTGAAAATAATCAGGTTGGCCACAGGAGGCTCAGGAAGTTTATAATACCACTACACAAGTCGGTTTTATATTTAAACAAACAAAACAAAAAAATTCTACACTTTGAATACAAACACTCACTTGCATAAAATAAATGAAATTTCAATTAATTCCAATTTATTTTAGGCAAGTAGTGTCCATGTCAAATAAAATAAGTTTAAGCACCTTTAGACTGCGACAGAAGATCGTCGGACATCATTCTTGCATGGCAAGTAAATGCAAGAATCAAGGCAAATCTTCTGTTGCAGTCTAAAAAAACATAAACGTAGTCGGAAAGGACTCTAAGTGTACTTAAATCATTAACTGCTTCCATCCAATTTTGACGTAGCTCACAGAAGTTACACATAAACTCTGTGTAGCAAAGCAGAAGGCTCCTCGCTTGAAATTTATTTTGCTCCACCCAGGGGATGGCCGAATTTGGAAACCTCAGGCGGTAAAATTGTTGCACGTGAAAAATCACCGTCAACGTTAACCCCATTATTGTTTATGCGTCGTCACTCATTATCTGATCAATCGCATTTACTCACGAGTTCACGCTGCCTCACTAGTAATCAGGTTCCTAAATGATACAACTATTCGGCCTCTGAAGCCACGCTAGGAAGTATCTTTCCCCAGATTGAAGGCGTTTTTTTCGGCCTCCGCGGTCACGTTACTCACGTTAGGAAGTATCCGCTCGCAATGAAGGCGTTTCTTAATGCGTCGTCCCTCACTATCTGAAGCTATCGCATTTACTCTTCAGCTCTCGTTGCTACCTAACGCATTTTTGTAGTTTCACCGTCCATACATTTTGTACTATAACTGTTCGAATCTGAGTTTTCCGTTGCAGAGGTTAAGGTCCGTTTTATCGTCAACGGGTACACGTCGTAATTAGAATAGGAAGCATTTTCTAATAAAAATGACCAATACTTTATTAAAATATATAACAACTGTAGAGCAACCTAGCTTAAGTATACTTAACGATAAATATCACAGTTTTTAATTGACAAAAAACCCACATTATGCACTCTCACAGGAGTACTGTTTTTTATTTATTCCTGGGATGTAGGTGGGTTTGTGCAATATGGCGGAATATTCCTGCAAAATCCAAAATTCGAAGTATGAAAAACGAACCAGAAGTATAAACGTCCGTTGTTCTGCCTCAATCGGTCTGCCACACAGTGGATCAAGTCAATAGGAGAGGTCGGACAAAATTTGGAAACTCCCTCATTTTCCCCCTTGAATTAAGATGGACTTTCACTTTGAGCCCGCTGCCGTTGCGACTTCCCAACGGAGAATTTCTCCCTCTTGTCGTGATTTTTGGTGAAATACGTCTCGATCTGCTCCAATGTTTTCCCCTCCGTCTCCGGTAAGTAAAAGTAGTGATAGATAACTCCAGCCATGGTGCATACTCCGTAAAGGTACATCACGCCACTGAATCCCAGCCACGCCTCCATGTACAGGTACGTCTTGGTCAAGACGGACATAAAAAAATGAGTCCAAGCGGCTGCAAGGCCCGTAGCTGTACCTCGGCCCCTAAAAGAAAAACCAAGAAACAGGAAGGTGAGATTCAGTCATTCATCGGTGTGCGAATTTTCAAACAATCACAGCACCCACGTAAAATCATGCTACATAGCTTGAAAGGCCAATGTACAAGCTCTATAATATAAAAGCATAAGAGTAATGCATGGCGGCTGAGGCGCAAAGCGCTTTGAAAGGTTGACCTGCGAGGCGGTTAGGAGGTTCAGCCCTCCAGTACTGCTTGACTTTCGTCAAACTTTGCATACAAAATTAAGTTCCGAACCCGCAAAATACTCTAGGAGGAGTCCCTCAACACTTGAACATTATCTTCTCTATTCACATAAAATCATTTTCAAGACGCTCGATAGACGAGGTGAGGAAGGGGAGTAAGAATAGTAAGTAGCGCCCCGGAGGTTGGGCCGCGTAGTGGTAAAGGGGCGGACCCAGGCCCGCCACAAGGGGGGGGGGACACTGGGTCCCTGGTATCGGGGCCCGTCTTACCCGTGAAAAACCACTACGAATTCACATGCAACCCTTGTTTCTTAAGAAAAAGAAAATGAGAAGAATGAGAAGAAAATTCGTAAGAAAAATTTACCCTAAAAATTTCTCAAAAGGTGAATAGATTTTCAGAAACACGCTGGGGCACTGTAGAATTCTTCTTAAATTTTCAAAGAAGTATACTAAGATTTTCAGTACAGAGGGATATTTTTAACCAACATTTGTAAATACAATTCTAGCTGAAGCGCACTTAAGCGCAGTCATGACTGCAAAAATGTTAACGGAAATCGAAAAGGCCAGCGTGCATGAAGGCTATTTCAATTGTAATCTTCCGTCGCATTTCTAAGGCGCAGTGATACAACTATTTGAACTCTCCGGAATGCGTGAGGTATCACGCCGCATTTGAGGGCGTTTTCAAAACAGCCAAGTTCCGATACCCGGATTATCGTTTTGCATAGTTCATATTCTTTTGTTGTATTCTGTACCACTCGTTTATTTTTAATCCTCGTAGAAAAACCACCCATTTGCTAAATACAATTCTACCTGGAGCGCACTTCAGCTATGCATTCACCACTCCAAAAATGTCAAAGGAATACGACAAGCCCAGCGTGCATGAAGGCAGGCCCGCCACAAGGGGGAAAAAGGAACCACTAGCATTGCAAAGATGCTAAGATTGTGCAACTTCATCTTTTGCGATAAAATTGCGGAAATCGTGAAAAACTATGAAATTTAGATGGTAATTTTTGTCTTTTTACAGTTTTCAGCGAGTAAAATAGAAACTATTAATGGGTAATCGGGGGTTTCCTCCAAGACAAAAGAAGTTGCACAATCTTAGCAACATTGCAATGCTAGTGGTTCCTTTTTGCAAAATGCAATCCAATTAGATATAACTATGTCCACAAATACATGTTAAAGAAAGAATCAGACGTCAAATTTAAAAAAATAAGAAATGTAGTGTCTACATAGTATCGGATACGAAAGACCTATCGGGCCTCGTTTTTTGATTTTTCTCTCGAATTTAAGTGATACCAGAATGGAAGCATAGAACAGAGCATTGCGAGTTCACGCCTCGCGCCCTCGCGCCTTCAATTTTGCAAGTGCAAAGCAGACATCCATCAAGTACGAATAGTTGTATCTCCGCGCCGTCATAAGCATGCGTTATTTTCCACGCTCTCTTTCTGTTGTTTTGGTTCCGTTATAGTCTTATTTGTAGTGGTGCCTCAAGGGTTACGTGAAAAACACAGCCGAAGATAGGAGAGACGTAATCGGGCCTCCTTTTTTAACGTTTCTTCCGAATCTGAGCGAAACAACTTTAGCAGCATAGAGCGGAACATTGCGAGTTCACGCGAAGCCGCCATCGCGCTTTCAATTTTGCAGATTGAATACGCATATCCATCAAGCACGAATGACTGTATCTCTGCGCTGTCATCAACGCACGTTGACATGTCTCTTATTTTCAAAATTTGAGAACAGTTTAGGTTAAGTTTGCTCAAAATATGCAAAAATTCGCAAAGTGTTCAACATGCGCGTGTTCTTCATATTGCAACTAGAAACTTTTTTAGCACGTATGTGCATACGGACGTTGCCCGTATGGGGGACTGATGTCACAGGTTTAGCAATCCTGCGGACCCCAGCTGGTAACCCCTGCCTCATGGGGTAGTGGAGATGGTCACCGGCTTCAAGGCGTATGAACCACCCATTGGAAGGGCAGACAGGGCTCTCAGCTGTAGTGGAAGCAACCTGTCTAGGAGAGGAAACTCCGAAATCAAACCCCGGTCCTCCAGGTTGGGGGTTGAGTCATCGGGCTAACTCCCCGATACTCGGAAAAAGGAATACTGTTAAAAGACCCAATAACAATTGCCTCGGTACAAATGGAAATAAACGGATTTATCGGAAAAAATTACGTAAACGGATGATGGTTTTTGGAACATGGAACGTACAAGGAATTTCTACGAAAATGACGGAAGTGGTATCGGAGATAGGGAGTCACGGATTTGATGTCACGGTATTAACAGAAACGAAGAAGAAAGGACAAGGCTCTGTAAGTGTAAAGGAATACGATTTGTTTTATAGTGGCGTGGAAAAAGATCAGCGAGCTCAACAGGGTGTTGCAATTCTTATTCGCAAGAGCCTACGGAAGTGCATCACTACATGGGAAGCTGTTAACCCCCGAATGATAAAGATGAATATGACAGTGTTTGGCCATAAAATCACCATTTTGGGAGTGTATGGAGTCAACGATGATTCCACTGTCGCAGAAGGACCAATTTTTCGAAGAATTGAACGAGGAAATTGGTAAGATTGGATCCAGGAGGGAAATCATTGTGTTGGGAGATCTCAATGGTAGAATAGGACGTCAAATTAAAAGTAAGATCGTCGGCCCTTTCGGAGAGGCGGCACTAAATGATAACGGAGCCCGTATCATTGACGTATGTGAGCAAAGGGACATGAAGGTGCTCAATGGGTTCTACCAACACAAGGATATCCATAAATTTACTTGGGTTCAGTCTACTCGCGGATTGAAATCAATCATTGATTATGTGGTTGTCAGACAAGACACGGGAATGAAGATTCAGCAAGTTAGAGTGTGGAGAGGTCTTTCCTGCGGCAGTGATCATTATTTCCTCGGGGCAAAAATAGCTTTCCCAGTGAAAGGGAGCCAGGAGACCAGGCAAGCACAGGAAGAAGTTCACCAACAAAAAGATCGTGTCAAGCTTGTAAACTATAACATTGACAGCTTGCAGCATCCAAGTGTAAGGGCTTTATATGGAAAGCGCTTGGATGAGAAGTTGGGCGAATCAAGGGACGGTGATACCGAACAGCAGTATCAGTTCCTGAAGGATTGCATTCACTCGGCAGCAATGGAAGCTCTTGGTGTCGCTGATGATAGGAAAGTTAGCGAAAAACCTTACTGGTGGGACGAAGAAATTGAGAAGGAGATTCAGGAGAAACGGAAAAGATATCATCAGTTCCTTTCCTCTAAAAAAACAGAAGACAAAGAGGCGTATAAAAAAGCTCAGACGCAGGTACGAAGGCTCATAACCAAGAAAAAGAACGAATCTTGGGAGAGGAGCTGTAACAAAATAGACACGTACATAGGAGGAAGGAAAAGCACTGAGAGCTGGAAGTTGCTGAAAGGGCTGCGAAGGGACATGAAGCGTGACTTAATATCTCCGATATCCATTGATAAACTGGAGGGGTATTTTAAAAATTTACTGACAGAAAGGCGACCTGAATTTCAAGATGGAGGCGTAAGCTTGGAGTATACTAACGATAATCATAACTTGGAGATCCATATGGAGGACGTGGTAAAGGCCGTACGAGAGCTGAAGAACGATAAAGCTCCAGGTCCGGGAAATATCCCTGCTGAGTTGATCAAGTGTGGAACCTGCAAGCTGTTTCAACGGTTGAGATACCTGATGCAAGATTGCTTGGACGGTGGAAAGGTACCGACAGAATGGAAAGAGTCTTGGGTGTCACCTATATACAAGAAGAAGGGTAGAAAAGATGAGTGTGATAACTATAGAGGACTGTCGGTTGCAGGTACCCTGAGCAAAGTGTATGGAAAAATCTTGAAAGCAAAAATTGAAGAGGAGTGGAAAGAACATGAAGCGGAAGAGCAAGCAGGTTTCAGAGCCGGTCGGTCAACGATTGATCACTTATTTACCATCATCCACGTCATAGAGAAAAAGAAGGGAGTTGGCCAGGAATTACATCTAGTGTTTGTGGATCTCCAGAAAGCTTACGATAGTGTGCCATTGATGAAACTTTGGGAAGCCTTGAACAAAAGGGGTTTCAGTGGGGGACTAATTAGTGCTATTAAGGAATTTTATGGTGGGGCTTTCTCTAGGGTTAAATCGCATGGGGAGTTATCGTTGGGGTTTTTAATTACTAAAGGACTGAAACAAGGGTGTTGTTTGTCGCCAACCTTATTTAAAGTGTACCTGGAAGAAGTTTTAAAGGAATGGAAAAGATGCTGTTCGGGAATGGGCGTCCCGCTACGTGAAGATGGCACCCTTTATACTCTGTGCTTTGCTGATGATCAGGTGGTAATAGCTCAGGACGAAGAAGATGCGAATTACATGACGCGGAAGCTAGTGGAAGTATACCGAAAGTGGGGAATGGAAGTAAATGTGGTTAAGACGGAGAAGTTGGTTATCGGTGGTGATCAGCAAAGCATTGAACTGGAGGATGGCCGGAAGATCCTGGACTGTGAAGAGTATAAATATCTCGGAGTTCGGTTAACTAAGGACGGAAATTTGGATCGGGCCATTAAAGATCGGAATGTGCAAGGCAGGAAAGCTATCGCGATGCTAAATGGGGTTCTCTGGGACCAGAGTATCTCCAAGGAGACCAAAAGGAAAATTTACAACGTCATCGTGAAGAGTATCGTAACTTACGGGAGTGAGGTCTGGCAACTTAAGAAAAGAACTGAAGACATGCTTGGGGCAACCGAGATGGACTTTTGGCGAAGGTCTGCTGGGATATCGAGAAGAGAGCGTATCCGCAATGAAAGGGTACGCGAGATAATGGGTGTGGAAAAGGACATCGTGCACGATATCAGGTCCAAGCAGTTGGTCTGGTATGGACATGTGCGAAGGATGGCAGATGATCGGTTGCCCAAGCAGGTCTTCGATTGGGTTCCTCCCGGAAGGCGACGGCGTGGATGTCCTGTGAAAGGTTGGCGACAAGGGGTGGAGGAGGAGATCAGAAGGTGCCAATTGCCTGATGATCTCTGGGAGGATAGGGGGCAATGGCGATTGGGCGTCGCAGAGCGCGAGGCGGCGCTATAATCGCGACTTTATGTATGTATGTGCATACGGAAACTTATGGCACGCACGTTATGTTTCTAAAGTGAGCTGAAAGTGGTAGCTCCTATTAGGAAAATGTAGTTCCAGTGTACATTTCATCGCCAGTTCTCCTTGCCCAGAAGGAGTGGTAAAATAATTAATTTTGGACAATCTCTGTCTCTATGTACCTTGATTTTTACTGTACTGGACCGATTCTGTTTACCTACTTTGTAATTTGTTTCGGTTTCGCAATGACAAACAGAGAAAAATGCTTCTGTTAAAAATTTCTTCATCTAATTTATATTTTAGACAGCCAGAATTTCCGCTGTCTTGATGCCTAAGTAGCACAGTGCGACGAAAATGTTGAAATAAAATTGTAATTTTTTTCAATTATATTGCAATATTTTCACATCATTCAATCGATTTATGCCGGTTTTAAACAATCAACAAAATGAGCTCCACGTGTCAGAAAGATAGGCAATATGCAGTGCAATGAAAAATTGCAACTTATTTCAATTGTATTGCAATAAGTTTCAATGAATGAGACCCCTTCAAATAGGAGCTAGGCAACATACACACACTCAATGGAATTGAAATATTCTTGCAATGTAATTGCTACTTATTGCAATCTGTGCGACTTGGGTGGGATTCTTGTCAAATTATGAAAAACAGAATCCCATTGTAACATCAGGAATTCTGTGAAGCGGGCTAACGGCTAGGTTTCCCTTACTTTGTCTCTCTTTCAATTTTAAAAAAGTGCGTAATGGACCACTAGACAAGGTACGAATTTAAGCATTCTGATACATGTATCTTAACCAAAATTTCACGTAGAACACGATTCGCGCAACGAAAATTGCTGAAACTAACTCTTAACGAAGCTATTAACATTTTTATTTCATATTGGTTACGAGGAATTTGAACTGCCCGCTCACAAGAAACCCAAAGCTCTACGTGAGTCAAATCGCGCACTACAACGGTTTCAGCGATCTCCTCAATCGAGCAATGTTCATTTCCCACCATGTGTTGTTCAAGCTATAAGCAATTTGCTATAGCTGAGCCAAAGCGTCAAGACTGAGGTTGCCAGATTTTTATATCGCTGAGACGTTTATGATAACGTTTAGCGCGCGATATGAATCACGTAGAGCATTGAGTTTTCATGAGCGGGTGGTTTCAATTCACGCATCAAGAATCATTAAATATCTTCGTAAGGAGTTAATTACGGTAATTTTCGTTGCGCGAATCGTGTTAAGCGTGAAATTTTGGTTAAGAAACATGTATCGGAATGCTTAAATTCGTACCTTGTCTAGTGGTCTATTTATGAACAATCCCTGATAACCTAATTCAGTGAGACTTACAAAGGAGGGAAAACCTCGCAAACAAGCTGCCACGGCAAGGTGATGATGCTGAAGCCATGGAGGAAGTTCATGATGAACCAAAGAATAAGGGGTAACCAAACGCGAAGTGGGTATTGTGTCAAACTTTGGAGGAATGAGGCATACATTCCGACGCTAAGGATACAGATGCCCGTCAGGATGTGCGAGAAGAGGGCGATCTTTCGCTTGCCAAATCGCCGAAGGAATACCACATTTACCATTGCACCCACGAAGAACAGTCCTGAACACATCATCTGAAAAGAAACGAGATCGTGACTGTAATATCCGTGACCACAGTAGAAAAATACGTATCTTCGATTGCGGCGTTGAAATTCTCTCGTTTGTTTTATTTCTTTGAAAAGGAGATCATTTTTTTTCGTAATTTTTTTTTTCCTGTATTCTCTGTGCAGTTTTACCTCATCTAAAAATATTCAATTATAGACAATGTGTCAGTTTCGCTAGTCACAGAATCGTTTTTTTTATGATTTCAGATCATACACAAGCAAAAAAAAATAAAATCTGCTCAAAAACCAGGTTTTTAGGTCTTAGGTTTAAAAAAACGTCACGGTACTTCATTAAATTATATGTGTTTGGAGGAAGGGACGGTTCCACTTTATTGTGGATTTACTTATCTTGAGGATTACTTCAATTCCTGAAGTCTATGTCAAGGATATGATAACAATGATTTGAGTGATTTATATAATATCATACTACGAAAAAATCGGAAAAATCCTCAACTTACCAAGGCAAGATTTGGATCAATAGGGGACTCCAGCATTTTGAGTTCATTGACAAAATAAGGCATAATGCCTGAGACACATGCAATGTTGGTAATAATAAACACGAAAAACATCAGCCGAAGAGGACGAAACGTCCTTTTATTGGTCAGCTCCTTCAGTTGTTGTTTTAAGAAGCCACCTCTCTCTGCTACAGGTTCGCCTTCTGAAAAAAGATGTGAAGATAAAATACACAATCGATTTTTAAAAACAGTCGCAATATATGGAACAGACTTTTTCTCAACACCTATAACCTAACAGCATAATAAATAAGGGGCAGGGGGCCTGCCCCCCCCCAAAAAAAAAAAAAAAAAAAAAAATCTTGTCGACCATTCATTTTTTGGTCAAATAGCATACCTTTAATCGGTAAACTCGAATCTGCAGAGTTCTCTCTGCTCAGATCGGCAGACTTCACGGCGTAGTTGACTAAAGATTGGAACTCAGGTTCAACTTCGGCCGAGCTAACCCAACCTCTCAACCAGCACAGGGATTTTTTGGCTTCGTCCAGTCGACCTCTAACTATCAGCCACGTTGGCGATTCGGGCAGCTGAAAATTAGAGTAACAATTAGATAAAAAACCAACATAAAAAATATAATGAAAATGCTTGCGATGTTGCCGCTGAAATGTTCATGAGGGGAAAAGACCCTAGAATCAACAATTTCAGTAGAATAATTTTTGTTAAGTTAGGTTATTGGATTTTGAGATTTCGACTAAAATTCTCTCTACATGGCTTTAATAGTATGTTGTGAACAAAGCGGTACATTGGTTCCCAATAGTGGACAAAAATTGCATTGTAATCCGGTAATTGGACTTCATTTTGCAATAATTAGGCACTACAATCGCTGACACATTTTTAAAAACACTTAAGTTGTTTCTAAAGTGAGGTGGAAAGTATAGTTCCTAATTGCAGAATGCAGTCCAATTTGTGTCTTGAACATGGCAGTGTCATGAGTGTGATGCCTGATGCGGGTTCAGTGGATGCAACCGGACCTCGTCATTGCCTCTGCAGTCTTGTTTTAGTCATAAAAAAATAAAATAAAAAAACTATCGGCTTAAGAATGGGTTATTCTTGAATTCGCTGCCAAAAGAATTTCTCATCTTGATTCGAGCTGAATTCTTCTAGGAACAAGGAAAAACATGTTTGGAGTCAGTGAAATAGAAGCTAAAAGTAAACAGCATCATTCTTTACTTGGAAAAAACTTTGAATTGCCACAGGTCCGGTTTGTTTTGACATCCCTCAAAACTTTTCATCCCAAATTATCGTAAGCCTTCATCAATACTTGGACACTAATAACTCACTTTTGAGTTTTTCTGCCTGATGCCCTGATGCCCCTGATGCGAAGATACCCTTCCCTGGATGTCTAAAATTATCTGAGTGTGTCGTCTAACCTGAGTCATGAATGTGAAGGTGATGATAGAGCATGAACTGCTAACCAAAGCAACCGTTCGCCAATCGAAAAGGTAACCAAATAAGAACATGGCGCAAACACCTGAGAGATAAATCAAGATTAGAGCATAATAGGTAGGTCAAATGATGTAAATATTGCATAAATACAATTTGCCATAATAGATTGCGGCGTTAAGTTTGAGGCAATACGAATCTATGATGAATATTTAATTGAGTTGGCTATTATAGAATTAACAGTTTTACTAATAATTAAATCTATTTGCCACTCTTTTACACTAGGGTGACAAGTCTTCCTTAAAATGAAAGAGGGAATGAGTCACTGGATGAGAGACGAGAGATTAAAACTCGAATCAATGGACCACTTCGACTACATTTTGTAATCAGGAACTATAATATATATCTGGCTCAGTTTAATAGCAACGTTCGTACCATCACTTTTCCTATAGACATATGTGTTATTACGGATGAGCTAGAAATTGTAGTTTTTAATTGCAAAAAGAGGGAAAAATCAAGCATCGTAATACATACACTCTCTAAAAAATTCAACTCAACAAAGTTCATAAGATGGGCACACTGCAAAAATATCTAGTCTCTACTCAACTATGAGAAATTGCATTTTACGTGCTCGTAAAACCCAATCTTCCGCTCACCAAGAATCAAAGTTCTCTTAAATAAAATTGGCACTCATGAGCTAGCCATCAGTTTTAGTACATAGTAAAAGGTTAGTAGCATCAATATGCTCAGAAAGTCGACTGAAGTGCCGTGTAGGTGACCCTTGAACGGCCGCTGACTCGACTTCGTCGTTCTTCTCACCAAAGAAAACCATGGCCGGATTTAGGGGGTGGCCACATGGGCCGGGGCCCATGGCGGCAAATTTAGGGGGCGGCAAATTTAGGGGGTGGCAAATTTAGGGGGCGGCAAATTTTGCAATTTTTTTAAATGTAGCTATAAAGAAAATTCGGATTCAGAAAAAAAATACAAACAAGAAAAGGTGACAAAATCTCTCATTTCCAGAGAGTATATCTCTAATTTTGTCGTCTTTCTGTGATACAATAGACATCACCTTTAATTAGTCGAGTTAAGACTAAGAGAGAAACCGAACACGGAATTTGGCCTGGCACGGCGCGGCGCAGAGAGCAATGATGACGAGAACTTGAAATGAAGAGGAGAAACCCTCGGCGCGGCGCGGCGGTCGGCATGTAACACACTTTTGCGCCTACAAGACTGCATGAATACTTCACGCATTGCGTCAAAGACAGTGCGGTCGCTGCGGTCAACAGCGGACGGCGTGAAATGCTAAGCGCCTACAAGACTGCATGAATACTTCGCGCATTACGTCTAACACAGTGCGTACAGCAGCGGTCGGCGTGAAACGCTTAGCGCATACAAGACTGTAGGAATACTTCACGCATTGCGCCAAACACAGTGCGGTCAGCGCGGCGCGGCGGCGGAAGTTAAAATTATTAAACCACATTTATTGTTCTTTCATAATTTCCTCGTTTATTTCATAGGACACCCTAATAGGGTTAATAGATGTATCTTGGAGTTCTCTATTTATTTAATAAAAAAAAAAAAAAAAAAAAAAAAAAAAAAAAAAAAAAAACAGGACACCCGGAAAATTGTGAAGGGTCCTAAAATAGGCTCATATTAATCCATCAACATACTCGCAGAATTTCGTTTCAAAGTGAGAATTAGGCAAAATTTTAGAGAAGGTGGACTCGGCTTTAAGATCATGCATATTACCTATGGTACAGCAGGATGTTGAAATTGTGGAGAGCGTCCCTCTCATGCGTGGCTCCCCAATCTCGCCGATGTAGGCGTGGAGGGGGGCCTCGGCCAGACCCGTGCAAAGTCCCATGATGACCGAAACGGCGTAGAGAGCATGGATGGATTGGGCGAAGTACAGGATCATCCATCCTATGAAAATGGGGATGTTGATGAGCATCATGGCCCCTTTCCGACCGAATTTGTCTTGCAGCAGCCCCGACGTCAGACTACCGATAGGGTGACAGAAGTCTGGAATGCTCCCTGTCGAACACATACGTAACTTTTAATTGCTTTGCTTTCATACGCTAAATGGATTTTAGTGTCATAATGGCACAAAGATGCTAAATTGTTTTTAAAAGATCTTTACACATCCTAAAATGTTTTACAGATGTTTCTTGTAAATGTTCCAGATGTGTTTCATGCGTGTGAAAACGGGGAAAGTTAAAATATTGCACAAATCGCCGTCTTCCGGACGAAGGAACGTAACTTCATTCCAAGGTTGCCAAATTGACTCAAACAATTAATTCCTTTACTAAAAGGTACCTGTGCACTTTCGATTCAAAAATTTTCCGATTTTTGCATTCAACCGGAGGTAAAATCAGTGAAAGTTTCAGTAAGGAATGCCCAAGATTCTCGCAGTTAGTATGCAATTTGCGAGGAGAAATTTGACAACATTGGAATGCAGTTATGTTCTTTCGTCCGGGAGACGACGGAATGACTTCAGAATATTCAAGGAGATAGAATATGAAGACATATGTGCATTTTTTGGATTCTGTAATGTAAATGAACTCGATCTCAAAATTTGTTTGATTACCAAACCAGGACGCTTGATCATCGTTCATGTTGAGAGGCTCCGCAGGGTTGTTGTGAAGCGAGCCAATAATGACCGTAGGCATGACCATTTCCAGCCCGATTTCGATAAGCAGCCAGTTTTGCATTATTGTCGCCAAAATCTGTAATGTTCAAGAATTATCAATGTCAACTTTGAACTCAAGACGTCATGGTATCATTATAAAAGAGTCGGCTTAATTTGGGGCCAACACTGACTTACGTAACTTTAAATAAATGGTTTATTGATACCCTAATACGCTCAATAATACTGTGCTGAGCCCCTTTAAAAAATAAAACGTTAAAAAAATTACAAACTTTAATACACTCTTCTTCCCCTCTCTAAAAAAAATATAATTTCTAAATATCACGTTGAATGTATCACGGGATGACAATGTGTTGGCTAATTCTAGAAGAAAAAATGTATAGAGTTTCTAAACGATAGAATTTATTTTTACATAACAAACATGGAAGCTTTAACAAGTCTTTGCACCCTCATCAGTGCCCAAAGTTAGAAACTACTTAGTCCATTTATTTAATTAATTAATTCTGACCAGAGGGATTAGCTTCAACACATTTATAATTCTAGACGATTTGGCCAAATCATTCTATTTTTTAAATAATATTGCTTGCTATAGCAAAACGTTTTGTTCTCTTAGAAATGTCAGTTACGTTTATTTAGCTCTGAAATATATACTGAAAATTACACGATCTTCGATTTTAGTTGTAGTCACGTACCTGTGCCCATGCCGATTTTTTCGCATTTGCATACTGAAAGTGATCCTTGACCTCCTGTCCTGGAACATCCAGACTTCTAGATGGTTCGACTGGATTGCACATTTCGATTTTACAGGACTAGCACCGTATTATTATTCAAAATTGAGGTTGTGAAACTTTTAGAGTTTAGTTTCACCTTGACATTGACATATCTGCAAGAAAATACCCACAATCACTCAAAACTCAAAAACGAATAAAAATCCATTCGCTCTTGGGATTCTTCGAAGTATTTAATCAAAGTATTTTAATAAAAAGCATTTAACTTCAATCGTTTTTTTACTATTGCAAATGTTTCCCTCTAGTTGACGGATCGGCTGTATCTCTTTAATTACTTTGAATTTTACCAATTGGCTGGCTTTTATTTAAACATTCGTGAAAGAGTGATAACACACTCAAGGTAATTAGCCATATTTTATTACGTATTTATAATCATCAACAACGGGATTATTTCAAGTGTTGATATTCACAAAAGTTGACTCATACACTGAAAAAGTTTCGGTCAATGACACCGACCCCATTCAGTGAAAAACAGCAGCGACTCTCCTAAATGGTGACAAGGTTTTTTCGCCAGTTTTAATCTATCATAAAAAAATCGATTTTAAGTAACGCAGCCTTCTTCAGTAAATATCGATCGTTTCGCATGTCACATGTATTTGAATAGTCATGATCAAATTGTTGTAATTGCTGTATAAATTGTAAATTTGACTTGTGGTAGAGCTTTACTATAGGTTATATGCATCAATAAAAAAATTCTATTCTATTCTGGTGTATTCATGAGACATGTCATGTCCCGAAAAAAAAATGCTACTATAACTACCCCTGTGGTTAAATTAGCTTTCCACTTTCGTAAAAGGTACATTTGAAACATCGCATTCCCTTTTTTTTGTTTAGCAATTGACTCGTTAAATCAGCGAATCCATTTTTTTCCCTTGTGGTTGCCAGAATCAAGACGTATCTGATTGTCAATGGGTCACTAAATCATGAACGAATTTGGACCTGCGAATTCATTTTCCAACGGATAAATGAAGCGTAGAGCACGATGTACATACTAAAAACGAGGAAATGTTACTCAGGAACCGAGAAATACGCTATTTAAGAAGCGCAAGTTTTCCGCTTTAAAACTCCCCGGTTTAGATACGTGGTTTCACACTTTAGTCATCGATCTAATGATCTGCTCTACTCGCATATTGCACGATGCATGAGATCAGATCTGTTTATAAAGGCATACTTGCCCGAGTATCTTTACCCATCAGTGGATTATGCGTGCCGAGGTTTTCACAAAAAGCTGAATGACTGTGGTCGAAGTCTCGGCAAAATTACAGGACGCACTTGATGCTTCAAAGCCTCTTACGGTTCACTTGAATCCGAGAGGACATGCTGCTGAGAATAAATTAGTCGGTACCGCGATGCCGCGTCGCACGCATTTAGCGTTTTATTTACCTATCGCGTTTTATTTCGCGTTTTATTTACCTATCCTTTTTTTTTTAAATTCACTCAAAATGTAAAATTATAAAGCTACGCACTTGGGTTTATGACGTCGCAGTTTTCTCAACGGCACATTTTAAACATTTTGAAAAATAACAAACCACTTTATTGCACAAAATTGTGTATGGTATTTCTCTGACTTTTCAAAAAAAGAATATTAGAAACTGTTTTATAATATCGATGGCAAAAGTGTGGAGCCCCGTATCTTCATTACAGTGTTTCAAAATTTCCGCACCTATTTTGTTTTTTCGAAGAGGAATAAGCAAACCTTATGTCTTGAATTTGTACAGAATATTCTGTCAATAGGAAAGAAAAATCAGGGACATTTTCAAGAAATTACGTTGGCTAGTTTTCCAAAGAAAAAATAAATTATGACAGGAAGTGTGCAACGTCGCGAACGAAAATACGTTGCCATCTCGCGTTGATTTTTCAGCTTGGCTTCTTGCAAAATCGGCCGTACGCGCCCATTCTGGCGTTAAATAACGCTGTCTTGAACGCTCACCCCTCTCCCTGTAACAACCCCCTAACGCAGGGTGGGATCTCCCCCGCTTCCTATAGCGTTACGTATTTCATAAACGGTCCCTAAGTTCCTTATGATCTGTGTTAAAAATACTTGATTACATCTCGTTCAAGAGTTAATATCCGAACTTTTAATCGTGTGAATCGTTTCGTACGTGAGATTTTGAGGAGGAAACATGTGATTGTTTCTAGTTCCAACCTTCTCTCGTTGTTGTCAGGTAGTGCTGAAAAATTGAAAATTTTACCATTTAAACGTGAATAAAATAGCTACACTGTATCGCACAACGGGGTAATCTTTCTCTATGTATAGTGGCCCGTTATTTCATCCAGGCTTGCATGAGCAATCCTCCTCTGCGCTTGTGCATCAGTGGCGTGGCGTGCTTTGCGATATATCGATTGTTATGCCATTTAAACCTATAGAAAAGGATCGATAAACAGGGTGTTCGCAGCGAACACCTTAGTAATAGATTCTTTACCATAGGTTTAAATGGCATAACAATCGATATATCGCAATTCACGCCACGCCACTGTTGTGCATTGTAGTGCTTTTTTGAGGGAATACCAGTGAAAATGAAGGTATGGACCGAAAAAATATGGCAACACCGATAAACTCGAAATTGGCCGTCACCATCAAAGAGAGGCACGGGTAAATTTTGGTTCGGAACTTTAGTCATACGATGGTGCTCCGCTAGAGAGGCTCAATGAGGAAATGTAGGTAGACCTCTCCTGTCTCCGGTTGTCAAAGCGTCCCGTTGAGAGCCACCGACGATTATGCTATTTAGCCGCACAAGTGTATAAGGCTTCTATAACGCGGGAAACACCGTCCTGAAGCGTCCAGCTAGGCGGCCAGGTTGGCCTAGCGGTCAGCGCGTTTGACTCTGGACCAATACTACCGTGCTGAGGAAGAGCGCCGTACGAGCTTTCAGACGTTGTCAAATCTCCTTCGGGAAATCTCGAATTTTTGGAAATATTTGTCAACTTTTTTCATCTAATTTTTAGAAGCATTTTGTTCGTAATTTGATCTAAAGTTTCTGGCAATTTCAAGGAAAAATATGCATGACAGTCTTCAGAAATAAATAGTTTCTGAAAGGCAATTTGGCAACATTCGGATGCTCATACGTTCTGTTCCTTAGCACGGAAGAATAAGTCCCGGGTTCGAATCCCGGTGATGGCGACAAATTTTCACGGAACTGACGAGTGGATCTGCAGAAACATATCTACTCGACCTTAATCCATGAAAATTTGAAAGCCGGAGCATGGATGTGCCAAAATCCCCCTTATGTGTACTGACAATGAAATAATCTCTATGTTAAAGCACATATCTATAGATGGCTGTAGATTCTTAAGTTACTAAATAAACAGAAATAGAGCCAAATAAACTGCAAAAAGGAAAAAAAATGCGTCCAGCTCAAGTGCAAACTAGAGACTTCAAAGAGGCTCATCGATGCCTTTCCCGGCTCTCCCATTGGCCAGCGGTGCAAGTCGGGGTAACAGATGAATCCCTTTGGCGTCTTTAGTTTGTACGTGGGCTGGACGCTTAACTGATACAAGAGAGGTTACCTCGTAATATTGGCAAAATCAAACCGTCTGGGCTTCCTGAGTCATCAAAGCTGAGCTTCGGGACTGATTTAAGTAATGTACAGAGATTTATACGCCAAATTTGGCTTACGCTGAATTTTTTCACCATGTCTTTGTTGCATTTNGGGGGGGGGGGGGGGGTTTCTGAAGAGAATTGTCATATGGCAATGGCTCACGTGAATTCAAAAGCAAAAATGGAGGAGTGACACCAAAATAGTGAAGGAAACATAACATATTCTATGAAGAGTTTTAAAAAAAAATAAGAAGACCTTAAAAATGTTTGCATTTTTCTTTGAGTAGGTATATCAATTCAATTAAAAATAAACCACGTGTGTGAGGAATTCATTTTTTAAAAATGTTCACGGAAGAACCCTGACCGAACCTTTGCTTTACTTTACAGCCGTGCAGGTCCATTTTTGTGCCAATGTTATTTCTGATTTTTCATTGGACACCTCTTAAAAATATGTAAAATGTGTGTTTCCATAAAGTAGAAATATCCAGAGACGCTTGACATTGAATTATCCTATACATGTGCTCTTGAAGCTAGTTTTCTAGGCAACATGTTTGGTGTCCATTTGGAGCCCTTAGAAAACTATACCCCAATTAGCATTTTTCAATGGAAAAATCGCGATTTTATCGCAGGAAAAATCGCGATTTTATCGCAGGAAAAATCGCGATTTTATCGCAACAAAAATCGCGACTCGATTTTATCGACGAAAATAGTCGCGATTTTATTGAACATGAAATTGCGATGCAATAGCGATTTAATCGCTATAAATCGCAATTTTTTATTCGATAATATTGCGATCAATTGCCACCTATATAATCGCGATGATCAACCGATAAAATCGCTATCTATCGCGATCACTGCTACTTGGGTACATATGCATGTATCGGTAAATTGAGAAAAATCACTGGCAAAAACGTGAACAGTTATTAGGTATTTAAAATTCCGTAGCAGTACGATCGATTCAAATTTTATCCGTTGCATGTATGTACTTCACCTGAAATTAGCTTAAAAATTTATATTGGGTATGATTTAAATAATTAATTCACTCTAGAAGCTTGCAAAGCTAAAACTGATGAAAGTCATGCCTCTTATTATAGTTGTAAAACTGACAGTTTAATGTCTTATGGAGTTACCTGAGTATAGTTGTAATAACTGGACTGAGGTACGTGTGAGCTGAGACTAAACACCAATTAAAGTCCGCATTTGATGTGACCGACTTTTTCTTAATTCACATACACTTCTGACTTAACTATTCCGAGGAAACCTCACTAAGTTTTAACGGAAAAAAAAATTAGTCACATGAATACAGATTCTGGAAACTAATAGCAAAATGAATTGCACCTAGTGCTAGAGTATCCATTTACTAACTGCAAAGCGCATAATATAACCTTCTGTTCATCACGACAGGCTAAGTACACACTGATACTGCCGACTATTTGACCGGTCTTAGTCGTGAAGCGTTTGCGATTCTCTCCGGAGCCTGAAGGCCGATACGCTCCACCAATCACATTGAGTAAGAGACGGTTAGGATAAGAAAAAAACCCAATCAAATCGATCACGTGAAATTTTTTACTCGGAAATGGACTTTTTCGAAAGTCAAATAATTTGATAACTCCTTCAAGGTGCACCCGATCGGACTTTTCATGGAAAAAATGGTAAAAAAAAAAAACATGTTTTAACTCAAAGGAAGAAAGTTGTCTTCGATTTAAAGAAAATTTTTCGGGCTGAATTTTTATTTTGTTATTTTTATTATCAATGTTTCTTGATGATAGAAAACTTGTTTTGTGAAAGAATTGTTTTGAATTGGGGAAAAAAAAACTTCATCTGCATAAGAGAAAATCCTTCACACAGAGTAAATCTAGGAGTGAAAAACATCTGGTTTCACTCTAAATTTTGTTTTTCTAATCAAAACAACTGTTCTTAAAATCCAAAATTCAGTTTATAAATGATTTAAAGTATGTTTTCAAAATATTTCCCGGTGTCAGACGGTTTCGGAAGGGGACGGGTCAAACTCACAGATATGAGAATCTGATGTTACTTAGAAAAAATTAAGTCACTTTGACGAGATGAAGCTGTGTCTACGGATTTTTGCTTTGTTGAGGGGCAATCTCTGGGTGCATATTCTCTAGTCAATTCCTCCTTGATCAAATAGACTTAATGCCTCACGTGCAATCTTAAAAAGAATGTGTGCGTGTTACGTTATGGTTTCGTGCATGGATTAATGTTCTATATCTACCGGCCCACTTTGGACCTCTCTCAGAGTAAATAAAGAATATCAATAAGTCACAAGTAGCAATCGTCCGACTGGTATTAATCATCCGATTTTTCCTCAATTTTTCACGTTCATAGAATTCGACGCACTCGAATACAAGTTCCGAGAACTTCTTGGAAAGAAATAAACAAACTGAAGTTACTCAGAACGTTCAATCAATTGAATAGAAATACAAAGTTGATGTCACTTGCACTAGTTTAATATATACTATGGAAAACGTCGATCTTTCGATGAAATATCAATGGGAATTCCAAAATTAAATTTTACTGGAGAGCTGTCTAGTCTCTGTGAGCAATTTAACCATATTGTCTTAGTGCCCATTTTTTTTATTACGCTCTCCTTCCTGTTCTTCTTCTTCATCCTCTTAAAAAAAGTAGGATAAACAGAGTGAATCCTGTTGATCCTTTTATTCAAATGGAAAACCCTTTTTTACCCGCCGGAAAAATATTGGAAAATTTAAATAAATTAGAAGCCAATGAATAAACTATTCACCTCAGAGACTGTAATCTGTAGCATTTTAAAGGCTATCAGCAGACTGCTTCTTTAGTTTCGTGTGGCTGCACAGCATGGGGATGCTTGTAACCAAACCGAAAATTCAAAAGATAAAATTTGAATGATATTTTCTCTCTCAAAAAAGAAAAAATCCCAGACCTACATCTTTTACATTATGTAACAGTGAGATTGACGCTGAAAGTAATGAAATAAAAACACATTTGGTTCAAATACATTTAAAAATGTAAGTTTACGTTCGATCCAATTACACTTGATATATACGAATACATACAGTAATCGCATATGTACTTAGACATTAACAAAAAATTTTAGTCAGTCTAGTACCAGACGTGTTTCCACATTTCACGTATGCGCTGTACGTCTAGCAGTTAACAAATATAGACAGAGGTAACAATATTAACAAGTCTACGTCTATGGTATATGGCACAAAAATTAAAAAGCGATGTAGGGATCCAACAATAGGAAATCTGAAGCAGTAAATGCCACATATAATTCCATTATTATTGCAGAGTATTCGTAAGCTTGCCTCCGTATCACAAAGACTGGATATTGGTGGGAAAAGGTGAATGAACATCGGGTGGACCCTTCACAGGAGGTTGACCTTTATAGTCTAACATTTGATCAACACTTGAAACCCGAAGAAATATTAATGTTAAAGTAACTACTCCATAAATACTGTTCTGTAAAGCTACGAATGTGTTTTTCTGATTTTGAAGAGTGATTAATTAATACTCCTCCTATTTTGTCTGATAGACACATGTCTGGTGAGTAAAAGTGTTTGATCCGTAAAAAGTATTGCTCGCAACTTTTTCAAAAAATTTTCGACTTATTTCCAAAACTCAATCCCTTTTGGAGATTATACAAACTTCGTCAGGATATTGCAGAAATCTTTTTTTACAAAATAGAGTGGTCATTTGTAAAATAGAGATATGTTGAAAATCGCAGATCATTTTGAAAATAAGTCCCTTTTCAATTTTAAAGTCTTCGAAAAAAAATCGTGTCAAAATGTTTAAACGTTTTCTCAACAATACTTTTTATGAAATATATCACCAATATTTTTAAAAAAATTCAGAGAGGTCATTTTGGGGGGCTTCGTGGTAGCCGACCAATCAGAGAGCGGCACACTTTTTCTACAAATGGAGGATTGAGATGGCAATACTCTCCCATATATGGGTACTCTATAGTGTCTCTAACGTGCAACTGACCCATTTACGTCAGACTAGAAGAGTCCGTCAGAGTTCGGACCGGGCGGTGCTACCGTAGCCACGCTCTTTCCGGTTTCCGCGGAGCCTCGTGTTCTCCGGGTGCCTCACCGGCGACGCACCGACGGAAAGCATCTCCTCGGTGTCCGGGTGATCGACGAAGCACGCCTCGATCTGCTCCAGAGTTTTCCCTTCCGTTTCCGGGAGGCAGAAGTAGAAGTAGACGCAGCCCAGAGCCGTCGCCCCGCCGTAAAGGTACATCACACCGTCCATACCCACCCGCGATTTGATGGACAGGTACGATTTGATCAGGGCGGACACCACCAGGTGAGTCCACGCGGCCGAGATACCCGTCGCCAAACCGCGACCTCTGAAAACAAGCAGAGAATTAAATTAATAGAGAATTTTCAGGTATCTGACATTTGATATAATTCGTGTTTAAGTGGAAACTACTGAGTGAACTGAACACGAGGATACGCTTGGTTCATGAATTGAACAATTGATTGGAGAAGATATGACAAAATTATCTAATCTGCTAAAATACACGTGTTTAAATGGGAAATGCCGCCAGATGACGTCACTAGGCGGTGCATTTTCTCACTTTTAAATTTATTTTTATGCTATTTCCCACATCAGTGAAAAATCATAAAAAATACTGTGAAATCAGCTCTTTAAGCACTTCCAGATGAGACAATAAACAATTTGCATGCGAATTCTCCGATGGAGACTTCGCGCACAGTCTTGAAAAAAAAAGGGATTTAAGTATGTACGAATAAAACACAAAGGTTTTAGGTTCTTAGGGGATTTTTAGATGTGTCCAAATGTTAATTTTTGAATTTTGAAAGTTGGCCATAAAGCCAATTTAATTTAGAAACATACTCGCATACATGAACGGGAGAAAAGGGCCTTCAAATTGCGCGGTAGACAAATAGTCTCACCGTCATGCACGTGTGCACTGTCCAGGAGAGTTTCATCATTCGAACTTGGCACGGACCTAGCAGTATGCTAAAAAGGGAGGGTATTCCAAGGGGGGGGGGAGGAGGCTTCCGCACTTAAATCAAATGAATTAAATCTTTCTTCCAAAGAGGACTCTCTTTTTGTGATGGCTTCCAATGAAAAAGAAAAATTCCGCGTAAAATATAATTAAGTTTTTTTAAAATAAAGAATTAGGTATTCCATGGTGTGATACATATAGATTAGCTAAATTTGCATTTGATGGTAGTAGACCTGAATCTTTTGGCAAGTGGGAAATTCAAACTCTCAAACACAGAAAGCTCTATAATTTTTCATTTTCATCCTCACTTTCATTTTGTGAATTTTGAATGTATCATCCGAGCTTTGGGTAGCATATTAATGGGAAAACATGTATTTTGATGTTTCATCTCTTACTTTGTGTAGTGGTCCATCATGAGCACTAAAAGCTCTTACGTTCATAGGGAAAATAATGGCACCTGCGGTGTTTCTAAAGTGAGCTAATAATATAGCAGTTCCTATGATTGCAATTTTTTTTCCAAATAAGTCAGTCACATTTTCATCGTAAAAGTTTAGGAAACTTACGCTGGTGGAAAAACTTCGCTCATTAGCTGCCACGGAAGGACCAAAATACTTAGCCCGCCGAGAAAATTAATGACTAGAAGCAAGCTAGGAGGAAGCCAAACAGCACTTGAGTATGAGCTCAAGTCCCTGTAGAAGGAACAGTAAGCACCGATACCAATAATGCTGACAGCCGCGACACCATATGAGAAAAGCGCAATTTTCCTCTTGCCGAGTCGCTGCAAAAACGACACGTTCACCACAGCGCCGCCAATGAATAGAACCTGGGCGACCATCTGGACATGAGAAATGAGAAAGGGGTAGCATGTAATTAAATGCAAAAGTTTCAACAGATGATGTAACAAATTGAAATTTGATGCAAAATGTATGGCAATTTTTTCTCTTTTTTATTCTTCTTTGTTCCATTATCCTGAAATGGCTCTATATTTTTTTTATACAATATATATAAAAAACAAGGTGGTTAAGCAGTGCTGGTTCCAAATTTTGCGGGGAAATCAAGGCCAGAAAATTCAAAAATATCAATTGGAGTCAAAACATTGTTTTAAATATTAATTCCCATTATTATCATAAAAAATTTATTCTTAATGAAAATATTTTTTAGAGAAAATGTGCGGTTCACGAACACGACCCGGCACGATTCGGATACACTCTGTGGACCAGAGCAGAAACAAGGCACCCAAATGGTCCAGGTCTGCCAAAGAATTTCCTAAAAATGTCGTTTTGAGGTATTTTTTACAACCTTAATCTTTATAAGTATACTCCAGTTTGAAAAAAAAATTATTTCATTGTAGACCCTTCCTTTCAAAAATCATTGCCAACGCCACGGCAAAAATTGCGCAAATATCGTCGATTCTCTAACGTTGAGGGCATACCTCTATTTTTACATGAGCCCCAGAAAGTATGGTGATGTATGAAACACAAGGCGTACGTAGAAATTGAAATGGTTATAGGACATTTCGTCAACGATTTTTTGTCCGCGCACCTGTTTTTTCCAATAATTTACGTTCACGCGTTTTTTCGGCACGGGAGTTTTGGTCCACGTGCCAGTTGAGACCCACAGTTAATTGGCCCACATGTAAATACATACGCCAATTGCTCTCGACGTTTTTGGATGGAAATGTAAAATGTCTTGGAAGAATGAGGGTTTGCTTGTTTTTTTGTTTTGTCTGTTTGGTCCAACCGAGAATAATATATAGTTGAGAGTTTTGGTAAAAATGGGGGAGCGTCAATTCCATGAGACAAAATTCACTAAAACTCTCTACACCTCTTTGGTGTAACAGGACTTAATTATATTTCAAGATATTCCCACCTTGTTATACCTGAACCGGATGAACCTCTATATTTGCCTCAGCTAAAGGCTCTTAGATATTCCAGCGTACGATAAGTATCTTGATTTATTTTGCGAGGAAAGATCTGTACTTTTAAAGGATGCCTGCCATTCTTAATACGTTCAATTTCGTATAATACTGTGCAACACCTCTGTTGTGAAATAGTTGCTTCAGGCGCCGCGCCGCCGCACGGCGGGCGAGCGGCCAGCGCGAAACGCACATTGACGCCTACAAACCTAAGTGGATACTTCAAGCATTGTGCAATGCGTGAGGTATCCACTTAGGTTTGTAGGCGCCAGTGAGCCTCTCGCGCTGGTAGTACGCCGCTGTTCCGCTCTGTTCGGCTTTAATATTTATACTCGCACAGTCAGCGTTTTTTAACTCATGATTTTGAAATGTTTGCATACTCTGCATTGGTTGTTCTCATTTAAATTGATGTTGAAAAAATATGTATCAATTTATCAAAGGAGAATAATAATATAATGTGTGTTTTTTGAATATTGGTGGTTCCATGTCTTTAATGATTTCCAAAGCACTTTAATTTTTTCTTTTACATTTTGTGCTTTTATTGTGCTGCAGCGAGGTGAACGTGCAACCAAACGCTCACAATTTGACGTATTTGACTCTAAAAGATCGATGTACAAATGGGTTAAAACTAAAGATTGCGTGTTTCTTGGTTTTTTTCACTCTTTTATTCATTTTTGCAGTTTCTGTCAGCACAACTGCGGCTTATTGAGATTAATGTCGCTTGAAAAAGGTTTTAAAAATATTTGTCACGTTTCAAAAATATAAATATTTTCAAAATGAAGTAATAATTTCGTAAAGAAAAAAATAAAAAAAGTACCTATACATATATAAGGTATATTGTACATTCAATATTTTAAGGATAGAAATACATATAAAACCAAATATTCACCAATGACAATTTAAATAGATGATTCAAAAGGAGAAAGTAGTAACATTTCATTTAGAAACTGAGCAACCATAACAACACCTCCTTCTCTCTCAATTTTTCATTTCTATATTGTCAATATAATTTTACATACCGACTAAAACATAACGCTTGGACCAAGTCACCGTTGCTTATTTTACGTGTGATCGTAAACTACTACACAAAAAAGGTGCGCGGACAAAAAATCGTTGACAAAATGTCCTGAAACCATTGAGATACGTCCTTCCGTTACAGGAGCGACGATATTTTGCAAGTTATTAAAAATAATAAAAAAGCTTAATTTAGTAAAAGGATTCAGCTAGACTTAATAAATCGAGAGTATTGTTAATTTTTATCATCATCATTTCCTAATTTGGACCCTGGTAAAAATGGCAAGTGCTCAGATCAGTAGCACTTGCCTTTGGAACAGACCTAAGCACTGATGTCAGTGCTGCCGGGCGCTGATCTGCTACCTCAGTGTTAGGTCTGTTCCAAAGGCAAGTGCCTCTGATGTAAGTGGCACTGACCTAAGTGTCTCAGACGTAAGCGGAGTGGAAACTCCCAGAAATACTGTACAGGCAAAAATTTCGTTAATTACCGAACTGCCAGGTACGTTAAGTCACTATTTGACGATCAGGGAGGGCTGCTGTGAGTTTTCAATCCCAAGCAAGTATCACAATCTTCAGGGGACATCGCTCGTTCCCATGCGGTCTCCAATCTAAGTACTAACTACGCCCAACATAACTTAACTTCGGTGATCGTCCTAGCGATTGAACCACTACACTACCTGCGCGTGTACGTGTTAGGGGCGTAATTTTACCATTTCAGGGCCCCCATTGGGGTAATTTTGCCAGCAAATGATGATTTTGTCTTTGAATGTGAATCCCATACTTAATTTTTCTATTATTCTTTTTTAATCAATCAACATGTAAATGAAGTTTTGTAAGTTACGTTTCTTTGAAAAAAAAAATGGATCGCACTAAAATTCAAAATTAAAGCTAATGATGCAAAAAAAATAATGAAAGTTGAAATTATACAAAAAATATAAATTAGCAGATACAAAAATTGAAAGTAAAGGAGTAAAAAAGTTAGAAAAGAATTGAAAATAAAGTAGGAAAATTTTAAAAAAAATTGAGACTGAAACATTTTAAAAACAGTTAAAACTGAAAAAAATTAAAACCAAATTTAAAACTATTTTTTTTTATAAAAAAAATAATAATGCTTAAATAAATATATCTAAATACATATTTTAGCGGTGATAATATTTTTATCGATCTCATTTTTTGTTGTGTTTTAATTATTTAAGTGCCATCTTAAACGAAGAGGGTAAAACAAATTATTCAAGAGTGTGGCTACTTAAACTAGTTTTCCTTCCCTCTTAGAAAATCCCACCTTCTACAAAATATGCCTCTCTGAAAGATAAAGTTTGTGGTCCCCGTGTCCCGAGGAAATATTCCCCCACGAAAATGAAATAGGGTGGGGGAAGGGGGAGCCATCTCTACTTTTTGGGAGTGAGTGCGGTTCGATTAAGATTGATGTCAGAGACTTACCCTCTGAACCAAGTCCTGACCTCAGTCCCGCTTACCTCAGAGACATCTCTGCACTTAGGTAAGTCTTTCTCCCGACGTCAGTGCCTCTTACCTCAGTGCTGACTTCTTGGGTAAGTGCTTTAACACTTACGTCAGAGAAAACTGAACTGACCTCAGAGCAAATTGCACTGACCTCAGTGGAAAATTCACTGACCTAACACTTGCCATTTTTACTAGGGGAGGAGATTATACCTACTCACCAAAATGAGCTTGGGGTCAATAGGGCAGTTCATTGCATTTAGTTCGTTGATAGAGTATGGCCTCATACCGCTGATAGCAGCCAGAAAAGTGATGGCGAATGAGATCAAAACGAGACGAAGAGGACGCAAAACTTTTTTGGAAAACACCGCATTGACCTGCGTCATCAACAAACCATTCATCTTCGCAACTGAAAGATTAAAAAAGTATGGTAAGTCAAAAAGTTAGTGAATATTAAAAAGACACACCATAATATTACCCAAGATCAAAGCTGATCCTGTGAAAGATAGGCAGCAATCGAGGTAAAGGTATAATGTTTTCATTAAAATTAGTAGGTGTAAAATCTTGCTAAGTCAAGTAAACGGGCACGACAAAATGATATGTCTCCGTCGCACGTTGCATATAGAAAATGTATAAATGCAGTATGATACATCGTAAAAATTCTATTACACAGAGCCGGATTTTCCTACTTACCGCCCATGGGCCGCCTGTATTTTGCCGCCACCTTCTCATCCGTTTTGAAACATCAATAAAAACCATCAAGTGAACGTGCCAGCGGCCCATGAAGGCTATTTCCATTTAAATCTTCCGTCACATTCTTACGGCGCAATGATACAACTATTTGAACTCTCCGGAATGCTTGAGGTATCACGCCGAATTTGAAGGCGTTTTCAAAACAGCCAAGGTCCGTTACCCGAATAATCGTTTTGCATAGTTCATATTATTTTGTTTCCATTTCTAACCACTTGTTTAATTATAATCCTCCCATAAAAATCACCCTTTTGCTAAATGCAATTCTAGCTGAAGCACAACTAAGCGCGTTCATGACTGCAAAAATGTTAACGGAAATCGAAAAGGCCAGCGTGCAAGAAGGCTCTTTCAATTGTAATCTTCCGTCGCATTTCTAAGTCGCAATGATACAACTATTTGAAATCTTCGGAATGCGTGAGGTATCACGCCGAATTTGAAGGCGTTTTCAAAACAGGCAAGGTCCGTTATCGGAATAATCGTTTTGCATAGTTCATATTATTTTGTTTCCATTTCTAACCACTTGGTTAATTATAATCCCCCTATAAAAACCACCCATTTGCTAAATACAATTCTACCTGGAGCGCACTTTAGCTATGCATTCACCACTGCAAAAATTTCAAAGGAAATCGACACGCCCAGCGTGCATGAAGGAGCGGGGGAGGGGTGCATAAGACGCGTTTACTCATGTTGAACACATTTTTTGGGAAAGCCATGTCAACACTACTAGCAAAAGGCCACGGAACTTTGCGCGAAAGCCAAGTTTCGTAAACCTACATTATCTCTGATGGACAAGGCCTTCCATTCAAAAGAAATGAACGAAAAAAAGATGAAAGAACAAACACGAAGTTTGGTTCAATGATTCTAACTTCCGCCGCCGCCGCGCCGCGCCGACCGTACCGTGTTTGGCGCAATGCGTGAAGTATTCCCGCAGTCTTGTAGGCGCTATGCGTTTCACGCTGACCGCACTGTGTTTGGCGCAATGCATGAAGTATTCACGCATTCTTGTAAGCGCTATCCGTTTCACGGTGACCACAATAACCGCACTGTGTTTGATGCAATGCGTGAAGTATCCGTGCAGTCTTGTAGGTGCTAATATGTGTTACATGCCGATTGCCGCGCCGAGGGCTTCTCCTTTTCATCTCAAGTCCTTGTCATCATTTCTCTCTAAGTCGCGCCGTTCCATGCCAAATTGTGCCATTTTTTGCACCTCCATTTTAGGCGCACTTAACTTTTTTTGAAAATGCTACGATGAAGGGTGAATCAAATTTCTTGTTCGGAGTCTCTCGGGTTCAATTTCTCAAAACGCCATTTTTGCCACTACTCTGCCGTGCTAAGGAAGAACGCCGCATGAAAATTCGAGTTGTCAAATTGCCCCGGATAAAACATGTATTCTTGAGAACAATTATGCGTATTTTTCCTTGAAATTTTCAGACATTTTAGACGAAATCGTGAACAAAATTGTCTGGAAAAATTGAAGAAAAAAATTCACGATTTCCTAAATACATTAAGGTTTCATTGAAGGAAAATGGGCAGCGGCTGGAGGTTCATACGGCGTTTTTCCTTAGTACGGCAGTACTGCAGCTCTATTCGGTAACGCAGCAGCACTATTTTGCATAAATTTAAATGGGCAAAGCCCGGTGTTGCCAAGTTTCGAGAGTGGAAACTGGTCACGTACCTTTGGCCAGAGCGCCCTCGTCATCTTCAACGTGATGCCTGGTGTAGCTGACAAGATCTGCGAATTCCTCCTCCACTTCATTCGGGCTGGTCCAGCCTCTGAGCCAGCTCAGAGATTTCTTGGCATCCTCCAAGCGGTTCCGTCCTATGAGCCATGCTGGTGACTCGGGTATCTGAATAGAGAAAGCTAGAAGTTACTGACCGACAATTGCTCGGACAACATTCATTACAACCTACTCGAGAAATACTTGTATTTATCTCTGATTCCTTTCCGTGTATATGGGGATGTAACTAAGCATCAAGCATCAGCATAGATGCTTTCATTATTTAAGATGTGACACACCAAAAAAGATGCTCGGTGCAATTTTATAAAAATAAAATAAAAAAAATTTATAAAAATCAGACACTTGTAAAATGTGCCAGATGTCGCGCGATGTCATCAGGGTTGCCAGATCGTGCGATAAAAAGTGGAAAGTTTGCATTGCTTTAAATGGGGAGAGTGCTGATTTTTCAGCAGTATCTGGCAGCTGTATGCTTCCGTGTTACGTTCCGGAAAGACGCTTCCTGTATCATGTGCAAGCGTTAAAAAAACAGATCAAACTGCTTAAATTTGATATTTAGTGATGAAATGCAAGGAGAAACCGTCCATGCAGTATTTCGCGACGGTGAAAAAGAAATGTGATTTTCATTAAATTGAATGCCCAAATTATGGGCCGCAACGCCGTGCCGTAAATTTTAAGGTCAATTAATTGTCCACATACGGCAATTCCCAAGAGAAAAATTCCAAATTACCTGCGTCATGAGAATAAACGTGATGACAGGAACCACGCTGATTATTGAAGCTGTTGTCCTCCAATCATAGAAGCTTCCGAGAGCATACAACACGATAATACCTATCGGACAAATCATAAATTAGTCTTCTTCGAGCTACATTATTTTTATTTTGGGTCATTTAAATTATTCACACATTCTTTAGGAATTAAATGTGCAAAAATTCCTTTTCCGTTGAAATTATTTGATTTCACGCTCATTTAGCTACAAAAACTAATGGAACTACATTTTGCGGTAAGAACCTACAATTTCTGGCTCAAACATAAAAACATCTACCCGCATAGTGAAACCAATGGCATAAATGTTGTTTTTAAAATGAACCAGAAATTGTAGTTTTTATATTCAAAATGTGGTCCAATTGTCGTTAGCAACAAACTGGTGGATCAAAGAGCGGAAGCTTGGAATAGGGGGGTATTTCGGAAAAACTTTACGGAGGAAACAAATAAAATATGCTCTTGCAATCCAGCAGTTTCACTATAGGATATTCTGTAGATGACCAATGCCCCTGGTAAAAATCTATGATTTTTGAACGGCTCATGATGTAATTCAAGAGGCATTTCTTGCTCTAATTTTCACTTTGATAGTGATGAATTGGACTTTTTCTGTCAAACGGAATTAAGCGCCATGGAAAAGCATCGTGAGCATACGACTGCATCCGCTAGTCCAACCCGCATTACCCTTCTTCTCTCTATAGTGCTTAGTTCCGTTTCTCAGAAATACGTCCAATTGGTCAACATTTTGCTATTAGAAACTACCATTTTCAAGTCATTTTAAAAACTACGTACATGCCATTATTTTCAATATGCACATAAGTGCTTTAAAAAATGAGAAAAAAATTGTCGTTTTTTATTGTAAAATCAAGTCTAATTTGATTAGTGCTTCGACTGACCAACGCTGATGGCTGACGAAGCTATTGTGACCAAGGTGCCTCGAATGTGTGGTTCGCTAATTTCGCCCAAGTAGGAATTAAGGGGCGCCTCGGACAGACCGACCGAGAGTCCCATCATGGCGGCCACCGCGTAGAGCGTCGTCACGGAATTAGCCGAGTAGAGGAGGATCCAAGTCGCGAACATCGGCATCGTCGAAAGGAGCCCTGAGCCTCTCCTGCCGAGCATCTCTTGGAGAAGCCCGGAGGCAAGGTTCGCCAGGGGTGTGCAAATGTAAGGTATGCTCCCTTGAAAATGAAAAAAAAAATGAAAAACATTAGAAACTGAGATGATAAACAAAGAAATTTTAATGGTGATAAGGTAAAGTCGTCAATTTTACGATAATAGTTATCCTGACCAACGAAGTGTTCTTACCTATCAGAGTGGCCCAAATATTCAGAAAAAACGACGATTTTCTAAAAAATTTGGGTGCCTCAGCTCCGACGAAGGAACAAATTGATTGAGGGAGGAATGGTAATTTTTACCCATAAAATACGTCTCTGCTGTCCAATGTGTCCATATTTAACCTCTGGGACACCCACACCCTGAATACGAATGTAGTGAATTAAAGTCCATGTTTCGGTAGCATGATCGTCAACATACTGTGAGCCGCAAAATACAGCAAGTGCGGGTAAACGACCTTTGATGAATCGCAGGGGAAGTTAGGGTTGAAGAGTCAACGGGTTGTGTGACGAGTTCTCAAAATCTATATGGCGAGGTAAATATACACTTTTGAACTAATGTTTTTTGGGTTGGTCGCTCACGATACACCTCGTTATTTAAAGGAAAGATAGAAAACAGAACGAAAAATGATTCGAAATCTAAGGGTGAATGACCCGTAGGCTCAGTACCTGAGACATCGGCCAGTGGGTCAGTGGGTCAGAGAATACACCTTGGTTAAAAAAGACCAAAATGGGGAGGAAAAAAGAGGTGAACGTTTTTGGAAATTAGGTTATGCGGTTACCCGTGACGAACCGATATTTTTTTTCCTTTTTGAGTCTAGGTGAAAAATAATGGTTCTTTTGGTAAAAGTAGTATTACATTTTCCAGCTGCGCGCTTTGGAAATTTTAGCCTTTTTAGCAAGATTTTTCCTTTCCTGCCTTTTCCTTCTTACATTTTGTAAAACTGATTTCTTCAACACGAAAAAGAACCCATCCTCCTCCTCTACCCACATTTGATCGATTAACTCCATCTCATCCTATTATCAGTTTCATCGTAAAGGCGAGGTAGTCATTCTATCAAAGATAGTTAACTTGAGAGTTGATCAATTTAATCGAGATTGAATGGAGTGAAGAGATTTTAATCAACATTTGAAAAGTTCAATTCCTTACCAAACCATGATGCTTCGTCGTCGTCCATGTAAAGTTCATCTTCGGGATGTTCATATAATGCCCCAAGAATCAGAGTAGGAGCAGCCATAAACAAACCATGGTTGATAAGAATAAAACCTTGGATCAGTGTTGCCGATATCTAAAAATAAATCATGATAATTATTAAATTATGATTATTTACGTTATATTATGATTATTATGATTATTAATATATTGTTATTATATTATGATATTTTTAATGCGTCTGGAAGACATCACAATAATTTCCTTTAAAAAGTCATGTTTTTGAGAAAAACTTATACGTATGTATAATAGACTGAAATGCATTTTGACTTTTGGCGGCGACGTAAGCCTATTACAGTCAATGCTTTTTATCTGTACCTACAATTTTTTTAATAATGAATTTTGGAATTTAATACTATTTCGAATAATTTGAGACCTAATTTCAATTTTTCAATTTCTTTTGAGACTCCATATAGATGATTATGCATCTTTTTGCGTACAAGGTGACTGACAGCGTTAACCGGAGTGCATAGGGGGGGGGGGGGGTGTTCTGCACCGTCCCCTCTGTCCGGTAAGTTTCCCACAAATAATTTGACGAACATATCAGGAATTTTTAACCATAAAAAATTGAAAATATATCTCTAACCACCGCGTCTCCCACCATTCGTGGATAAATTCCGGTGATTCGACAGAAACTCTTTCGTTGCAGGAAAAATTGGCTGAAAATAAAACATAACGCTGACAAGAAGACGGAAACACTGTCGAAAATATCATACGTCTGAGGAATCTCTGCGCACATCTACCTCTTACGTAGACTGGATGGAAAATCGTGATTTGGAATTCTGTAGGTACTCTAGAATTCCGAAATAAAACATTTTCCGTTCACATAAAATGAAATTGAATGCAGTGTAAACTTGGCAGCCCTAATTATAGTTTTGGTTTTACATTGTTATAATTTACGTATGTTGCTGGCGTATCATAAAAATGACAGCATCAGTCGCAGTAACTGGGATAATAAAGAAGTCAGTTCATTGCAAATGCGATGTAAGATGCAAATATTATGTTCATTCAACAGCCAATCGCATCGGTGCCAGCAGTGGCACGTGCCGCAGGCGAATACCTCGACAGGGGTCTGCTCTTTTGAGGTTAGAATTTATCGCCATAAATCACAAATTGTTAGACGTGTGATTGTGGTATCAGTTTCTTCTTCCAAAATCACACGCTTACCTAATAATACCTTATCGCAACTTTAATTAGAGCAGCACGATTCAAGTCGGGAGACAGCCATGCAGATAAGAAAAAATATAACGACGAGCATTTAAATAATAAACAATTTAGCTCACTTACCTGGGCAAAGTCTGATCTGCTTGAGTATCCATAACGTTTTATGAGTTTTTCTCGTTCTGAACTTTTGGGAGAATCACCCATGGCGGTGGGTATCACTTTGAACTACGATGTAAACCGAGGCATCGTGTACGAAATTTTATTTCGCACGCGGCTAACTTTAAGATTAAGCAGTCAACGTTAAAATAAACCGGACCCGCCGGCCGACTCTCTGCAAAAAAAACCAGTTTCCTAGCGAGACCTTGAGTTGCTAAGTCACGCCCATAGACTCCACTGTAGCTTCGTGTCTACGGTAAGAGTTGTATCGAGAGAAGCTCGGATTTTGTTGGCTCTTGTGAGAGAGTGAATTCTCACTCAGCCAATCATGGCCACTCGGAGAGAAGGCGCGTACTTTAAATTGAAGCGTGCTCTGATCATGACGACGAAGTTATCTATGATGCATAGAGTACAGATTTCGGTAGACAAATGTTACCTATATCAGTAGTCAGTGGACCCTCTTTCTTTATTTATTCTTAAGCTGCAGCACTGGATGAAATGGCATATTCAAACTACGTAGATTATTAAAAAAATTAATAAATTTTTATAATGCAGCAGTGGTTAATTTCCGACATCAGAGATTGCAGATGCAACTTCTGTCCAAATTCTGGCCGGATCTCTTCTCATGACAGTTAGATCTATACTCATGTCTATTGGCAAAATCCGAGTAGAGAGATTCTAATGATACCACCAACAGTTTTACAAGTGTAAATGGAGATTCCATTGATATCATTAGAGACTCAACTGCTTTATTAAAAATCCAACTGATATCAGTAAATTCTTTATTTACCTCTTTCTACTCATCATTCGAAGAGTGTATTGTTTTTCAATTATATATTCCGCTCCCGGTAGCATCGGTCTAGATTTAAATGAGCTTTTCAAAGTAGTGAAGAATAAAAATAGCATGTGCCTAATTTTCTGATGCAATAAACTTCCTGTCTTTTCATGCTTTGATAAATGCAAAACCATCCGGTTTTTAATACGTACAATTTGTCAGTTTTTATCTCATCCTTTCCTTGAATACAAAAATAATAAAAAATCCATGCTCCTGGTTGGATTTCGGTGGAGTAGGCTACTAAATCACTTCTGTAACGAAGCATAAAGTATCACCTGAAAATGAAGGCGCCTGAGCTGAAATCGTACCTCTCTATGGATCCTTGATTCCTCAGCATTGAGTAAAAGTTCGAGAGGCACTAATAACGCAGATCATTTCTTCTTTTCAACAAAATAAACAGAAAAATTTCTCTGCGATACGTAATTAAGTACCTAGTCAAAGTATTTGATCCTCAACGATGCGATTGCGCCAGCTTTGTCGGTTAATTAAGCAATTTTGATTAAACCATGATAAATTTAACGAAATCTTGAAGCGTGCCAAAATTTAAAGGGGCGGCCAGTTAAATGATCATTGTGTGGATTTAATTTCTTTGAATTATAATTTTAGATCAAATTTTTGAAAAACCGCGAGCAGATTTTTCTTTCCGTTCAAAAAAAAAGAGAAAGATATCAATGACTTTCAAGAGAAAAGAAAAAGTGAGAATTTTCACCACTGAAGAAATAAAATTTGCAATCGTTCAGTTAATAATTTTATTTTTATTTATTCCAAAATTAAAAATTTAGCTTTTGTCAGGTAATGTCCTGGAGTATCCTAAACGTGCCTCGATAGATCCATCGAGTTATGTTCCCTTTTACACAGGGTCTCATTTTAAATTCCTTCCAAGGCTTTGATTTCTCTTTTTTTATGATCCACCAATTTTGACGATCAACTTCTCTTGAGATCAACCATTTAAGAGCAAGCACGGTCTATGCCGTGTCGCCTCCTCACAAATGTGCGATTAAAAAACCTACATGCAAAAAATGACATTATGGTCTCGAGACCCACGAGTATCTCGTCCGATCAAGGTCAGGAAGCACTTGACATTCCCCACATCACGAGACTGGCAAGAATCACTCTGGGGCTCTCCATAAATTACTTCAGGCATTTTTTCGATTACCTTAAACCCCCCTTTGCTTCTCTCTCCCTTTCTTCCTCTCCGTCCTCTGCATCTCCCTCAACCCGTCACTTTGTCTCACCCCTTTCCTTCCAACTCCTTCGCAGACAGATACCTTTAGACTCTCCTAAACTTTAGATTGAGTTCACTTCAGGTTACTCTTACTGCAGGCTTCTTAAAGAAAAATTCAACTAAGATTTCTGTTCTTTAAATTTTTAAGTGAAATCTGCTAGTAAGTCGTTCAAAACATACATCAGTGTTCCTCTTAAGGATGAGGTTACTTTACTTTCCTTTTAAGGAAGTACTGTTCAAATAAATATGTTAATCGCGCAATTTACAATCATTTCAGACTGAACTTCGCCATTTCACATGGGTAGTTTTACCTCTGGCTCCCTGAAGCAAATTGAAAATCTGGGAGACTTCAGATGTAATCATAGGGATGCAAAGACGGTTTTCAATTTATAATAAACCGACCAATTCCAAAAACACGATGTATATATTTACAATCACACAATGGGCATTTTGAAATATCAAACAAAAATATAATACATCTATGGACAAACGATGCCTCAGGCTAAAAGCACCTGTCATCACTGTAATTTTTTAACAACAATAAGGGAAATCGAGTGCAAAATTTTACCTTCCTCTCTATGAAAAAATTAACACGAAATATTTATAACTACGCCTTGATAATACTTATCAATACATAAATTATCACAAAACATATCACTGCGTTTATCAAATTAAATAGGGTTACTTAATTACTTAACTATTACATATGCAGGGTCGCTCTTATTTTCTGGCAGTGCGCAGCGGTACCCATGAAATCTTTCGCATTTCAGAATGATCCTCGATTTGGAGGAAGGGGGAGGGGGAGGGGGCGCAATTTCGGTTGATTGCAAGGAATCTTACATGTCTCTAAACGGCTATTGAAATAAATCTTATTTTGCACAAAGTGTTAGTTATTTTACTTCGATAGTGGCAATATACAAAGTCTGTCAATCAGAAAATAACGGTCAAATGAATTATCGTAATTAGATATCCCATAAATCGGTCGTTTTGCTTATCCCTCGAAGAGAAAAATGTGTCATCAATTTATATTTGATGCTTTAAAGTTTAATAATCCAATGCATTCAGATTTTCTGTTGAATTTACTTAATTTACGGGGAAGAACACTTCAGGAGCTATCACATCATGACCCTTTTAGGCCGTGCTACCATAACTATGGTCTTCCTTGTTTGAACGTAACCCGATTTTTTCAGCGTCTGTAGCAGGAGATCTGCGAACAGAGAAAAATTCCTCTAGGTCCGGATCATCGGTAAAGTAAGACTCGATTTGTTCCAGACTTTTGCCTTCAGTTTCCGGCAAGTAGAGATAGTAGTAAAGGAAACCCAGGAATGTGGTTGCTCCGTAGAGGTACATTACTCCGCTAAGGCCTACCCACGCTTTGATGTAAAGGTATGACTTGATCAAGGCGGACACCACTAAATGAGTCCAGGCGGCTGATATTCCCGTTGCTAGACCACGACCTCTGAAAATTAAAATCATACAAAACATTCCAAAAATGTATAATATGTAAATACGATACAGTTTATCAATGTTTGGACGCTAAATACGAAGGGAAATTATGCACAGATTAAATGGAAATTATCCTATATGCATAGGATTGGAATGTTTCATAGTCCTTTCCAATTTCATTCATTTTCGTATTGGTAACGTCTGACATAAATATCAGGTAGCACAAATCAGCAGGCATAAGCTAGTATCTTGAATTGGACTCGCTCTACCGATGTGAAATATTCAACATAGCTGCTTTGAACAAGGTGAATTAAAATGGGCGGAATCTACACTGACAGCCCCCCCCCCCCCCCCCCACTCAACACTACCTCCTCGAGAATAAAGCCGTCTTTTTCAGCATCTACTTTCATATCATGTCGAACGTTAAGCAATCTTCCTTTTCAAAATGCCAGCATTGTAAGAAAATGAGCGTGCGTCGGTTTAGTAAGGTGCGGACCATTCGGCCTCTCTAATTTGATTTTCTTTCTTCCCTTGTTTGCACTCGAATTTGTTTCACTTTTCCCGTGAAGTTCACTACACTTTTTGATTACCTAAAATATATGTGGAAGCCGTCTGTAAGCATGTAAATTGTAAGTAACAAAGATAAATCATGGAGCACATCGATGGCCAAAGTGTAAAACCACGTATCTCTGTTTTATTCCCACCAAGCAAAGTTTTTAAATTTTAACTTAAATGGCTTATTTTTCGACATTTTCCGGGAAATGCCCCTTCAAATACTCGCATGCTCGGGAAAATCTCTCCCAGCCTCGAGCCACCGTAGATTAACTAAAAAAATGTCAATAGAAGGAGGGTTTATGGTCTAAAATTTCTCGTTAGGGGAACCAAAAGATAAATAGTTTCTTAAAATCAGGACAAATTCAATTTGTTTAGAAAATGTCTCTAGGGTGAAGAAGGTTCAGACCCCCTGAACCTCATTCTCGCCAAGCGACTGCTCAGCCAGTTCTTCCGAATATCCCCGTCCTTATCTTTGCTTTCGATCCGCCATTGGAGCATATCGACGGTGAAACTACCAAACCACGTATCTCGTTTGCGGTGTTTAAAAATCTACGCTCACATTTTATTTTTTTGAAGTAGACCAAATCAATATCATTCCTTGAAATTTTCACGGAATTTTCTCCGCACAAAGAGAAAAAATCACAGAAATTTTCAAGACTGGATGTTAAGTAGTTTTTCATTTAAAAAATAAAGTATGACAGGAAGTCTGCGACGTCGCAAATCGAGATACGTGGTTTGGTAGTTTCACCGTCGATATACATTTCTACGGCGTTTACATGAAATTGGTGGATTGTTCATCATGTTTTACGAAGAAGCTCTTCATTCAGCTTTGAAAAGTTTTGATAAAATTGTAACTTACGCCTGAGGAAAGACTTCACTCATAAGCTGCCACGGCAGAGCGTAAAGGCCGAAACCACTGAGGAAATTTATGACCAGCAGCAGGATGGATGGAAACCAGACTAAATATGGGTATTCGCTTGCGTCCAAGAAAAAGGAGCAGAAAACTCCGATTCCAATAATAGATGCAGCTGCAATTCCGTTGGAGAAAAGCGCAATTTTCCGCTTGCCAAAATCCCTCAGAAACGAACCGTATGCAACAGCACCCAAAATGAACAAAATTTGGAACAGTATCTGTAACATAGAGAATTAGGTTAGAGGGTACCTGTTGAAGCTTGCTGATACTTACGATATGTCATTCAAACATTGTTTTCTCCTTTTTCTTTCTTGAAATTTTACAGTTGCATATTTATTTAACAACTTTTTCATCGATGCTTGAATGTTATATCTCTATTTCTTTCTTAATCTATGGCAAATAGCTATAATATCAATACCGGTAATTAAAACTAATCGTGGTTAAATGTATATTAATGATTCCTCGATATTTGAGGCATCTTGAAGCAAAGGGTGCAAAGTTAATTTTTCTGGATTATTTAAAGAATACTCGCGTTGTGGTGCTCGTCAACTAAATAGACTTTGCCCCCTACGCTTCAAGATGCATCATTTTCGGGGAACGGCCTCCAAGATCTCCGTGTTGGTAAGGGAGCACCGGAGACCCCCCCCTTTTTTTATACCCAGTATAATCCATTTGATACTGTTTCGATACTCCGAAAGTATTTTTTCATGTTTAAAAAGAATAATCGAATAATAGGCTCTCTGTGGAACCGTGGAGAGAAAATCATACGTACCAGGCTGAAGAAATATACTACATCATAATTTATTTACTCACCAAAATAATTTTTGGGTCAACTGGAGAGTTTAGAGCATTCAGCTCGTTGATGGAGTACGGTCTCATGCCACTGACGACAGCCAAAAAAGTAATTGTAAATGAGATCAACACTAAACGTAAGGGGCGAAGGACATTTTTGTTTGTCAGAGCTTTCAGCTGCGTCATCAATAAACCGTCAGTTTTACTATCGATGTCATCTGAAAATTGAAGTGAAGTAGTGTTGATAAGAGTTTTTTGGACAAAGTAGATGTGCAAAGTTTTTATTAAGCGGCCGGGAAAGAGAAAGGACAGAATTTTCCTAAGCTTTCTCTATCAAAGTAAAGATGAACTTTATGCCCCATTTCTCCCGATGAAATTTTTTTTATCCAATTACTCGAACATGAATTGAAAAGTGCGAATTTTTTAATGCAAAATCTGAACAAATCTATATTTGGGTTTTTAAACAGCAAAAATTTTGCTTTCATACGCCGATTATGGACGGTAGGTTTTAGCCACACATGCATAGGAATATATTTTTTGCAAAATACACTCAGACAATTAATGGATTAAATTCAAGAAAAAAAGGACTCTAAAAACATTCTCCAAAGTATATTTGAACTAATCATTTTAAAACATCCATTCGAGGAATTTGGATTGATAGGGGGATAATGGAATTCTACGTGCCGTTTTTAGGTTTTAGGCCTGCACCGTGCACACGATATTGTTTAAATTCTCGGTGCACTCTCAGAAATTTTTTATAGTGTTTGGTCCGCGTTAGAAGGCCAACATCGATTTTCAAGACGAGGTCTTTCTTGGAATTAGCGGGAGGGGTTTTGCTTTTAAAGCAAACATACAGTAGCATTATGCAACGATTATTCAACTTAGTCAATTGTTCTATAACGAAAACGAGTGCACCATCCATCCAGAAAAATTTATTCGTCTTGGAGCTCAATTCTCCAAAATTTCTGAGAGTGCGCCCAAAAGATAAATCATTCTTGGAGAATATTCATAATATTTTGTGCTTTGATAAACAGTAAAATCGAGAAATAAATATTTTAAAAAAATGAATGAATACATTATAAAACAACGACGATCTATGCACTATAATAACGCACCAGTTTTTTCCGACGCTTTGGCTTCTTTGGCAGATTTTTTTGCATACATTAGAAGATTTTGAAACTCCTCTTCAACTTCATCTGGGCCAACCCAACCTCTGAGCCAGCATAACGCTTTTTTAGCTTCATCCAACCGATTATGACTGATTAGCCATGCAGGAGACTCCGGTATCTGCAATAGTAAACATTATGAGACTTTTCCAACTCATCGAGGACAGTCAAGAATCATTTAGATGATTGCATGAGTGAAACAATAAAATTATTTTTGGAAGAGGATGCATATTGTTACTAATTTAATTCTTAATTCCGCGAGAGTAACGAATAACATCTAACGTTAAAAGCATAACAGCTGCTATCAAGCATCATTTTTTTATTTAAATATTTTTCAAAAGCGTATAAGTAAGGAAGACACAAATACCAATATTAAAGCTCCAAGTCAAGCAATTAGAAAGTATGCATTTGATGCAGTGATACCATTCAATCCAATTTAAAACATGTAAAAAAATTTCTCATAATTAAGTCTTATCTACTATCTCACTGCACTGCCTTTGCTAAAAATAGCGAGAAATTTCAGTGCGAAGCGGAGAGAGTGGGGAGAAGTGATTCATCACAGAAGGCACATGCAAGGAAAGTTGCCGCCCCAGAAAATGTAGGCGTTTCTGTAGCCTTAAAAACAACCAGCAACCAGCTAGTTCCAATCAGTCAATATCTGGTTACGATATCTTTTCTATAGATGCGTCAAAATTTTTATGCGTAGATAGATGTAAAAAAATTTAATCAATTTTGGAACTTACTTGTGACATGAGTGCAAAAGTCAGAACCGGAAATATGCTGCTAATTAAAGCAGTCGTTCTCCAATCAAAGAATACTCCAAGACCGTACATAATTGTCATTCCTAAATATGTCAAAGCATATGTCAGAAAATGTTTTGCGGGACACTTCATACACAATAATAAAGAGTTATTCCTCCCTATTTTTCTTTTTTAACAGGGGGGATTGAATAATTAGTTCAAGTGACGAGTGATTAGGGACATTTACATCACTAAAAACGAAAGAAAATTTAATCATTTTTTTTTTTTTTTTGATCTGAAACAGAACTTGGAGGAATAAAGAGACGTAGCTGTACGTACTTAGAAATTTTCCGACCAAAATAGATATTCATGGTCTAAAATTTCTTATAGGGTTAAAGCATCCTAAATATCGAAAAAGAAGAAAGAAAAGACATTTTTAAGGACACATTTTTAATCATGGGGAGTACATTGGTCCCCTAGTCTTCCGTTCCCGTCCTTCAAATAGTTAAACGTTTAGAGACACACAAAATCCTACAAGTGTCCATTCTTAAATAGTCTATCGATTTTTTTTCAAAGCAAGCTAGTCTTTTAACATTTCTGATGAATTCTTAATTTTAGATTCCTCTGTTAGAAAATTTCCTGGCAGCATAAAAGTAGCTCTCTGTGAAAATGAATTGAACTAAATGGGGATGAACATGGGCTTAAAGCTGTAATTCGATGAGGAAAATTTCAGAATACTAACCTGTGCTTATCGCGGTTGAGGTCATGGTGATGAGAGTACCCCGTATGTGGGGTTCTCCGATTTCGCCGAGGTAGGAATTGAGGGGGGCCTCGGACAGGCCTATGCACACCCCCATAATGATGGCGACGACGTAGAGGGTGGCGATGGAATCGGCGAAAGACAGCAGGATCCACGCCGCGAAAATGGGGATATTGACCAACATGCCGGACCCTCGTCGGCCAAGCGCCTCTTGGACGAAACCCGATGCGAAATTGGCGAGCGGGGTGCAAAAATAAGGCAAGCTACCTGGAACCCAAACAGTCCGATTCAGTTGAAAAAGCATATTTTAAAAAGAGAGAAAATTATGAAAATAATTTGCTCCGGATGGATCATATACTTTCACTCACTGGAAAAATAGTCGCTTGGATCGAGAGTCCAGACTTTAATAACATCGACAAGAAAAAATACTCTTGATTCAATCCCATTTTTCCTTGAATCGAAGAGCCGAGCCTCTTGATTTAGGCGGATTTCCTTTCGAACCAAGCAAAAATTTCGATTGAATCAAGAGTATTTTTTCGTGTCAATGTGTTTAAGAGTCTGGACTCTAGATCCAAGCGACTTTTTTTCCAGTGTACCTCCAAAATAGTGCAAAATATCACTCTCAGAAATCTTGGAGTGAAATCTGCGGTACGGTAGACTCCACCTCTTAATTTCAGATTAGAGACTTCGCATGATGTGAATGAGGAACAAGACTCGCGCCAAAATAGAGCGCACTTCACAAAAATAAAGTTATTACTCCGCTCTGTGAGAGCATGATTTACTCCGTTTTCTAGTTTTCCCGGAGAAAAATAGGCGCTGCTGGGGCCAATGGCAGTCCGGATGTCATTCGAAATTTTTAACAGTCTATCTGATTTTCATTTTAATGGTACGAAAAAAGTTTGTTATGAAAACAATATTTTGGGTTCGAACGAATATTCAACCATTCACAAAGTAATGTGTTAGTATGTTCTCCATTGCTTTTCCTCTTCCTTTTTTTCTTTTTTCTCTCATTTTCACTTTTTCTAGCGTTGGAACGGCCCTTTGACTGGCCACCCCACCGGGTAAAGTCCCAGGCCTGACAGAAATCAATTGGACTCCTACAATATAAAATTACATAGTAGGTGAGCCAAAATCTGAAGGCTAACTGATACCATACAGCTGCGAGATTGTGCTTACTTTCTTTACCGTGCGTTAAAGTCTCCAAACCTGTTGCGAACCACACGTAACAGATGTTCAATGGACCATTAGAAAAGGTGCTTTAAGCATCATGATACACTTGTTCTCGTCGAAATTTCGCTTAAAACACGATTCGCGCAACAAGTATCACTGCAATTGACTCCTAACTAAAATATCTGACCTTTCCGATGCGCCCCAACAACCCCAACGAAATTTAGGACTGAAAAGATGTAAACAACTTCATAAACCCTCAACAAGAAACATTGTTGACCAGGACCGGTCAACTCTCCGTAGTGTTGAGGGTTGATGAAATTGTTTACATCTTATCAGTATTGAATTTCGTTGGGGCTGATCACACGGTTTTTAATGTAGTTGTGCTTTTAGCTTTATTTTTTAATTTTGTATTTATTTTAGCAGTTGATAATGGCTTTGGTCGCCAGCCGAAATGTTGCGAATGTTTTCATAAAGTTTTAGCTTTGTTTCCCACTGTTTTTATTGTGTTTTTGCCATCGAATTTCGGGCTACCGTTACTTTTCTTTCGTGTATTATATAGAGCTATATATTATATTATAACGCTCACCGAACCAAGATGCCTGAGCATCGTCCATGTTAAGTTCCTCGTTAGGGTTCCCATGGAGCGCGCCAAGAATCAAAGTCGAAGCACCCATCATCAGTCCGTGGTCGATAAGAATCCATCCTTGGATTATCGTCGCTAGCGCCTGGAAAGTACCATGAATATTACATCTATAATGAGTGTGGATCGCAAAGTGTGTGTTTTGCTAAAAGCGGAACTGCCATGCGAAGAAAATATGCCATAAAAACTTTCGGACGTTGCAAAATGTATACTTCTAAATTAAACACGAATTCTATGAGGAGCCTTTGAGTACTAATTATCCTCCAAGTTTTTAGAGAAATTCATTCGCAATTTAAGCCAAGGTTACTAAATTAAAATAAAAAAATAGAAGAGACTGAAGAATATTGATAACTCTGCCTAAAAATAAATTTAATTGGGCGGAAAATTGGCAAAGTTCAAAATCTCGCAAGCTGTTTCTCTTAACAGAAACACTTTTGAAGTCAGCACAAGAATATCTAAAAAATTAGCTTTGTTTTTGACTCACTTGCACTTTTTTATTTGAAAAAATCTTGATCTGAACTTATTTGATTGAAGCTCTTTTTACTTTTTTGGTCGACGCTATTTTTACTTTTTTGATTGAAACTTTTTTTTTTATTGATTGATTTTTTTTACATAAATTTCTCCTAAGTATGGCAGGTAGCCAGCGATAGCGAGCGAACAGCGATGGAGTATTTGTTTTTTCTCTTTTACTTGTTTTCCCCTTTTTTCTCTTTTTTTGGCCACAATGTGATATCCTGCATAATTTTGCCAGTAAAAGGAGGATAGTCACCTGAATCCTTATACGCATACCTACAAGGATCAATTTGAAAGATTGATCGATTGAAATAGGTGAAAATCAAATAAATATCAATTTGATAAAATATCCGATAACTGCGATATTCTAGAAGGATGAATCTTATTCAAGAGAGCATAGATTGTAGTTTAATCTCTCCCCATGTAGATGAACCCGAAACTGCTTTACCAATTAACATGAGGATGCGCTTTGTTAGTGCGAACAGTTTAAAGTTCTTTCAATCCACAGTGTGGCGAGGCTGCAAAGCCCGTCGACGATTTACACTGATTACGTAAGTGTCTAGACGCGCGAATAACAAGCAGTGCTCTCTAGTGGGCGACTTTAACGAGATTCGATTTTAAAATTCGATGGCATCAGCAATGTCGTATGTTAGGAAAATAATTATTTGTTTGAATATATTTCGGATCCTTTTCCCCATCTTTGTCGATCGCATGATGCTGTTGTTGGTTGAGCTGTCGGTTTAAAGGAGTGCGCCAGCCTGATACGTATTCAAGTACCACTGAGTGCCGAAATTATTGAATTAACTTTGCAGTTTAATGCGATGAAATAAAAAAAAAAAATTACCGTGAAATTGAAATATGTTTACATTATTTGGTCAATAAATGCAGATTCTAAATAATCAATAATATGAGCTCCATGCGTGAGAAAAGTAAGCAATTTGCAATGTAAGAGAGCTGGTCATTATTTTCCTTCTTTCAGTCGCGATGCACCCGGAGTTGCACGCTGAAATTGCACAATCAGATAAGCAATGCTTTCTTTATTACGAGCAAATATGGCTAACGTTTAAAGGAGGAAAATAGATTTTCCCGGAATTACAGCTTGAAAATGTATTCGACCTTGAATTCGCCAATCAAATGGTGCTACTTACCGCGTGCACACGTTTTTGAGCGATAATTTACAGGTGCAAAATAATGTAATCGTCCCCAAAATTAATTCCGATAATGTCTCAAATCTCAAGTGCGACTCACCACTTGCTCTTCATTAATTTTGATATAAGATTCTATTCACAAACTAATTCTAGGCAGAATAGACTAAAATATGCGATTTAGTACGTAATCTAACTTGATTTCAAGTAACATGAAAAAAAAAATCACGGCACTATCTAGTACCCGTTTGTTTCATGCCAGAGCAGCAAAACAACACAGGAAACGTGTCATTCAATGATAACTTTTCTAGTTTTACTAAACTCTTTCAAATTTCATCCAAATTTTTCTTGTGCAGTTTTGTCGTTAGGAAAAATGTTTCTACGGATCTGGGTGTTTTTTTGGAAATTTCAAAACCACCTAGTGCGACACACATGCACAAAACAAAATAATAAAAAAAAACCTTCCCCTCCCTGCAGGCCTTTTTCCCGGACCAAGGTCCATTTGAACCCAGTCTGTTCGAACAAGACAACGCGAAATAAATTGGAGCTCCAGGATGACGTAACAAACTAACCTGTGCGTATGCCGACCTGCTTGAATATCCATACTGCCTCTTGGTTGTGAGAGAGCTCTTCTCGTCAGAGGGACCGCCAGAGGCCGGCGAAGGGTCACTCATTTCGTCCCTTATCACTTAAATCCCTGTAAAAAAACACATTCACACTATCACAGGGATCGAACCGAGGCCGGCACTAACTCTAACTTTCACGTGCACTTGTCAACAAAGTCGCGGTACCGAGGAGCACCATATCTCGCCACAACCGGTGAGAACCGTTTCACCTGCGTCCGGCCACGGATCTGATTGGAACCTTTGTGGTCCCACTCACACTAGCGGTCTAACCGCAACGCGACGCGCGACGGTCTGATCACTACGCTGCGCGCGCACGAAATGGTCGTCTCTGACCGCTAGTGTGAGAAAGACTCATCCCCAGCGGGTATTGCCAAGTTCACGTACTGAAAATGTGCCCAATTTTCTTAATTCGAGGGTTTGCTTTTTTGTTTGTTTTTTTTTTTGTTTTCTTTTAATAGACGGACGTCTGACGTGCGTTTTGGTGGGTTGCTTTTTCAAAAGTCATACTTTCAAAAATGACTACATCGAACATCAATATATCCAGAAGCGGATCCAGCAATTTGTCAACGCCGGATTTCCTCCATTTAAACCTATGTTAAAAAATAAATTATTTTCGGAGCACCTGACCCCTCCAAGAATCGATACATTTCCGTAGGTTTAAATGGAGGAAAAACAAGGTTGTCAATTTGCTGGATTCGCCAATGAATGTATCAATTTAATTCAGACTTATACATTTTTCGTTCATTGGACAATACTTTGGACCCAGGATATTTCTAGGAGAAGCCCAAGGCTTCGTTACGTAACGCTACGATCGGCGCGTGGGCCAATTTTTTTAAAATTCATATGAGTAATTAACGCAATGTAGCAAATTTACATAAAGTTCATCAGGAAACGTCAATTTACGGGATGAAGGGAGATGTCAAACAGACCTTTAGGGAGATATAGACTCGTGTTCTATGGGTGCGTTACTAGATAGATGGGGTTGTAAAAAAGACCAATATTCAGTGTCACATGTTTTATGAACGGACCCAAAGTCTCATTCGAATAAGTCAGACAAGCAGATGACCAATAATGCGTCCCGATCTTCATTGGTTGCTAAATTATGGTGCGCGTCAAAAGGGGAGCCATTCCCAAGCAGCACACTTTGCAATAAATTGCAATTACACCGTAAAATTATTGCTACCACATTGGAGTGTTGTGTATGTTACCCGTCTACTGACTGAAGGTATATGTACTTAGGTATGTGTGACTTTTGAAATTTATAGCAATAAAATTGAAATACGTTGCAATTTCTTATTGCATTGTGCTTTCCTTGTCCATCCTTTACACACGAATACCGTCTTTTTGATAATGCAAAATTGGCATTTATTGACCAAATAATTTTAATACTTTTGCAATTTTATGATAAAAAAATGCAATTTTATTGCATTAAATCGCAACTCAATCTCAGTATTTTCAGCGTTTGAACTTTGCGTATCGGCGCGGTGCGACGGTTTTCAGCGATTTAACTTACAATCAGAATCTGCCCAACCGGTCACCGGACGGCACGTGAGGCGTAGCGGTCGGCGCGGAACGACGCTCGGTAGGATCACCCGTCGGGAGAGGTCAAAAATAAAATTTTTGTTTTCGCTGAAAATTTTTTATTTTTATTTTGTCAAACTATAGTTTAAAATGAATGCCTCTGAAAGGAAATTTTACGAGCAAACCACTTTAACAACTTTTAAACTTCCAGGATCTGTACACACGAATATATGAGTTTTTAAAGTTTCCGATTCATATCCAACTTCTCCTATTGACTTGCTCCGTTGTGCGGCGGAGGAAATTGCACGGGTGGAACCGCTGGCACCTTGCTCTGTGTTTGGTTATGTAACGCATTGACTGATTCTGAATCGGTGTTGTAGGATGCTAATAGGAAAACCAGTCGACGCTTATGGCCAGCGGCGAATCATCGAGCGAATCCTTCTCTGTAAACCGGGCAAAAACTGTCGCACAGTTCTCCCCTCGGTTGCTTCTTGCACTCCGTGCAGACTTCTGTGGATTCTGCTAAGTTATGTAACGCTAAGACCCGGTTCACCGGTTCGACCACTTCGGCTTCCACCTCTAGACTCCTGACGAAGAAAAACTTTAGATGGCATTTTTGTAGATTTTAGGGCTTATGAAGAGAATTTGTTGGTATTAATGACACTCTCTTGGCTAAAGGGACATTTTCGGACTGTAATTCTTGAACGTCGGTATAAACCAACTAGGTGCTCGACGTGTGTGTTTTTAGTCAGTGGATGGAGCTTAACGAAAGATCATAGGAGTGGGTCTTACAATCGGACAACACTGAAAAAAATTTCTTGAGATATTATTTTGACTTAAAGCGTCGTTCCTTGTCGACAAAATTTGTTGTTTCTTTTTTTTTTTTTAATTAAATGCGGGCGGATTTAAATGAAAGTCAGTTTTTTTGAGTTAATAAGACGTTGTTTTGTTATCGTTAAGTTTTCATTAAAAAAAAGATGGAAAAAAATAAAATCGAGAAACAGAGGTTTGGAATTACATTCCTTACGTGCCTGGCAAACTGAAATAACTATGACGAATTAATGTCTCTTTATTCAAAAATACATTTATTAACTTTACTTAATACCTAAGATTGTCAACTTAAACATTTCTTTACATTTGAGCTTATTCTAGTCTTTACGGAGACAAAAACTATTACATAAAAAATGATATAAAAAGGATTGAAGAGATTTAAAACTTAAAGTAAATAATAAATTGTGTAAGTTTTTTCGAAATTTTAAAGTAATTGAATCCTAAATTTTATCGTCTACTAAAACTCCTGAAAATTCAATAGCCTAGCAAAACTAATGAGAAAAATTTAAACATTCAACACGCAGATTTTTTTGCGCGCCATCAATTTGAAATTACGGAGATATTCTCTCATCGAGGTTGATTTTAACCACAATCTGGGCAGTAAATCGTTTGGGGTGCACCCCAAAGAATCGATTAAAAAAAATAAAATCACAAATTTGTACTTAAGTTAAATTACTTAATACTCGTACATTATATCACAGCAATTCAGGATAACGGGCATTACTCGTCAAAGCCCGACTTCTGATTCATTTTTCGACCTCAAACTTCTCCTTTCGGTCGTGGTTTGAGGTGAAGTAGGTTTCGATTTGCTTCAGGCTCTTGCCTTCCGTTTCAGGGAGATGGAGGTAGAAGTACACAACGCCAAAGGCTGTGATCGTGCCGTAAAGATACATCACGCCACCTAGTCCTATCCAAGCTTTTATGTACAGATAAGACTTGATCAGGAGGGATATCACCAAATGTGTCCAAGCGGCTGATATTCCGGTTGCAAGACCACGGCCTCTGCAAGAAAAAACAACCAATTAAGTGAACGGGGAAATCTAATTTACGGATGAATATGTGTCAACAAAAGCTTAGGAATATTAGACTCTGTTGTTGATGCCACACCATTTTGTGTCCCAGATCTAATGTTTAGGTATATTCTTGGTACATATGACCATCCACGGGAAAAGGACCCTTAGTCTGCAGGGACAAAATTTAACTATTTGTAATGCAAATCTCGTCGAGTTGGGTCGAAAAACTGGATTTTGATTTTTCATCGGGAAACTCCCTGAAGGACCTTACAGAATAATTTGTCAGCAATTTGATTGGTTTTGGTGTCCAAATAATATGTGAGATTGCATTAAAATCCAGAAATTTTGTACTCAAAACGTGGCGGAGTAAAATGGACCACCAGACAAGGTACGAGTTAAAGGATTCTGATATATGTTTCTTAACCAGAATTTCACGTAGAACACGAATCGCGCAATAAAAATTACTGAAACCAACTCCTAACGAAGGTATTAACGATTTTATTTCACATTGGTTACAAGAAATTTGAACTGCCCGCTCACAAGAAACTCAAAGCTCTATCTACATTAGTCAAATCGCGCACTACAACGGTTTCGGCAATCTTCTCTATCGAGCAGTGTTCATTTCCCACCATGTGTTGTTCAAACTATAGGCAATTTGCTATAGCTGAGCCAAAGCGTCAAGATCGCGGTTGCCAGATTTTTACATAGCAGAGACTGTCATGATCACGTTTAGCGCTCGATGTGAATCACGTAGAGTATTGAGTTTTCATTACGGTGGTTTGAATTCACGCATCAAGAATCATTAAATATCTTCGTAAGGAGTTGATTTCGGTAATTTTCGCTGTACGTATCGTGTTTTACGTGAAATTTTGGTTAAGAAACATGTATCAGAATGCTGAAATTCGTACCTTGTCTAGTGGCCCATTGTTAATGGTTTTTCCTCGAAACTACGTTCCTTGAGCTGCAAACTTCAAGGCACCAAGGCCGGATTAAGGGGGTGGCCACATGGGCCGCGGCCCATAGCGGAAAATCTAAGGGGCGGCAAAAATTTGCAATTTTTTAAAGTGTAGGTATAAAAAAAATCGGATTTATAAAAACAAAATTACAAACGAGAAAAGGCGACAAAATCTCTCATTTCCTGAGAGTATAGTAATTTCTAATTTTGTCGTCTCTTAGTGATACAAGAGACAGCACCCTCAATAAGTCGAGTTACGAGAAAAACCAAACACGCAATTTCGCCTAGGACGGCGCGACTTAGAGAGAAATGATAACGATGACTTGAGATGAGAAGGAGAAACCCTCGGCGCGGCGATCGGCATGTAACAGTGTAACACATATGAGCGCCTACAAGCTTGCACGAATACTTCACGCATTGCATCAAACACAGTGCGCGGTCATTGCGGTCAGCGTGAAACGGATAGCGCCTACAAGAATGCATGAATTCTTCACGCATTGCGCCAAACACAGTGCGGTCAGCGCGAAACGCATAGCGCCTACAAGACTGCGAGAATACTTCACGCATTGCATCAAACACAGTGCGCGGTCATTGCGGTCAGCGTGAAACGGATAGCGCCTACAAGAATGCATGAATTCTTCACGCATTGCGCCAAACACAGTGCGGTCAGCGTGAAACGCATAGCGCCTACAAGACTGCGAGAATACTTCACGCGTGGCGTCCATTACAGTGCGTTCAACACAAAGACATAAAGACGGAGCGCTCGTATCTAAAAGCACGGGGAAAAAGTGAAGCTAGGTTCGGCGCTGCGCGCTTGTGTGAGTGTGTAAATGAGCGCGGGAATCCATGGCGGCAAACGGAAATTTGATTTGAACTTGTCCTCTTGATTTTTGCACATTTCTTCTTCGAAACGTATTTTAAATTCCTAAAACGAATATACTAAGAAAGTTCGGTCTGCGTCCTAACATAATACACCTACTTTTGCTCGGTAACAGGCAGTAATCTCAGATAAAGTTAGTTTTTCTTCTGCTCATGGTGGTTCTGCAGGTTCAAACAGGCCGTTACAGTTCTAGATCAACGTTACTCCCAAATGAAATTAATCGGTCGACGATGGACGGAAACTAACCTAGAGTTAAAAAAATATGAGTTTGTACCTGAATTTGGGCAAAAATCAACCTAAAATACTTTGTTTCCGCAATTTTATTTAGTTCCCGCCCTACATTTGAATTTCAAACTTGTCCCGATTTCGCCGTCAATCCTCTAGCCAATCGTAGAGGTGGTTGAAAAGAAGCTTCATTTTTTGCTTTTAGCCCTCCGTCTTTATGTCTTTGGTTCAACAGCAGTCGGCGCGCGTGAAACGCATAGCGCCTACGAGACTGTCGGAATACTTCACGCATTGCGCCAAACACGGTGCGGTCTGCGCGGCGCGGCGGCGCGGCGGAAGTTCAAATCATTGAAATACATTTATGATTGTTCCTTCATAATTGTTTCGTTCATTTCTTATGAATAGAAGGCCTTGTCTACACAGAAATAGGTTTACGGAACTTAACTTTCGCGCAAAGTTCCGTGAACTTTTGCTAGTAGTGTTGACAGGGCTTTCCCAAAAAATGTGTTCAACACGAGTAAATGCGTCTTATGCACCCCTTCCCCGCTGACACGCTCATTTGATGGTTTTTATCGAGTTTCAAAACGAATGAGAAGGGGGCGGAAAAATACAGGCGGCCCATGGGCGGCAAGTAGGTGAATCCGGCCATGCAAGGCACAAACTCAGATTTGGTTTAAAATATGTGTGAGAGTGAATTATTTGTGCAAAAATTTCCCTATACGAAACTCATCTACACTCAAGTATCAATAACTAATTTATGAATTTCTTTCAACCAAGGTCCTTTTTTCGTGGACAGTCGCATACCTCCAATGAAAGTTGTTTTAAAAAAAATAGTTTTCGATCAATATTTTTTACCGGAAAAATTTGCCAGGAACTTGCTCATATTCATAGAAACGGTTGGGAAACGTTAAATTATCATCCTTCAAAACCCCATAAAATCGATTCAGCCGAATGAGGTTTATCTTTTCCCATTCCAGTTTTCGATGAAATTTCAATCCTCCGCAACAATACGGTTCTATATTAAGTCGATCCATCGCGGTTGTTAAAATGGAAATGGCGTGCTTGCTTGAGCATACGAACACGGACTTAGGAACGTTGATGCGATTACATAAGCGAGGCAAAGACGAAGAAAAAACTCACGATTAAGAGAAATAGAAAATTGAAGCCAATAAAAAAGAGGGTATAAACTGATTTGACTCAGGGTCACCGGTGTATCTTTCATCGTCCAGAAAATAAACAAACGAAAGTGATGAATAATGTAAAGAAAAAACAAATAAAATAAAATTGATGAGTCATTATTTATAAAATGAGACCCACTTGATTATAGTCTATCCTTTACAATCGTGTCATTACTAGCTTTGTAATTTCTCCCTTTTTTTCTTATCCTTCTTTTGAGGAGACGAGGGATGGATGGTTTGCGGCCATCTAGTTGTTTCCTTTTTGCATGATTATGAGTGTTATCACTTTATGTACTTAGGCACTACTTTTATCTGCACTAACAGGTATACGTTTTGTTTTCGGGGTTTTTTTTTTCTGCTCACGAAAGAAGGTGACCAATTAAAAGGACTTCCTATAGTTGATTGTTAACGCCGAAGAAAAAATATGGTTGAACCATGGGGATTCCTGGCACAGTTCATCAGAGAAGTGATAAATTAAGCCACATATCTTCGCTGGTGCCGAAATCCAACCAATCAATATCGTTACACCTAACATTATCTTGTCTCTCCAATAGCCAAAAAAGACCAGGCTTATATGGGCCAGGAACTATTAAAATTAATCAACGCTACATATACGCCACTGGTGAGAAGCATGTTGACGCTATACTTACACCCGTGGGAAGACTTCGCACATGAGTTGCCACGGCAGGACCTGGAGGCTGAAACCGCCGAGGAAGTTGATGACCATCAGAAAGATGACAGGGAGCCAGGCCAGATGCGGGTAGTACACGGCCGAAGCCTGGAGGTGAAAGGCGTAAAAGCCGATCCCCAGGAGGCAAACCGCTGCGATCGCGTGCGAGAAAAGCGCGATCTTCCGCTTACCGAGTCCCTGCAGGAACATCATATCGGCTGCAGCGCCGAGCAGGAACAAAATTTGAGTGATTATCTGGAAACAGGAACACCGTTTTTTTTTGTTTTTTTTTTAAAAAAAGGAACACCGTGTACTGAAATCCGGGGAAATTTGTCGAAATTTAAAGTGAAGCTACTTTAAATTGAATCGCTTGATCGGAAAAGTGCTCTACTCGGAGGGGGAAATGCAGAAAACGCAAAAAAACGCATTTTTCAAATAATGCAAAAATTAAATAAATTAAATTTTATCCATTTAGGCTACTCTTGTTCAGTCGTGTCTAATAGATGCAGTAGTGCAAAATTACAAGAAAATAAAAACAAAAAAAAATTTACTCGGCTGAAAATTTTTGTTAAAAGGTAAAAGTTTTTGACATGCATGATTCGGTTCATAAAAATAGTTCCGTTGGCAAAAATATGATACTGTGCGGTCCTTTAAAGGTGCGCAGTATGAAAGTTTTAAACCTAGTAATGAGGTTTTATTCGAGACACATGAAATTGGAGCCTATGTTTATATGCAGAGTGAAATAAAAATGAAAATAATTGTAAAAAGTTAAAAAAAAAAATATAAACACACACATTTTCGCAATGACACGGAAGTTTCATTTTTCCCGAGTTGGACAATTTTCGAAATAAGACATATACAAAAACAATCTCCTTTGAAAGGTATTACAAATCAAACCGACCTTAGTAAACTTTTCTTTTCGTCCTCTTTTCCTGGTATACTCAGGTTTTTTCGAAATATATTTGTATGATTTTTTCACCCAATTTTCTGGAAATAGGGCATAGCAGGACCCCGGAAGACTTGCATTATTCCTCTTTCATATCCAAAAATGTTTCCACCAGTGATTAATAGATTGTTAATTTAATGAAGTAAACAAGAAATTAACTAATTTCAGGGATTAATATATTTTTAATCTGATTATCTGATTCTTAAGTTAATGTGCTTACCAGTACAAGCTTTGCATCAATCGGTGTGCTCAAGGCGTTGAGTTCGCCGATCAGATACGGTGTCATGCCTCTGAGAACGGCCACATACCCAATGAAAGAGGTAATCAGCACCAAACGAAGTGGCAGCATGATATTATCATTCATCAATGTCTGATATTGCGTTCTGAAAAAACCATAATCTTCCTGTTCAGGACCCCTTTCTGAAATATATCAGAAACAAATACAATAATGATAATGTCAACATCCTCCTACTGCCAATTTACGGTAAAATGTCATGTGAATATTATTTGAACAATGCACATTTATTTAATGGACAAGATTGCGCCTGTAATAGTTTCCGATAGACTCAAAATTTTAAAAATACTCCCTACCCCTTGGAACGCCAAATTGTTGTCTTATTAGGCTAACAAATTCTTGGATCTGCAACTGATTTTTTCATTGGATGATGAGCAAAATAATGAGCAATATTAGCGAACAGCTAATGTGTAGTACATATTTGTCACATGTTGCTTCAACACAACTCAAAAGCCTACACGAAGGTAAAATGACTGTTACTGCTCATAAATTTTAAATCCTCGGAAGTAAAGGTTCCCCTCACCTCCATAACGTTAGGAAGGATATCTACTCGTGGTCAACCAAGTATCTGAAATCTGACACTCTAATTTTTGCAATGTGAACGAAGACAAAAATCAAGACGGCAAGTGTTCTACTACTTTCTAGATACCTACCGGTTGAATGTTATGGTGGTAGAAATTGTATGCAACCTTAAAAATTTACATTATAATGCCAAATTTGGCTGGCTAAGCTGCATAGAACATGGTAAAATGATGAAAGAAAAATCGAGCTACAAGCCAATAATAAATTAAACAAGTAATATTTCAAACTACAAAGAGATGAGAAATAAGTAAGTTTTCGTAAGTTTTCTATTATTTCTCATCTCTATGTATAGTTTGAAATATTACTTGTTTAATTTATTATTGGCTTGTAGCTCGATTTTCCTTTCATCATTTTACCATGTTCTTAAAAAATTAGTTACCTTAACATTAATGTAATGCTTATAAGATAAGGATTTAGACACCTTGGAGCGTGCTTTCCGATGGTTTTTTGCGGATTGGATCCCGATTGTTGCTGAGGAGACTTTGATATTCCTCTTCAACGGCTTCTGCAGTAACCCAACCTCTCAACCACCTCAGTGATTTCTTAGCATCTTTGAATCGGCTACGTCCTATCAACCATGTTGACGATTCGGGTATCTGCAATAAAAAACCAATTTACACATATTTCATGGTGCTTGAAAAGGAGTTTTTAGGTTTAAGGTCTAGAAAGATGTATGTTATCATTCACTGAATTGTGTAAAAATAATTCACTTCGAAGGATCCTTAAACCGAGGGGAAAAAACAATATTCATGCTTGAAAAAACATGATTAAAAAGAAAAATCGATAAACCTCAGAAACTGATTCAATTAATTGAATCGATATACTATATTTTTGGTTATTCATTAAGATATTACGAATTGCATGTATTTTCAAATTTCTGCGAAAATATTTTCTATTTCATGGCTGTGTCAGGAAAGACCCGAGACATTTTATCGAATTTTCAGTAAATAACTTCAGATCATTAAGGGCAATTTTCTAGACACAGCGCTAAATTTTTTACAATCTTAGTATCATTTCTGGGTGCATTTGCATTGGAATTTGTTAGCTTCTAATGAGTGCACCGCTAGCATCTTGAAAAATTCCTTCTTACTTCCAATATACAGGGTGCGGCAAAAGTCCCGGGACGGCTGCTTATTTTTTAAACGGCTACACGTAGAAAAACGAATTTTGGGGGATGTTCTTGGGTCAAAGTAAGCTACTTTTTGGCACTCCCCAAAATTTTTTGGGGGCCCCCCTAGGGGAGGGCGGGGGGCAACTTTTTTTTTTCAAATGGCAACCCCCCCTTTGTGATACCTCATTCGAAAGATAATAAAAAAAGAAAATTTTTGGCGCAAACCGCAGGTCAAAATGTTCATTTTTGACAAAATGGCGGCCGGTCAAAGTTCAAAATGGCGGAAATTTGGCATCTCCGTTGTTTATTGACGGATTGGTGTGAAACTCGGAATCCTAGGGTTTTTCGAAATGAGAAAAACGATTCTGGCATTGGTTTTCCAGAAAAGTCAGTCCTTTTCAAAATGGCGGCGGTCAAAATGGCGGCCTCGAGCGGGAAGTGGATATTTAGGTTGCATATCGTTGGATTTGCATGAAACTTGGTGTCTGGGGGTATTTCGGCACGAGAAGAACGAATCTTTCATTGGATATCTGAAATTTTGACAAATTCCAAAATGGCGGCGGAAAAATTGCGGAAAATCAGTTTAACGGCTCTTTACGGATGGATTTGCATGGAACTATTTGATACTTCAAGAATCTAATGAAAGATTCCTTTATAACGAGCCAAAAACCGCCAGGATATCGAATTTCATGCAAATCCAACGGTAAAGAACCGTAAAACTTATTTCCCGCAATTTTTCCGCCGCCATTTTGGAATTTGTCAAAATTTCAGATATCCAATGAAAGATTCGTTCTTCTCGTGCCGAAATACCCCCAGACACCAAGTTTCATGCAAATCCAACGATATGCAACCTAAATATCCACTTCCCGCTCGAGGCCGCCATTTTGACCGCCGCCATTTTGAAAAGGACTGACTTTTCTGGAAAACCAATGCCAGAATCGTTTTTCTCATTTCGAAAAACCCTAGGATTCCGAGTTTCACACCAATCCGTCAATAAACAACGGAGATGCCAAATTTCCGCCATTTTGAACTTTGACCGGCCGCCATTTTGTCAAAAATGAACATTTTGACCTGCGGTTTGCGCCAAAAATTTTCTTTTTTTATTATCTTTCGAATGAGGTATCACAAAGGGGGGGTTGCCATTTGAAAAAAAAAAGTTGCCCCCCGCCCTCCCCTAGGGGGGCCCCCAAAAAAAATTTGGGGAGTGCCAAAAAGTAGCTTACTTTGACCCAAGAACATCCCCCAAAATTCGTTTTTCTACGTGTAGCCGTTTAAAAAATAAGCAGCCGTCCCGGGACTTTTGCCGCACCCTGTAGATCAAGCACAGAAACTAGGCCTCCAAACCATTACTGTAAGAGCGCGTTTTTCCGTTTTATGTGAATCATCACTCCAAAATGTAAAATTTGATACATATAATTTACCATAGGAGTAGACGGCATTTTCCTTCATTCTATTTCCTACGATAGAAACGTTCCATAGCTTCCAATGAATGGATTTGTGTCGAAAAATTTTTTGTCTAAGTGAAAAATTGCCCATACAACATGGAAATCAAATGATCGTCACTTATAATGTTATCATCAATATTATATTCGATTATTTTTTTACTTTTTCAGATTCGCAAATATTTATGATACTGCATTAAATAACTCACCGGCGTCATGAGTACAAAAGTAACAATCGGAAAGGCGCTACTAATCAAGGCGGCAGTCCTCCAGTCAAAGAAGTATCCGAGAGTGTACATTATAAAATAACCTGAATGAAGAATAATTGATTAGTGCACGATTTACATGGTCGGCAAGTACTTCAAAGACATTTTTTGTGCTACATTGTAAACTGTGAACCGAGTTACCGGTTGAGTTACTCATTGTTTGAGCTACGTAACCAGCCAGGTATTGCAAGCCGCGTATGGAGAGAAACCTGCAGACCTCCTTAAGGTGTCAGTCACACGCGATAGCGACAACGAAGTAAGGAAAGACGGTAATTGGACTTGGGAGCCAATTGTAAGCTCTGTGACTACTTCACAGATTAAGCTTCGGTCTATTAAGCTATCTTCAGAAATACTGATATCTGATATGAAACTTGAATGTCTAAAATGTTGTCATCCCTCATCCCTTAAGTATTACGGAACAACCCGTTAGGTGAGTCGTGAGTGGCAGGCTTTGCCAGCGTTATGCAGCTTTACTGGCGCTGTCGTGACCAGAAATATTTCTGGAGGGGGAGGAGAGGAGGGTCTGCGGTCAAACATTTTTCTCAGTATGAGGGGTTCAGAGGAAAAAAATCCCGGAAAATCATGAATAATTACTGTTTAAGGGGGGAGTTTTTAGTCATGGGAGCCCCCCTCCTCCCTCCGGCTACATTTCGTGACGATTCTTGATGATTTACTCGTATTTTCAAATCGTTTCTATTTCCTACAAAAAGTGTAATAAAATCGACGGTTCAAAAAGGCTTAAGCTTTATGAAGGCAAACAAATTGGTTCGCTTGGACTACAGGAGTTAGATACTCCTGAGGCGTGAAGAGACGCAATCCACAAGACGTCTTGTTAGTTAGGCTTATGCTGTGGGCAAACGTGCCAAATGCTGCAAATGGGGCGTTCCATGATTATAATGGAGGGAGGGGGCACAGCGTTATGAAACGAATGCTCGTAGTTCTTCGAAATGAATTTCAAGTAAATGCGATGAAATAAATCACATCATTTTCGCGAAATTGTCTAGTCCCAGCTCAGATCAAATTATGGCTCATTAGGCCTTTCGCCTCATATATCCTTTTTTTATGCAGAATGCACTAGAACACTCTTCAACCTCTAATCCTCGATTAAAATAAAAATAAAACGAATGTAAAAAATAGCTCACGTGCGTCAAATACTTCTGAACGTGATGAATTTTCAAGCTTACGTAATTTTCTTTTCATTTTATTCAGTTGTTTATTTGTTTTCACAATTAACATGAGCGTGTGTTACCACGTTCTCTCTCTCTCCTCCCCTCTATCCCTTTCTCTTTTTTTCATATGAAATCATTCAAAAAAATTACTCGTAAATGGGTATATTATTTTTGAAACTCTTGAGAGTCATTCATAAGTACGTAACGATTCTGGGGGAGGGGAATCTAAGCCTGCAGGTATACAGGTTGCGTTACGGAGGGACTTCAGGACGGCGTGGCGTAATCATTTCAAGGGGGTGCAGACCTGAGTTACACGTGCATTGCGGGAGAGGGGGAAGAGGGGGGTCGGGGGGTGGAATTCCAAAAATCCGAATTTCAGGTTTACGTATGTTGTGCAGAGTCCCTAATTTGAACAGGGCTTTACAGATAAAATGCTGATCATTTACGCCAGTTGAATACTTGGCAACCAAGGACGCGAACGCTCTCTTTGGCGGCATTTCAAATGCATTAGCCTTGGCGCCACGTCTGTTAACGGCTTCAGGCAGATCCCCTATCTTGAGTTATGCGACTCTTCACCTAATGAAAAGCCTCCTTTTCATTCGCTTGAATGTCCATCTGAACGGACGAGCTGACCAAAATGATGCTGGTCTACAATCATATATCTTTGAAAAGGGTCGTATACATACCCGATTGAAACCTTTCCACCCATTCTATAGATTATAATTGTACACTGATACAACATTCGTTGCTAATTCAATAAACTGGTTGAAGGTTTACGTAATCTAGAGCACTGTATAAACATTCATGCGAGGAGAAAGGTCCAATGATATGCAAAAATGGGTTTTCGCGATTCACGGCAGAAAGCAAGCAGAGTGGAAGTATTTTAGGATAAAAAACAATTCATTTGTCGACGAATGAAGGTATGAGCTTCATTAGTCCCAGCTCAAAAAATTTCCTCGATCTTCTTACTTGCTCATGGCTCATGTTGACGTCGGAACTCCCAAACCGCGTATGTCGTTGGCGGTGTTTAAAAATTTCCACTCCAATTTTACTTCTTTAAAGTAGGTGAAATCAACATCATTGCTTGAAATTTTTTGAAAATTCTTCGTATAGCAAAGAAAAAGCACGGAGGTTTTTAAGAATTGACCTGGAGTAGTTTTTTCTTTAAGAAATTAAATCTGACTGCAGAAAGTCTCTCAAGTCGCGAAAGAGATGCCAGATTCTACATGGCGACCAAAGACCCCGAGTAGTATAATGCGAAGTGGGATTAGCAGCATAAATGCGTATGACACTCCGCAAGGATAGTAGACTCCGCTCCGTAATGGTCTAAGTCACTCCGTATAGAGCATGGATTCCGCTTTGCACTCATATCACTCGGTGTTTTTGGGCGCCACATAGACTCGGGCACAAAATTTCACTCTAAAATTTTTGACACTGTTTAAATAACGTGCCCTGACTGTCGGGCGAACGAGAATCTCAACAGTGACAACGCCTTGACGCACTTACTGCTGACTTCCTGTTCTCTTTGGTAGGTAACAAGGCTGAGTAAGACACACGGCTGAGGATGCAACTATACGTGCTCTATGGATATGCGTGTTGCGTGTACGACGATTCGAAGGCGCTTCGGCTTTGTAGCCCTCGCGCCCTCGCCTTACACCGACTTACAGAAGTTGCAGATCGAGTTACGGTTAGTCGAGTCTCTGTATGGTGAGAGATAAATATTAGTAGTGTAATATTCGCCAAATTATTAATACCACTCCACTCCCAAATTATTAATAGTGTAGGAAACTTGTATATTTTAAACGTGAAAAATCCGCCGAGCTTACCTATGATCATGGCGGTGGACATGATGGTGGCTAGCGTTCCCCTGAGGTGGGGTTCTGATGTCTCCCCGATGTAGCAACTGAGCGGGGCCTCGCTGAGGCCGATGCTGAGACCCATGATGACGGCCACCGTGTAGAAAGCCGCGATGGACTCGGCCACGTAGAGAAGTATCCAAGCCACGAAGATCGGGATGTTGACGAGGATCATGGACCCCTTACGCCCGAACTTCTCCTGGAATATCCCCGAAGCGAAGCTTGTGATCGGCGTGCAGATGTATGGTATGGCCCCTGAACGATAGAACGAGATATTAGTGAGATGGGCCTTTCAAAGGGAAACTCTACGAGTGGACAAAAGGATTGCATTTTGCAATCAGGAACTAGGTACAACTACTGGCTCATCCGTTCAAACATTTATGTGCATAGGGAAAATTTTGGTATATACGGTGTTTCTAAACTGAGTCAGATATTGTAGTTCCCAATTGCAGAGTGTATTCCAAAAGACAAGTGGATAAAATTGAGCAATCGACCCATGAAGAAAAAGGGACCTATATTTAGTGTTAATTGTGGGGAATAGAGGACGAATTAACCTAAACGAGGGGTTAATAACGCCCCCAAGTTCTTATTTAAACGCGATGCGAATCGTAATGTTACGATTCGTTTACTTGTACCCTGACTGTTTCTATAAGAAAAACCAAGCGCAGCTGACCTTGAGGCCACCGGGGACTTTTCTCATTAGCATAAAGATCTCATTGTCAGCCCGAAGACACCATGAGGATATAATGCTAGGTTCATCACTGTGCAAAAATTTCTTGGTGAGAGGGTACTCGTAGATGTTTAAAATACCCTTTAGCGGCGTGGCTTATGTGGCTTCAGATATGAGTGATACAATTTATAATTACGATGAAATCTTTTTTATACAATTAATAAGTATGTAGGCTCCAGCTACTTCACAACATTGACATGTTTAATAATAATTTGACTAGAAACACCGCAGTAAATATCTATTTCTTCTGGTGTCACTATCGTGTACTACTTTGGCATAATATGCCGGTCACTTCTTTTTCAACTCATTTCAGTGTCAAGCATTTAGCAATTGGTTTTTTTTAATTTTTTTTATTTTAGCATTTTTTCCCTACATCGTTCGTTATCATTACATATTAAATGTAAGGCGACCCGCAACACTTCTTAACAGGCATGACTTGACAACCGCCTGCGGCGGCAATGAACGTTACTTTTATCTATCTAATCTTGTAGCGGAGCCTTATCTCATTTGTCTATAATAGATTACAATGATATTAGACTATCTTGTTCTCTTGAGGCAGCTTCTCTTGTATTTACGTTCGGTTCAACTCGAATAGAATCCGTCGTGAAACTCCTGAAGAAAGGTACCGACAAACTCTTTCGATTACATTCGTAAAAGTATTCTTTCAGAAACTTATCCGTTCGACCCAAGAAAGTTGCCTGGATGATACAACAAAGCCATTACCTCTTAGCAGTTTCCATGAGTGATCATCAAGAGCCCAAAGTTTAAAGTTTTTCCATCCCCCAACTATATTTACTTGCCCATGGAAATAATTTCCAATGCAACTATTTGTGTACCGGAACTGCCCGTTTTGTCTACGAAAAAACTGAAAGCGTTTTGTCTTTACTTGCCGTCACGGAGTTTCACGAACAAAGGCAACACTACGCAATCAGAGGCTAAAATCTCAATGATACAACTATTCGTGTTCCGAAGCTGCTCTTGTTGCCTATGCAAAAACTGAAGGCGTTTCGCTTTTTGTGGCCGTTACAGAGTTCCACTCGTAATTTGGCATGGGTGGGTTATAATGACAAAATGGACCAGTGCTGTGTGGGGATATGAACATTTGGACTGTAGACTCATGAAAAGTGTTCAATGGAAAGTTGAGGTCTGTTATCACAGATTCAGTCAGCTTAAAATTTAGGCTATAATCTCCCTTACCGAACCAAGAGGCTTGGTCATCATTCATATCGAGAGGCTCATTTGGGTTGTCATGGAGAGATCCTAAAATCAAAGTCGGCACAGCCTTCATCAGTCCATTGTCGATCAGGAGCCAGCTTTGAACGATGGTTGCCAGCACCTGCAATCGTTGAGAAAATGTATTGTTACGAGGTTAAAGCAGAATTAATTAGAACTTTTGCGAGGAATATGAATTCAGAAAATCAGAATCAACTACAAGTGTCTTGGAGAGATCTGAATGAGTATATATTCATTTGATCCCCTTTGACTGTCGACGAGAAAAGGACCATTTCGACGGAGGAATTTTTTTTTAGTAGAAGGATTTTTGTTGGTGTTGGGTGAATTACTGGATTTTGACATTTTTACGAGAAACTCTCATTGTCTCGTGCCTTAGAAGACAAGTTGAGAGCGGTGTAGTAAAATTTCAGTCGTACTTTGGAAATTTTGGGAAGATTAAGATTTTTAATAGCATTTTTTCGAAACTACGCTTTTTGATCCGTGAAGTTCAACTCACCATAGCTCCGATTTAATTCAACTTTTTTACCTTTTTTGTCCCGAATTACTAAGAACTCAGTGTTTCTAGGATACCCCTTAACGCTCCAGCATCGATAACTCAGTTTTGAGTTTGTGTAGACTGTCAGATCTCTCTTTCTGCAGACGATGAGAGATATAGTTTGTAACAAGTCACATTCTTCTTGCAAGGCACAGACAATTCATACATTATTCATACTAATAATCAGGCAAAGAATCAAAGTTCACCAACAACTTTGTTTACCCTCTTATCCACCAGATAGGGTAGATAGCTGAACGTCAAAGACCCTTACGATAAATAAACGAAAGATGAATTATCTTTATTTCCGTTATCACTGCATTAGCTCTCCGAGAAACCACTCAATTTCCGACTGGATGAAATGGGTTTTGAAAATCGGTAAAGGGGGGGGGGAGCTGAGGTCATTGTCTAATTCAGCATTAACAAGTAAGGAATTGAATTAAGTTTATTTTGCATTGATTGACTTTTCGATTCCCTTTTTTCCTTCCTTTCTTTTCCTTTCATACGGACACATATTACGGACATGAAATTACCCTGCACATATGTTTTGAATTGGCTTATCGCTTATAGAATCTGTTTTAAAAATACCGGCCAAAAAACTCCCTTTACGAAATAATTAGTAGAGAGCCAATTTTGACTGCGTTTGAGGTAAGCGCCTAAAATTACCTCATTCATTACACTTATCTTTTAAGAGGTCAATTTTCATTCCTGGTTTTAATTACTGGATAGTATAACAGCATTGGAATAATCGAACGGCGCGCGGTGGTAAAACCGTTTAGAGAAATCGAGCTGTCTCTGCACTGGTTGTATTACGTAATGTGCGATACTCAAACGGCCTCGTTACCACATGATCTGATCTATCATACAAAGTAATACCAGGATCAAAGTCTTATTTTTCGATAGGTGCAATGCATCATTCCAACGAGAAGTTACCTCGTGTTTAACACTGACCGCAGAGAACACTTTCTCTAGCTGGTGTTCCTCTGTCACCAAATGCACCATCAAAAGGATCTCTAGGCTGTTGACTGTCAATGAATAAAACCACACCATATCGCAGACAGACAAACAGACGCCAATGAAGTATTTTGAGCAAACAAATTGGGCTTAACCTGACCCGGCGATATATCCTGGATTGTAAAGTTGCAAATATCCCGATATTTTATATATTTTTAGAGGAAGCCAATCTTCATTTTTTTAAAGATTTTCTCTGGTTTTCTTTTCTTCTCAACGAATAATTACCGAAGACAAATCTGGGTGCTTGTTCTTAAAATTGAAAATTTGAACCTTCCATAAATTTTAAAACCACGTGGAATTCCTAAGAATTTTGCATGAATTCAATCGGTTCAACCCTCTAATGCCAAAAACCTTTTTATACGCAGAGTGCTAAGTCGGGTCATATTGACCCATATTTAGACGGATTCGTTTTGAAGGTTTTTGAACATTTATTTGTACGTTTTGGAGGATTAGAAATATTTTTCTTTGAAATGTTCACCTTTTTGATAATGTAAGTACACATTATCACCCCCGCTTGAGAGACCTTTGAACACTTTTCCCCCTTTTCAAAATGGTTATTGATCTTGACACTTCATATCATATTTTGAGCTGTTAAACTTAACTTATCTCAAATTGCAATAATAAGAGACATATAAACTCGATACAACATTTGTGCTTCTTGATGGATGTCCATATTGCATACATGCATAATTTAAGGCGCGATGGCGTGAGTCGTAAGGCGTAAACTCGCGACGCTCTGCTCTATGCCGCAAGAGAGATTTGGGAGAGAAGTTAGAAAACGAGGCTGGATTACTCCTTTCCTACTTTTGGCTGTGTTGCTCACGTAGCTTTTGAAGCACCACTACAAATACAAATGTGAAAAACGCAAGCAAATACAGCATGGCAACAGAGCAAGGGGAAGGAGACGCAGAGATACAACTATTCGTGCATGATGAATGTCCGTGTTGCATCTACAAAATTGAAGGCGCGACGACGCGAGGTGTGAACTCGCAATGCTCCGCTCTATTTAGAGGAAGTGAGAGTTAAGGGTAGCATTTTGCTGCAGACAGCAATGAGCATCTATCTCTCTCGCGGAATACGATATGGACTAACTGATTTTTTTCTGAAACGGTGCAAGTTTTTGCTTGCTTTTGCAAACTTCATTTGCTTTTTTCTCATAAAACAAACAATATATATTTTGATGTTTTAGCCGATTCAGTTCATTTGTGGCATAACGAATACATTTTAAGGTCAGAAATTGGGGGAAAAGAGTATTACTCCGCTAGAGACAGCAGTAAGTATAGCTCTCTCGCGGAATAATGTGAACTTAGTGATATATTCTGTCTGAAACGTGACGTTAATATTTAGCACTCCATTTACTCCTTCTAAAACTAATCGATAGCCCAAGTACGACACCACGCACCTCCATTGCGGTGATTCAAAATTTCCGCTCCTAAGTATTTCATTTTTCCCAAGGAGAAACAAACCAACTTCATAGCGTGAAATTTATTAAGAATATCTTCTGGCAGAGAAGAAAAACAAAGAGGTTTTGAATAAATTGAGTTGATCAGTTTTTCAAAGAAAAAATGAAGTATGGCAGGAGGTCTGCAACTTCGCAAACGGATAGACGCGGGTTTCGCACCTTTGGCTATCAAGATGAGAAGAATTTGGATGTTTCAGCTGAGACAGTTTAAGGACTCGGAGGTTAAGGCGCGTAAGTGCAGTTTTTACTACTTCGAAAAATACGTGCTTAAAGTTTCAAAATTACATGAATCCAAATGGCGGAAAGAAAGTTCAAACTTTATTTTTGATGCTTGAAAATTGAAATTTTGAAGTGGTTTTTTCGTAGAACATGCATTTAAACGAGTTTTATTTGAAATAGTTAAAATCTCAATTTTTCAATTAACTGCACTTATGCGCCTTGTCCTCCAAGCCCCTCAGTTGAATTTTTCCAAAACTTGGGCGTTACTGCTCCCTGGGGCCGAATTTTGTCGGTCCTTCCGCCGTACTTCAATATACTTAGGACAGGTCTCGACTGCACTTAAGTCCGGCTTAGCGCTTCCGATTGGCCGGTGGTGCGGTTTGAACTCATCGATGGATGTTGCACTCCGTGTGAAAAAGCCGACAAAATTCGGCCCCTGCGTAAAGGCCTCGATAGACGATCAAATTCCCGAACCAATTCCGATCAAAGTAGCATCAAAGTGTCGGGACTCATCAGTCTTGAACTCATTAATATGCTTCATTTTAAAATGAAAACTTGGCAGAAATGTTCCCTGTGGCAGGAAATGATGAATGGTGGCACTCCCGTTCTGATCTTACATTGAACAAAAAAGTGCGGCCCGTCAAAATTTGATGGTAGATGGTGACCACCAGTCATCAGCATGTCTACTTTGATCGGAATTTGATCGTCTATGCAGGGCATTAACACGTCGCAGTGGTGATGAGGCCAAAATCAAACTGGATATCGGCTCACCTGGGCGAATGTGGACCTGTTAGAGTACTCATAGCGGGTGTTGGTCGGCACTGGCACATCCTCATCGACGTCAACGGCGTCGTCGATGAGACTCACGGAGGGCCCGGGTGGATCGCGCATCGCGACGGATTCACACTGACTAACCTAACTATTCCCGGACTCAAAACATTGGCCGCCTCTACGCTTCGTCGCTGAGCGTCGCCGTTACGTAACCGCTTGCGGAGTGGCTCTGCAGAATCTGTAACTGACTGTGAATGAAAGTGGAAACTTATTCCCGCTGGAGCGCTGGAGTTGGCGCAGTCTTGCCCTTGACCGGCCTGCATGCCGCACACTGTGGTATTGGACCTGAAAAGCTGGCCAAAACTATTTATCACCAGATATCGCCGAGTTTTAAAAATATTTTACAATCAGTACTTCTTCTTAAGTGATAATATGCACAATTTAACCACCTAACACATCATATGACAATTTGCGGAGAGTTTAAAGAGGGTGCAAGAAGCCCTCCAAAATGCCTTTAAAAGGACGCATAGTATCTAACTAAAGCGGTGCATTTAGACGAGTTTCTCCTTCACCTATGGTCTACTTTTCGAAATAAGGACTTTCTATTACCTCATTAATGGTTTTTTTTAAAACAGCGTATGTCACTTTAAAATTTTTGACGAAACAGCCGATCTCTCACATTGAGGAGTAATTGTACATTTTTCAAAAAAATTAATATGAATCGTTCTAGATATTAGATTTTTGACAGTTTTGAATCAAAATTAGTGCTAGTATGAAAGTGCCGGGACCTCCGTATGATGATTTGAGGATAAATTATAAGATGAAAATGAGTTCTATCATAATAAGAACCATTGTACGGACAGAAAGTACCTGTGAAAATGATTTATTTTGATGGGTTCCTTCTTAACCCATGGTCCACATCTCAAAGTGAGGCACTTCACTACGAAATTCGTAACAAAACCACATATCTCACTTTTACGAGGCTTCAAATGTGCCTCACAGCATAAGTTCATGGTGCCAGAGGGCCAATTTTAAAGCCCCATCCCCGGGGCCGCATGGACTCAAATTTGTCTGTCAAAGTAAATCATGGCATAAATACGTCTATACTCAAGGATAATGCACGATGATATTGTTAGATAACGGATTAAACACTTTTGCAAGACTTTAAAGTGACCCTCCCATCCGCTTTCAAATTATTTTTTTTATACCTCTTTCGAGGGCGTAGGGGCCAAAGAAACAGGTTGCGTGACCGAATATCACCCAATTGGTACTAAATGGGTCAGAGCTGTTGGAAAAATACAATTTCAGTCGTTAGTATCGACATAATTTTTCCCGTTCATGTTTGTGAAGATCGCTCAAAAGTCCATGTTTGAAGTCAAAAATTTCAATTTCCTCAGTTTTCCTCAGTCTGTCGACCCTGAATCCTGAAAATACCCACTTCGGACTATAACATTCCGCCTGAAACCGCTTGAGAACAGTTGAGCGAAATTTTTAATCGGACTGTGAAATTCGAAAAAAACGTTTACTTTTACATCACTTTTCAACCTCCTGTGAAAATCACTAAAAAAGGAAATTTCGAAAATACTGTGGTTAGTTGTGTAGAATATACCCTTAAGAATCTGTTGCATATCGCCGAACTTCCCTCCCATGGTCGCACAGTTGAAGTAAACTGATCGACGAGTAGCGCGTCGAAACATATCAAAAAAATCGCTGAGAAATAGGTAACTTCGTGGTCTCTTCGCGGGAAATTGAGCCACTCGAAAAATGGCACATACATGGCTACTGAGGTAAAAAACGGTGTAGATTTCGAATATCACATTGGTTTTCCAAAAAAAAAAAAATTTAAAATTGAGGTTTTGGCCAGGTTTTTCGGTCAAATACCACAGTGTGTGCCGGTTCGCCGGTAAGCTCCGCCTATCGGAAACACGCGAATTGTTGCCGAATCGAGGTGGGTTCCGAAAGCAGTCGGCTTATTGTAGAGCTTTTAAATTTCGATATTTTGACGTTTGGGCTACGGACACACGTCAATCGGGTTGTTTTTCAAGATGAAAAAATGACATGCTTTCGAAAATTTATCTATGGATCATCGTCATGCCGATTACTAAAAATATGTCCGTCGATAAGGATAGACACATCTGAACTTAAAATATATTGCCAACCACCAACAGACTTAGAAATTTTTCGTCTATTTTACGAATCGTATCTTTAAGCACCTGTCTTCATTTTCCCATTTTCTCCCTTTTCTTCCTTTATCTGTTTTCTTCTTGGGCTGGTGCATAGTTGGGGCGGAGGGGGCGGGGCTCCAAGTGGAAGCGCAGGATTACCATTTGTGTGGTATTTGAGATAGAAAAGAAAAAAAAAACTCCTTCTTTCCTCCTTTGAGGGGTGAGTGCTCGGAGAGTCAAAACGCCTTCAATTCTGAGCTTATGCAACACAGACATCCCTGGAGCTCGAATAGTTGCATCCAGGCGTTATAATGCGATTCGCTCAGTGTTAGTCGCATGCGATACTTAATTCGGGCACTTTGCTTGTTTCTCTTTTACGTCCCAACTTAATTTTAACGTCGTCCATGGCGCCGATGAATTTATTACTGCACTTGTTACTGATTTCTATTATTGTCAATTTTCTGGAAAATGTTTCGATTGTTGAAATGCATTACAACTATGCCCTTCTAAAATTTGGGCCACTGCCCTACAATTTCTGGAGTAGGAACGATGAATGAAGAGATGAACGCCCTATGGGCGAGATTCTTCGTAAGGAAAACGGATCCGATTTTGAACATTGAACAGTAAATAGTGACGCAATATTTTTCAGTACTGCCGGTTTGCAGCTCAGCTACAGAAATTTTGAGAGAAAGTTTTTTTCCGATTTTGACCTTTGGTCAGGGCATACAATTGCCGGATTATAATGCGACTAGAGGAAATGTATATCAAAGACTCTGCACTCGGATATTGACGCTTAGGCCAAGTCTCCACAGGACGTTTCTTGGGATTTGTCCCAAGGAAAAATTTCACTTACAAAGTTAGGGTAAAAATTGAGTTTGCCAATATTAATCCCAGTACCGAATACCGTCCTCGTGGAAACCTAAGAACGACTCAGAGAGAAGAATAAAAAAAATTGTTGTTGTGTCTAACGGGATAAAAGCCCAGAAGTTTCATTCCTGCGATTCAAACTTGGAACAAATCTCATAAAACGTTCCATGAAGACAAGGCCTCAGATTTGCCGAATAAAAACTGAGAGGGATGTAAGCAATTTGTTAGGTCCTGGGCCTAGGTTGGAAAAATTACCGGATAAAAGTTCGCCGTAACATTTATAGTCATCACTAATCGAATTATATATGGTCAAAAGATTGCTCGTCAATCATCATTCGACAAAAATTAGCGTTAAATTCCGAACCTGACCTCCGCCTCCTCTAAATATACTGTACAATGTACAGATTAACATGATAGAGTTTCTAGCATGTATGTTTCCATAATCTGAACGCGACTTTACGCTCTCCATGAACAGGTACAAAAATTAAGAGAGCTACTTACAACGTCTTACTTAAGTCAATAGAATAGATAGAGTTTTTTGATTTTTGTGCCCTATACTCACAATCAGTAAAATCGCTCTATTCAAATTGTGCCATCGAGGAGATTCACGGTTCATTTATAACTCAGACAACATAATAACTTTTTTTTATCGTCGGTCATCACCGGAATGTATGATGCCCCTCTCTGAAAGAAAACAAATCTGTAAAAAATGTGGATTTATTCTTTACTGTCCTTAAAATTAACATGTAAAGTATACAAATAAATGCAATGATTAAATTAATATTTATGAATAATTGATTCTACCCATGAACATTTACGTAACTTACCAGCTAGTACAGAGTACACGGCTTGATTATATTAATTGGTCAAAATGTATCACAGTACTTGGTGTGGTGTGGCCTATCCAGGAATTGTTCAACTTTTAAATGAAGACGGTTTGGCTTTGAGGCCATGATAGGCCGAAACGAGATGTGTTTTTGTTGTTTTCCTGAATTTTGCAAAACTTTAAATCAATTACCGAGCTTAAGATGCTTAAAAAATTCTATCGAATTGGGAAGTTTTGAAAAAGACGTTAATAAAATCATGTGCAACACAAGAAAATAAAAGAATATCCACTACCACCGGCGGACGTCACATATACTTGGATTTGAAGTTTTCATGTTCTCCGTTGATGTTTTACGGAAATTTATCGGGAACTTTTTTTCTGCAAGGCCCGACAAAAATGTCACTAAATATAAAAAAATTCCACGCTCAAAATTCATTTTAATGTTTTCTTATCTGCATCTACCATGTATACTGACCTCTTAAAATTAAAAGGAACAATTATGGAAATCTTGAAAAATTGTGTCAATCAAGTAAATTAAATTACCGTGTCTGTGCTCTGACATGAAGTGGTTACACCGTATGTAAAATAAGTAGGTATTATCACACAGCTAAAAAATCAATCTTACTATCATTAAGTTACAGGGGTGATTCTATTCAAGTAAAAAGTAAGGGTATGTAAACATTCGCCAACTCCTTTGACCAGCATTCCAATCAGTAGGTATCTTAAGTTCTGCTCATTGCCAACTTTTTTAGTCCAGCTTTTTAGGAGTCATTTCAATAAATCAAACTCAAAAAGCAAGCTTTACGAGTGATCAGTAGCCGTTCTTAGATTTTAAATTATCTCTTTGAACAATATCTCGGCATCTCGTAAGAAGAAAAAAATATTTGAAATATTCAATTAAAAATTCTACATGCATTAAAAAATTTGCAGAGCGATTTTGACTGTGGTGCCACTGGTTTTTTATCTGGAGGATAATGAAAACAAACACACTCAACACTTTGACAAAATTAAAAATTAACATAGGTATTGGTACAACAAGGGGGTTTTAAAAGTTTGAACACTGTGAAGTCCAGATTCCGAATGTTAGCTACTAGAATATGAATTAAAATGACAAATCTCTGTCTGCAAACTTAGTTTGGAATCTGCTCTTTTTTTTTTTTTTTTTTTTTTTTTTTTTTTTTTTTTAAACAAACACTTTGAAATGCAGTGGGCCAGTGGCTAAAGTCGAAAAATGCGTAACTTCAATTATGGCGTTGCAATTTTGGTCAGTGTTTTATTTTTTAAATAAACCAACCAATTTTCCTTCATTTTTTTTTCTTGAAGTTTTTGGTGAATTGTTCTCAATGATTCAATCATTTCAAAGATTTGTTTTGGTTCGTTTTCTTGAACAAATAAGCATACAGAGATTTTCAAACGAGTAGTAAGACCCATTTTTGACCTCAGCCATTTAATGCCTTTTTTATTTTTGTGAGATCTTTCAATTGAAAATCACAGCCTTTGGTCACCGCGCAATGATTTACTCTTATTAGTCGCTTTACTTATAGAGAATTTCTCTCTTCGAGAAACATTTTTCGTAAAGTAGGTTTCAATCTGCTCAAGACTTTTTCCCTCCGTTTCCGGTAAATTGCAATAAAGATACACAAAACCTATGACTACACATCCACAATGGAGGTACATAACACCGCTGAAACCAACCCAAGCCTTCATGTACAGGTATGATTTGATCAGTGCTGAAATTACTAAATGCGTCCAAGCTGCTGAAATACCGGTCGCTAAACCACGGCCTCTGCAAACAAAAGTGGAAAAACAAATTAATTAATCCGTGATTAAATATGTATGTAGCTGATTGAAATAATAAACAGATTCTTGGAGAATGCATGTTCTGGTATCTTAAAATTCGATTCAATAATTTTCAACTTTGAAACAAAGACTCGTTGTTCCGAGACGACCTTACAAAATTTTCTCAAACCGCAACTCATTTGTCGAGAAAGTATAAACGGCGATTCAGGAAAATTGCCAAAGAATGCCCGGCAAAATTGAAAACCACTTGTACCGCAGAGTAAAAGAAGTTGTTGATAATGCGACACTTTCCGGCCAAATTATCACAAGCGCCATGCGACGTTTAAAAGTTTCCACCGCCACTTTATTTTTTTACAGAGAAATTGTTCTTGTAAGCTGTCCGAAAATTTTATTGAATTTTTTTGTGCTGCCGATAAAATTCAGTAAAATTTTCAAACAGATTCAACCCACAAAATCTCTGTAAAAAAATAAAATGTCCGCGGAAATTTGTAAACGTCGCATGGCGCATGTGATACTTCGGCCGGAGGATGACGCATTGATGGCGTGGGCGGGGAAGAAAGTCCAAAATTAGTGACTTGGATATTCTACGAAATCTCAAATAAAATATATCCGCCTTCAAATAAGATGGTAGGCAATAGTGAGGACATAAACGTTTGAATACCGGAAATGCAGGTCTAATCTACAGCCAGTCAAATGAAACCCATATGATGAAATGAAACCCATAAAAATAATTTCTTGACATCTTCCACGAACCTTTTTCACCTTGAAGATTTGTCTTATACTCTAAGAATGTCTCAGGAAAAAGGGATGTCACGTTCATTGGTCAGGGGTTTGCCTTCAAATTGCTCCTCTCCCCGCCCCCTCCAAAAAAGTTTTTTTTCGCTGATATCTGCCTACAATTTTGAAAAATATCCCCTGGTAACATTCATTTCTGTCCCTTAAGTAATGTTGACTTAACTGCGCCATAACACCCCTATCAATATTGTCGGGACTTGAGGGACTTTGAAGCAACGTTGAGGCAATATCAATTTACAATATATGATCTTTAAGACTTACACTGGCGGATACACTTCTCCCGAAAGTTGCCACGGCAAGATGAGAATACTAAGCCCACTGAGGAAGCTGATGACACAGAGTAAGACGATAGGGATCCAGGTGACCCACGTCGCCGAGTCCTTAAGGAAAGAGCTGTAGGCAGCCAAGCCTAGGATTGAGATAGCTGCCGTCAAGTAAGAGAAGAGGACTAGCTTCCGCTTCCCGGTCATCCACAAAACAGCCATGTTTGTGACGGCGCCACCAATGAATAAAAATTGCCCGATTATCTGAGAACAAATTTTAAATTCAAAGCACGCTGAACTTTAATACATGTCTGACACAGACTTTCTTTAAAATGAGATTTGGGTCAAAAATTGTCTCAAAACGTTATTTCATTTGATAAACTGGTGTAATTTGTGACCGATGCTAAAATTCAAAGATAATCCAAGTCGCGGTTCTACCATTCCTTGTTACGGATTTATTCTCTCATTAAAATTTGACGATAGCTCACAGGATAGATAGTAAATTTTAGCTGGAGGTTCAGGCTCTTGGCTCCAAAATTTCTCACACAGAAAAAAAATAGACGGTACTGACGACAGAACCTTCTTTTCACAGGGCTCCTGCAATTTCTTTGTTACACTTACAGAATTTCTCTGTTGTGAGAACAGAACTTCAGTCGTGGGAACAGAGTATTCTGTCCTCATAGCGGAAGCTTCTGAGACTGTTACAAAATAAGTGCTGCATGGAGCTCTGTGAACAGAGCTATTTTTTTCAGTGCACCAGAACCGAAAATTTGGTTCAGAAAAGATATCATTCAAGTCCTAGTGACCAGCCGAAAATACCGTTTAAAATTTTGTCTTGTCAAAAAGTTAAAAACATGCTATGGTAAAACCGGCCAATATTTTTTTCTGAAACGCTGTCCGGTTGTTTCGATTGAAGAGCTCCCTCTAACCAAGCTCCTTGATCTCGATTGAAAACTCTTTCAACACAACGTTATGCTATAAGCTACATACTAGAGATTTAAAGGTGAGTAACAAAACGCTCTGGTAAAAATTAGCGATAGGAGCTGCGTTTCAAAATACCATAAGAGTTCTTATAGCCGACTAAAAAAGGCTATTGAAAATCATATAGGTGGCTGTAGAAAGCGGAGCAAATCATATAGCCGGGCTATACGAAGCTATAAAAAAGTATACAGTCGGGCTATACTTCCTATCGCCGGGCTTTACACTTTATCGCCATTGGCTATAAAAGGCTATAGGAAATTGTGTAGAAATTCGTGTGCTTTGGAAATCATTCAGTTTGATACGGAACTACCTTAATATTTACAAAACACACATTATATTTTCCTTTAAAACATATTTTTTTTTCATCAATTAAAATGAGAATAGTCCATACAGAGTGCGCAAACATTTCAAAATCATAAGTTGAAAAACGCTGACTCCGCGAGATTAAATATTAGAGCCTAACACAAAGCGGAGCGGCGACGCAATGGCGCCTACAAACCTAACAGGGATACTTCACGCATTGCGCAATGCGTGCAGTATCCCTGTTAGGTTTGAAGGCGCCAATGCGCGTTTCGCGCTGGCTGCCCGCCCGCCGCGCCGCAGCATGCCACGGCGTTTGAAGCAACTATTTCACACCAGAAGTATTGCACAGTATCATAAGAAATTGAAGGCGCTCCAACATATGAAGAATGACAGGCATCCTTCAAAAGTGCGGAGCTTTCCTCGCAAAATAAATCAAGATGCTACGGCACAAAAAGAGAGCGGTAGTCCAAAAACTCACTAAGTCCTAGTATCCGTATTTAGTAACGTTTGGCATAAACTTTATCGTCTGGCTGTTGCTTAATCGCCATCAGCTATAAAAGGCTATAAGAAATTGTACAGCCGGCTACAGAAGCTATTGGAAATCTTACAGCCGGCTTTAGGTCTATGGTATTTTACCTTCTCTACTTGCAAAACTTACTCGAACTGAAATTAAGAGGCTCGGTCCACGAACCGGAAATTAAGTTTGACACGCGATTTAGTTTGACCACCACCTAACTCACAACTTTTATGATTGCACTTTTCTCTCTTCTCGCTCTCTCCCCCTCTCTCCCCCCGTGCGGACTATTTTAAGTTAGACCATGGAGAGTGGCGCTTATGAGTAGATAAAATTCGCCTTCAAATATCTGTTATCTAATGAGCGTACAGTTATATGTTGAAAAAGTTATCGCTGAAAATCAAGGAGCTAGCTGGAGGAAGTTCTTCTCTCAATGATTGTTAGCCGATCATTCGGTTTAATGCGTCGCAAAAGTGACCTTTGTGAAATGTACCCTGAGAAATTGAGAGCCCTGTGACTTTTTGCCTTGATAACGTTTAAAAAATAAGAAATTGTATTTAGAACAAGTAATTACCAATAGAAGTTTTGGGTCCAGAGGGCTATTCAAGGCTTTCAGTTCATTGATGTAATAAGGTCTCATGCCGACAAGAACAGCCACAAAAGTAAAAAAGGCAGTCAGCATCACCAGTCGAAGAGGACGCAAAACATTTTTGCGCGTCAAAATGTTATAGTGCGTTTTTAAAAAGCCATCACTTTTAACGTTACAACTATCTGAAACATTTTAAGAAAAGCAAAGTTGTACGGGCAATTCAAAACAGGTTTTTTTTATAACTTCATTTATTTATATATACTATTTCACGAAGATTTGTAATATCACACCGTTTTATAGACTTAAGACTACTATGATAAAACGGGGTCACTCAAAATCGGCGATTTTGCCACCTTCATGATGGATTTTGCCACAGAGTTTTACATCATTCAATTACTTCAATTTGTCGGCCCTTCATTACTGAGAGTTGTTTTGACCAAATTTAAATCCGGTTAAGTAGTCGCATCATCGGCAAAATAGTTTAGGTATTACCACACCTAGAAATGTTTTAATCGAAATTCAGGCCCTACATCCATAACTTCGAAACGAATGTGCTTAGTTCGGTGTTTTCTGTTTCAAACTGAACCGAGGAAACAAGGACATGGGAAAATGAGTTCCAATAAATGTATCGAATTCAACTTTTTCTCGCAATTTTGTCATCCTAACGAAACTGAAAAATTGGATCCGAAGATCTCGAGATGTTTCGTCTTTATCAGATTTGTCCTGTTAAGAGAACATAAATACCGGCACTAAACTTAAGGGGTCCGTACTTGGTACCTATTTCAGGCTCCTTGACAATACTTTGGGCGCAGATAATCTCACCTTGCACATGTCCATTCGAAGTTGCACTGCAATCTTCCTTAGCAGAATTTCTTGTATAATTGACCAAATTCTGGAATTCTTCCTCTATTTCCTCGTTGCTAATCCAACCTCTGAGCCAGCATAAGGACCTTTTAGCATCGTCCAGTCGATTCTTCCCCAGTAGCCATGTTGGCGATTCGGGAATCTACTTGTTTAAAAAAAAACGAAAAAGATGTAAGGTGTCTTCATTTTTTCTTATTTTTTAAATTTGTTTATTTGTTGTTTTTTTTAAATTTGTTTATTTGTTGTTTTTTTTTTTTTTCGCTATCCATGTATTTAATATTTTCTAGCGAGTTACCCATCGCCCTAACCCTTACTTTATTGATCCTTTTAATAGATCTTAAAAGTTTTGAATTCAAGGCAAGCCAAATACTTGATGAGACCTTTCAGCTTGCCTCCTGGCCTGTCATCGAGGACAAGTAGATTACCTATTTGAAAGAAAAATATTACCAGATGAATCTGTTTATTTATGAGAGTATATTTTTTTAAATTGTCATGCTTTAAGTTTCGGATGAATCACGAAACCAAAGTAAGTGGAGCGAAGATATATGCTCTTGTCGAACCCTTTGGTCGAAACGTAGCTCATTGTTCCCGCCACCAGAGCCACGGCGCAAGATTTAAATTTCAGCAACTATTCAGACTTGACTGAAAACAAATACGACTGTCTGCTGTTGAAAACAAGCAGGAAGCTCCAACGCATTCGCGTCGGAGAGCGGCTCTGGCGACAGTAGTTGTAGTCAAGAATGAGGGCCTAGACACATTTTGTCACTGATGTACAATCCGACAATGTATAAATGTGTATTGGCCCTTGATATGCAGAATGCATGGCACTATCACTTGTTGTATACTTTTAATTTTGAAGGCTCTTTGGAGGTCCGCATCCTAAAAAATTTCTCCCACAATATTTTTTTTAACTTGTCGTTGTGATTGGGCGCCAATTTCTTTCAATTGAGTGATCATCTTCTTTTTTTGTCAAGTAACTAGTTTGTGCAACAATAAGACTGAAACTGACTGTAACTGAAATTTTGTCTTTTTAGATATTTGGTTATTTTGTATTTATTAGATTGTATATTTTCACAGCCCTGTGATGAGAAACTTTGGAATGCATGGTTGATAAGTCGTTTAGCGAGGCTGCAAAAAGTTTGCATTTTTATATCTGAAATTGTAGGTAATGGTTTTGAATATCGAATTGCGATATATTACACGGTTAAGATAGGGCTATATGTCTTGTCGTAAGCGGCGACATAGAGTCGATGTCATTTCAATAATCGCCCCGATGGCCACGGTAGTTGTGTGCCGTCTGCCCACGTAGCAAATGGGAGGCGAAAATGGAAGTCATCAGTGCATCAGTGAGTGTTGAACGTGAAAATTGCGCGGGCCGCGCAAATTTCGCGATCATCGATGTGTCGGGGCTGAGCATCCATCATTTTCTATCTTGTTTTGAAGCTATGTGAGTTGTGATAAAGTACATAATTTTGTTGTATTATATTACTGTATAAATAGTGTAAAATTTGTACAGAACTTTGTACAAAATAGTTTCTTGTAAAAAGTGTGGACTACTGCCACGTCGTTTCCATACAAACTCCCAATACGCCGTAAGTACCACAAATGCCCATGTTAACCAAATCACCTCATCATCCATTTTTTAAGGACACAATTTTTAATTCAAATCAACTTACTTTATCAAAACTCCAATCGTTTATCAAATAACATATATCGAGTCATTTTAACAAAATCAAAGACGGCATAATATCATTTATCACACAGCCAAAAACCTAACCTAGAAACCACGATGTTTACAAACTCAAATTGGAGAACACTCATTGGTCCAATAATAAAAATTGATTTGCCGCCTTTTTTCTTTGCAAGCAAAACGTGTGAACATGTCTGAAAATGGGATCGGGCGTCAACACTCAACGATGCACTGATGACTTCCATTTTCGCCTCCCATTTGCTACGTGGGCAGACGGCATTAGACGTTTACGGTTTCCTTGGTAACCTTTGTTTGCTATCAGCTGATATCGAGTAATATGACTAGGAAGCTCCAACCCAGTGGTTGGAGCTTCCTTAACCGCGAAAACTTTAAAATTCAAATTTTCAAATTTTGAACGTAAAGTACATTTTTTCCATCACGAGATTAAAGCACAGACAAGTTTTGAATTATTGACTGTATCACCATGATTCCAAAAATACACTACACAACATAGCATTGGCTAACAATAAAACAATATGCAATAAAATAAAGTCATGACAAGGAACATAGCCGAAAATGGCGCCGATTCCCATTAACCAACGCGCGGTCTCTCCAATGTAACATGGTCCAATGATACTCCCCAGCTGGGACCGTCCGGAATAGCAGCTCTAGTGCAAGCACCAGAGCCGCTAAAATGAGGTAACAGCCACCTCACTAAATTTAAATTTATTTTTATTCGGAACGAATTTGCTTGCACTGAATTTTTAATTTTTATCGAACAGCAGACGATCCTATTTGTTTTCGGCCGAGACTGTAAAGTTGTTGAGATTAAAATCTCGCGCCACGGCTCTGTAGGCGGGAGTAAAAAGCTACGATTGGGCCAAAAAGGTCAACAGCATTATGCCTACGTTCCACTTACCTTGCCATGCACGAAGCAGGGTAAAAATTGAAGCATCACATGATAAGACTCGTCAAAATTTGAAGAAAAACACGTTTAACGTGTTCAAAATCAGTTGATGAATGAGGAAATAAAATTAACATGTTACATTAGGATCGGTTATTTCAAACCCTCCGAGAGTACCTACCTGAGTCATGACTGCAATGGTGATCATTGGGAAGGCAGCGCTGATCAATGTCGCTGTTCGCCAGTCAAAGTAGTAACCCAGGACAAACATGATGATCATACCTGGATAACGGATGCTCGAATTAATCACACTCTATACGCTGTGAGAAAAATATACGCTGACATTGAGTATCCAAACGGTGAGCGTTTAATTGAATTACGGTGTAAGCAAGACACGGTCAAACAAGGGTAATTTAAGGATAAAAAAGAATCATTGATCTTGATTTGCTCATAGTGGATTCCAAGGTCCACCTACTTTTCTAGTTACAATATTACTTTTATATTGAAAATTCTGTTCACCGCAGTAAAAATTTGGCAAAAGTAACATTTCAATTATTACTTGAAAAGTAGTTGGGATCTAGAATCCAATATGCGAGCATTCTCGAACAATAATTCTTTTTCTTCGTGAGACCCTGTATGGTCAGTTTACTAGATATCTGATTAATCAAATCCCTTCGTATAGTTCCATGAGAAAATTCTCGATCATCATCAATATCGATCAGGTCGTTGGCCTCAGGATCAGGAAGCACCAGAAACTTTTTTATTTATTATTATTTATTTATTTTTGATCACCTGCAGTGAAAAATCGATGAAGGTACAATTCTTAGATCAAAACTACACTGAAAAAAATAGTTCTGTTTACACGGCTTCAGCACTTCTTTTGTAACAGTCACAGAAGCTTTCGTTATGAAGACAGAGTACTCTGTTCCCACGACCTAAGTTCTGTTCTCACAGCAGAAAAATTCTGTAAGCGTAACAAAGAAACTGCAGAGGCCCTGTGAACAGAAGGTTCTGTCGTCAGCGCCATCTTTTTTTCTGTGATAGAGGGCGCTACTCTGGGGTTTGGAGCTTTTGTCGCGTCACGGTCAAGGGGGGAAGGGGGGCATCCCCATAGTATTGAATATTGAGAAAGCAACTGACCTATCATAACGGCAGTAGACGTAATAGTGGACAGGATACCGCGCAAGTGCGGCTCACTGATCTCGCCGGTATACGAGATGATTGGTGCCTCGGCGAGTCCCTGGCTAAGTCCCATCATTCCAGCGCCGATGTAGAGGGCTGGGATTGAGTTGGCCGTGTACAGGAGCAACCAGGTCGCGAGAATGGGAATGTTCGCCAGAAGAGCCACTCCTTTCCGGCCGAACCGATCTTGGAGGTAGCCTGAAGCGAAGCTCGCCAGAGGGGTGCAGATGGAAGGTATGGCCCCTGCAACAAAAAATCTGAATTAAGATGCTGAATTATGAAGCTTTTCCATGTTGCGCGGAATTTGAGACTCACGTATACAGGGTGATCCAAAAGTCCCCCACCACCCCCTTTAACCCGGAGAGTTCTTGCCCCTTAATAGAGTGTCCTTTTGAAATTTTGGTGGATTCCAAAACTCGTCTTTGACCCAGAAGCTCTCAAAAAAAATTCAAGTGTCCATCTTAATTCCTCAATTTCTCATACTCCTATGAAAATTTCATAGAGTACGTAGAGTCGTAATGTAAATGGGAGAGCTGACGCTATGTTCTGGTCAACGAGTTCCGGTCACTTTTTCGATACATTTTCAACATTCGATACAAAATGGCGATGTGGAATACTTAGTAATTCCTATCCTCTTTGGACTTTTCACATCGTACTTTTTACTCCTTTTACATCGGATGGCCGGGTCTCCGTGTATCGAAAAAAAATCTATTATGTATCGAAAAAGTGACCCGGCTTGACACAGGAGTCTCGGAATTCGGAAAGTATAAAAAAATACTTAAGAAGGCGCCAGCTCTCCCACTTACACTACGACTCTATGTACTCTATGGAAAATTTTCGCGAGGAATACGATTGTGTCAGTAGTATTCTCTGAAACACTCAAACTCAAAAAAAAGCTCTCGAGGTTGCGGTCATAGTGAAGGAATCCCCCAAGAATTTTTTAAGAGAGACAACCACTATGTCCTGTTAAAAGCTCCTTGCACAAACAGGGAACTAATACATTAGCAGGGTTGCCTTCTTGTTTGGGAAATCCAAGACTGCATAGTTCCATGGCAACCATATATGTTTCATGCGTTATTGTATTTCCCAATAAACCAAACTATTCCCTCTCGGCAATGATTTCTCAAGAAATTTTGAACCATCCTGAGCGACACAAAAAATATTAATGGACAGTACAGAATAATTTAAAATGCTCCAAGGTTTCATATATTTTGCTTAAAAACCACATATTATAGAATTTCCTCATCTTTCGGATCTTCAACCGAGACACATTATACAGTTGCGATAAGTCTATCTGTTACCGTCCGAACGGGCGTGGCTATTTATTTATTACTTGAGAGGAGTCCCAGGTCTTTTCACCGATCGAACAGGCACGTAAGCTGTGCAATTTACTAGAATGAATGTGAAGATATTTCCATTTCCCTCCGGTTATGAGCCCAAAGACCACATAGTATGTTTACAGGGTATTCCGAAACTTGTAGCCGTCATTTTAGAGGTGGTTCTCCCGGCTAAGCTCTTATTTATTTCGAAAGAGGAAAAAACCGAAGAAAACTTGAGAATAAGGGGAAAAGAGGAAAGAGATGAGAGAGGAAGGGAGAAGAAGAAAGAATATAAGAGATACAGGCAGAAAAAGAGGAAAAATGGGAGTGAAGAAGAAAAAGGAAAGAAAAAGGGTGAGAAAGGGGGAAGAAGAAAGAGGAAACATGAGGGGTAGAAAGATGGAGGAAGGGAAAGAAGAGATAAGAGGGAGAGAAAGAGAAAATGAAGTATGAATCAAACGTAGAAACTTTCGAGAAGTGTTTAAGTTACTACCTTACCAAACCAAGAGGCTTCGTCGTCGTTCATCCTGAGACCCTCTGCGGAGGAGTTTCCATGCAAAGCCCCTAAAATCAAAGTAGGGGCACCAAAAAGCAAACCATTCTCGAGTATAAGCCAGCTCTGGATAAGTGTCGCTATAACCTGTGGCAATAAATACGATTCTATAAAAGACTATTTTCGAGCCCAGTGAAAATTGAGCAAATTTTTTCGGGTCAACGATTAAAATTCAAATAAATAATACGATCCAAAGAGCAATTCTGAACAAAACAAAACAAAATAATTTTTAACAATTTTTCTGGGGCCTGGGAATTTAATCAGCACATGGCTGAAATAATTTCTGAGGATGAGACAGTCCTGTGAGTGTGCCTTGAACGTTTCTTGAGTTCAAAGCGGGCATTAGCACTGCACCGTTGCTGAATTTGAATTATTGTTAGCACTAAATCATTTTTTAATGCTAAAAACGTAAGCTTTGCATAGGTTTAGGTATCACCAAAACTACCTTTGTCCTCAGGCTGAAATTTCTAACCGACTATGAACATTCCCCATTTTGAAGTATCATATACCTAGCCACATCTCATTGAAATCCTCGCCAATTTGTATATTTTAGAATTATATGTATCAGATTTTACGTTCTAACCGTGATTCAGTAAACGCGAACCTATATTTTTTCTAAAGGGAGAAATGTTTGCTCATCTGAAACGTGCTACTGTCCAATAATTTATTTACAAGAGCCCGAATCTTTCCTGCATGCCTAACTCTTCAGTGGATTAACTTTTGATTCTAACTTAATGCAATTGATATTTTATTCCTAATACTAAATTAGTCATTAGGTATTTCTTCCATGATTTCGCACATTGTCATATAGCAAATCAACTCCCATTCCTCACTCATTCGCACACCCTATTCGACTTCCTCATTCCTTTTTTGTACTTTCTACACCGGTACAAATATTTACCATTACCTAAAGATTGCGTTTTTACACCAAAATTCTAGGATTCCCGAAATGAGGATCAATGGAGGACGAGGACCTTTACTCACCAATTTTTTCAAATCGATGATATAACAAAAAATTAAATTAAAAATGATTGAATTTACAACTTATGTATACGGAATAGTCCGCTCTGTGCTCTCATGTCGATACAGCATCATTTCTTCATTTCAACGCTTTATATGTCTTTTATGTAAATAGATAGTGGACCAGGGTGGCATCGGCGCGTGTGTATATTATATAAGACACGTGCATAATATTATTTTAATAGCAGGTCATAAGCACTACTTACATGCGCAGCGCAGGTGAGAAGTATAGAACGAGACAAAGAATTTGATATCGGGTAACTGCATAGAATTACTACATACATATAGTTATTTAGATAATGCAAATTTTGTGCGTATCATCCTCTGAGCGGGCCTAAATTGATTGCATGTAGGATTTATTGCTTTCTTTATAATAATTGCTGAATATTGATGAAAATAAATCGGAAAAATGTATTAGGACACCGTATGAGGGTTTAAAATTCTGCCTAAGACGTAATAATCATTGATGATTTTTTTTTTCATTTCCCGGAGTAAAATGATATAATTTATAAATAAGTTTTCCTCAATTTTCTTAAGTATGTGACAAAATTGGGTTTTTTCAGATGAACATTCCCGACAATAAAGCATATTTTTCTGAGCTCTATCGTGTATATGTGTGATTCATGATCGAATGACAATCTTAGCTTCTTTTTTTCTCATAGGTATTGCATTTAGTTACTTACTTTGCTTTTTTTTTTTTTTACTTTTTTCAATAACACGTTTTTGCTCAGTGATATTTTCGGAGGAAGATATGTAAAGTATTAGATTTTGTGAATCAGTGCGTGTGAACCTGTTGAGTGCATTCTTGTATAATCGACTCGAAGTCTTCTCGGGCATTATTAAGAGGTACTCAGTTATGTGGGCAATGAGAATAAGGGCATAGCCGCCATAAACTACTAATAAAACATAAGCAATATTTACTTAAGAAAAATATACATCTCTGAATTTGGAAAAATTCGTATCTGAGATTAGAAGGTTGTGAGTGTCCGCTCAAGCTTAATTTTTTATTTATTTATCATTTTTTTTAAGGAAAAAGTAATCAAAACTAATGATCTTAAATTTTATATGAGTTGCCATCACTGATTCTAAATGCATCACATAAAATTACAAAGGAACAATCAGAGAGATTATCATTATTTCTAGAGAAAGTAAAACGAAATCGGAGTTTTATCAACGTTGCGATTGAGTCGCATCTTCTTAAAATTTTGCCGTCAATTCAACATTTCACTCACTTTCTCGAACTTCTCAAAACCACAAAAAGTGCATTTGATAAAATCATGCGCCGGACCCTCCATTCATTCCTGGACGAACGTTAAGATTTTACAACAAGTAGTAACACCTACAAGCAACTAAAATTTTACTGCGAGAGGAACACGAAATAAAATAGGATAGTTATCACAATCACAACCAGTGGCTAGTTGTAACGGCTATCCTATTTTTTCCGTGAATAAGTAATCATTCAAACGGAAGCTTTTAAACTCCCATTCAACGCAAATGAAAAACCGCGATTATATGCAACTTACCTGAGCAAAAGCTGACCTGCTAGAGTAACCATAGCGGGAACTGGTTTTTTCAGGATTCTTCCCTGTACACAAACTTTTTGAATGCTCGGATGGGTCGCTCATCGTAACATAAAAACACTTGAACTTGAACTTGTCATAGAATAAAAGACGCGCGGGGCTTTTGGTCACTGATCTCGGAGTCGGAGTGTAGCTGAATCAGACTGGACTGTAAGCGATGAGAAGTTCAGCGTATGGACGAAGGTATGAGGAAAACAGGTTTACTCAGATCCTTGGCGATTGGGTCACCACTCCCCGTGCTGCTGCATCCCGCTTATCAGATTTGGCCGGCTAAGTGACAATGAATCTCTACCAATAGGTAGCTGAAGTTGATGGAAGTACAGCGTATGCCTTCGTGAAGAGCCCTCCTCTACACAAATCTACTCCCAGTGCGAGCATTAATGGACAAATTTATGCTAAATTTAACTTCAGAAGCAAGTATGAAACGAGTATTTCCTATGTAAATAGTTCCTTTTGACTTAATTTCTTTCGCAAATGGTCCAAGTGAACTTATTTCCTCCACTCAATGCCAGTTATTTACATTTTTTGACAATACCCACTCCCCAATTACTTTAAAAAAAAAGTAGCACAAGTAAAACTCAAATTTCTAAACATGTTTTGGCTACTTGGGAAAAAATCAAAATTGGATTTAAGGTTAAAACTTTTACTNAAAAAAAAAAAAAAAAAAAAAAAAAAAAAAAAAAAAAAAAAAACTCCCCAATTACTCCGACAGAAGTTTCATTGAAGACAAGGTAGAGACACTGGACCGTTGGGAATGGGAGGTGTAAATAAACACAAGAGCCATACAGGGCAGGGCTGGATTTACCTACTTGCCGCCCATGGGCCGCCTGTATTTTGCCACCCCCTTCTCATTCGTTTTGAAACATCAATAAAAACCATCAAGTAAACGTACCGGAGGAGGAGGGGTGCATGAGACGCGTTTACTCGTGTTGGACATATTTTTTGCGAAAGCCCTGTCAACACTACCAGCAAAAGTTCACGGAACTTGGCTTGGCGCGAAAATTAAGTTCCGTAAACGTATCTCTGTGTGGACAAGATCCTCCATTTATAAGAAATGAACCAAAAAATTATGAAAGAACAAACATAAATGTGGTTTAATAATTTTAACTTCCGCCGCTGCGCCGCGCTGATCGCACTGTGTTTGGCGCAAAGCGTGAAGTATTCCTGCAGTCTTGTAGGCGCTATGCGTTTCACGCCAACCGCTCCTGACAGCGTGACCGCACTGTGTTTGGCGCAATGGGTGAAGTATTCATGCAGTCTTGTAGGCGATAATATCTGTTACATGCTGACCGCCGCGCCGAGGGCTTGTCCTTTTCATCTCAAGTCCTTGTCATTATTCCTCTCTGCGCTGAGCTCCAGGCAAAATTGCGTGTTTAGTTCCTCTCTTAACTCGACTAATTAAAGATGATGTCTCTTGTATCACCGAAAAACGACAAAATTAGAAATTACTATACTCTCAGGAAAAAGAAATTTTGTTTCCTTTTCTTATTGATAATTTTTTCTCTGAATCCGATTTTTTTTATAGGTACCTACATTTAAAAAAATTGCAAAATTTGCCGCCATGGGCCGCGGCCCATGTGGCCACCCCCTTAATCCAGCCCTGATACAGGGTGATAGGTAAGTACGGCACCACCAGAACCAGGCATTACTACTGTAACTTTTGAACAATTGAGGTAGAGAGCTGAAATTTTGTGAGTAATATCATTCTGTATAATGATGCAGACGGATTTAATCAAGATCGGTCAAATTTTATTTCACATTGCCTGAGTTCCTCTCGTATTTTAATTTGTTTGCGGTTGTTCAAGTATTACATTTATAGCTAGGTGAGGGGGGAGAGGGAGAGGGAAGACATCTGAACTTGTATTATAAGATCGTGCGAGGAGAGCTTTCACATTTCTTTAAAAAAACAAATTACCTATCTGAGCAGTTTTCTCTATGCTAAAGAATCGGATTTTTTGATAAGTTCCTTCGTAAAGTTGCATCCCGGCGTTGACGTTAAAAAAACCAGAACGCCTTCAAATTTTATCGATGCAACACGGACATCCCCCGAACACGATTAGTTGCATCGAGGCGTTGTCATTAAGAAGGTGAAGCCCCTTCAAATTTGTGCATACAACGATTGACGTAGGTACCCTCGGGAACGAATAGATGTTTTCTAGTGTTGTCACAACTTTTGCCACTTGTTCGCTATTTCAATCAAATGAACCGTGTTCTAATTTCCGTTCATGCGATTATTTATCCATTTTAAAGCTTACAGTCTACTTCTTATCGGTCATGCGCGAGATTGAAAAATGTTAGTTTAAAACGTAAATTTGAGCCTTTCATATGCCCAAGAATGAACAGAACACATTACTTTTGGAAAATGCATTCATTTATTTTTTCATCTCTTCCTTCCAGTTTCTTTACTATAAAGGTCTTGAATGTCATTGATAAATGTAAACTGTGGGTATCTTGACTGTGGCTAAAGTCCAAAGAACCATGACGTCATTTTCATTAATTCGGAATATCAGGAGAACACCGTGCGACAGCTCCATTGCTTCCAGCATATTTTACTAATTTAATGTCTTGTATATTGGACCTTGTGTTAGTGTTAGATATAATAAACAATTTTTTACACTTAAAGATCTCTTGCCAAGTGTGTCGATAATGCAAATAACTTGGTTTTTCCAAAATTTTAACTGACTTTTCTTCGGCTCTTAATCACAGATAAATCGTAACAAAACGATCCCAATCAAGGAAAAATCACAGAATTGAGATAAAACAAAGGTTGGAGTTGAAGCTAATTTTAACAGGTTTTGATGGCAGGTGGCAGGTAGGTCACGGATCGATTGCGAGAATGAATGGTTGACAATTGACAGCTGTCAAGAATGAAAAAATAAACCTACAAGTTTATTAAGGTGTCACAAAGTATAGGTACTCCTTAAATCTCCATCGACCACAACCGATTGACTCGATTGATTTAATTAAACATTCATCTGCTCATTCCCGATCCTCCTTGTTTTCTTTTTTAGTCATTTTCTACATACATCTCATAAAAAAATACATTGGAAGGAAGTTAAAATGAAGAAGGGGAGATAGGGAGGGAGAGAGGTGGCGGGAGGAGGAGAGGGGGGAGAGAGATATGTGCACACCGAGACGAGGGTATATAAGTAATGGTCAAGTTTCATGAAAAAATTAACAACACGGCACGGGCAAAAACAGAGATATCTGTATACAAAGTCTCCCTCTTTCTAATTTTATTTACTTTCATACTTAGCGCATTTCCGACTCTTCGTGGTTCATAAATAAAGAAAACGCAGTTTACATGGATATCACTATACTTTAATATCACGAGCTACTTTTGAGGAGGTAACATGATTGTGTATTGTAAACAGAGGCAGTTGAAAATACAAGTAAAAAATTTAGTTCATAATTTGAATTTCCTCTACGATGACGAAAGAACAGAGAGAGTATGTCTGGTTAAAAATACGAATGAATTAAATATTTGTACATTGTAAAAATAGTAACGTCTTTGGTATCACAAATCTTGCGTATCATACAAATAATTGTGCAAAAATAGAATTAAAGCAGGATTTACCATTCATTTTACAAAATATTGTCATGTCAATTACTTTTCAACCGCATCTGCATATTAAAGAAAATTAAACATAAACATGACGAAAAAGAACAAGGAAAATTGCAGGGACTACATCACAATATTTTCTACAGACTTATCACATTTACTGCAAAAGTTTTACATTTAGAGAGAAAAAAGTACAAGCAAATATGTAGTTATCACAGTCATAATATAGACCTCTTCATTCCAAGGAGATCGCTTAGTAGCTAATTATTTTAATTTATTAAAAAATAATAATATTACATAATGGTCATCATAAGAAAATTATGAAATTCTTATCAAGCACCTTAAACGTAGAAATTTCGTAAGAATAGATTGGTACAAATATAAATCTGGATCATGAGATGCTCACCAACTTGTTTAAACGTTTTTTCCGGAGACTAAAATGGAAATGGCTCTTCTGAACTATGATTTCGTAATTAAAAAAATAATAAATAAAATTCATAGGTAAACTCGTCAACAATTTTAGTATACCTCTGCCAGATAAAAAGGCACATTGACAGAAGAAGATGGGAAACAAAAATAGAATGGTAAATCTATAAAGCCATGTAAAAGACTCGGAGACAACAAGTCACAGAGGAGGATTTCAAAGTTGGCAAGTTTATGAATTTTTGTGATTATGAATTACATATAGTAATTTCCATCGATCCGTACAGTAATGAGTAATGTAGTTATGATTTACATTGCTTTATAAAACACGTGAGCATTTAAACATTCTTCCAGTATCATAGTTCACGTATCATTCGGTCTCCGAGCACCTCGAGTGCGACCGCAAAGATATCATTGTGAAAGGCAACATTTTCTTTCAAAATTCTGAGGGTAACAAAATTAATACTCGTCGACAGAAAGAAAGAGAGAAAGAACATGGAAATGTTGGCACAAATTGACATATAAAGTACTTATCCATGATTGACGTAGATATTTTTTCAAGTCCAAACATTAATGCACTTCAATTTTGAAAAAAAAAGGAAATGAAAATTTGAGGTGCACTTTCCCAAAGTCTGGTAAACTCTTGAAGAGAACGTGATTATTTTAAGCTATCTGCATTCAGAAGTTTTCAGTTTTTGTCACAGGTATGCTGAGAAATTGACAGTGCTAACACACAGGATTTTTCGACCATCGGTAGATAATACTCGTAATGTTAATTGATCAGCATGTTTGACCCCGCATGGTTGCTTACGGGCCCCCTAGTTTGCATTCATTTCTGTTAGAATGCAGATGACATGAATCAGTACAACATTTTATGTTGCTGAGAGTATCCTAAAAACTGACTAGTGTGCACTACTAATTTTTGCATCTGGATTTCGTCATTAGCCATTAGCGCTTTGTTTTTGCGTCTTGTAAGAAAATTTTTCTTGCGATAAACAAGAAACGATCTATGATTTTGGGAGTTAAAAACCGGTAACTTTAAGTTTTTCGTTGAAGGTGAAGACCCTATCAATAGTGCCGACGGCCAACAAAGCAAGTTAAATAGGCTCTCTCATGAAAACCTGACACCCTAAGAGCTTAAGGCCCAGACACACCGCTTGTTGAAAGTGAAACACCAATAGGCAAGGAGGATTTCGATAGGTCGACGTCGAACGATCGAAATCACAATTTCCTATTATTGGTCTTTCACTTTCAACAAGCGCTTGTAACTCGCAGGTGTATCTGCCGTTTCAGATATCAACAGTGGCGTGGCGTGCTTTGCGATCTATCGATATTTCCTCATTTGAAGCTGTGGTGAATAATCGATTATTAAGGTGTTCGCTGCGAACACCCTGTTCATCGATACTTTTCCATAGGTTTAAATGACGGATCAATCGATGTATCGCAAAGCACGCCATGCCACTGGATATCAATCATTCGAGCGTTTCCAAGATATCTTCCTTCAGTTTCTTCTCGATAACTCGACGGAGCTTTCACGGACTAGCGTGGCTGAAAGAGGACGGCCTGCCGATCGAGAATTTCTCCTTCCGATCGTGTTGATCGGTGAAGTACGTCTCTATCTGCTCCAGACTTTTACCCTCTGTCTCCGGTAGATAGAGATACAAATAAATAAGGCCGACAACGGTGCCGCAACCGTAAAGGTACATTATGCCGCTGAGACTAATCAAGGACTCCGTGTACAGGTACGATTTGACTAATATAGACGATGAGAGGTGAGCCCAAGCGCCTGCGATACCACTGGCGAGTCCGCGACCTCTGCAAAATAAGAATCGGTATTAGTATTCTTCTAGTTTATGCATGATTGGAAAGGACAATGGTTAGGTACAGCTCTATACACTGAAAAAAAACAATTACGGGCTTTGTAGATGTTATTATAGCCCGTAAGTACGGCTTCCACGGCCGACGTTTTTTTTTCAGTGTATCCGAAAAATCATCTTTTATGAAGACTGCTGACAAAGTTATGGTTTTTACATAACAATTATTAATGTACGTCATTTTGTAATGAGGAAACGGAATTTATGGCTTAGTCTAGAAACAACGTATATCGACGGTGAAACTACCAAACCACGTATCTCGGTTTGCGACGTCGCAGACTTCCTGTCATACTTTATTTTTTAAATGAAAAACTACTTAACATCCAGTCTTGAAAATTTCGGTGATTTCTCCTCTTTGTGCGGAGAAAATTCCGTGAAAATTTCAAGGAATGATATTGATTTGGTCTACTTCAAAAAAATAAAATGTGAGCGCAGATTTTTAAACACCGCAAACGAGATACGTGGTTTGGTAGTTTCACCGTCGATATACCCTTACCCTATGCACATACGTGTTTTTATGGATGAGCCAGTAAGTGTAGTTCCTAATGACTAAACGTGGTCCAAATGGACAGATTGAACCAGAATCAGCCTACCAAACTACATTTGGACCGCATTTGCTATTCAGAACTAAAATTTCAGGCTCATCCATATAAGCACCTATCTGTATAGACTTACGGCACAAATATTGTTTCTAACAAGAGCCTGAAATTATAGTTCCTAATGGCAAAATGAAGTCCATTTTTTACATTGGCTAATTTGGCTCAAGTTGTATGTTCAGCACACATCATAGGAAAAGGCTGAGGTATAGGTATTTGGGTATGCTTCAATGTTTACTGTGATAAGTCTTACAACTTCCGTCATGAATGTGGAGTGAAAAAGAATCAAACGTAAGCACTCAACGAATTTTTTTTCTATCTCATCAATGGTTTAGATATTTGTCTTTATCGCTGAGGGCACCAAGGCTGAGATGAGATGCAAATGAATCTAAAATTTCACGGATAACTTAATGTACTTCTGTGACTTCCTGCTATGAGAAAGCCGTCCCAGACATTTAAAAAAAAACTGAAGTAAAAAATGCTAAGTATGTTCTACGTATTTAATGCACATTTTTTCGCCCGAAGCAATCTACTATAAAAAGAGGATGTTCACCATCCGGCACGAAGGTGCTCAACGGCCAATGAGAAGGCAGACGACTGTTTTAATCTACAAGGATAGGTTGGATCCTCAAACGTAGAAAGCTTCTTCCACTCTGCCCTGCTCAGGAAGAACGTCGTATGAACCTTCGGGTGTTGCCGAAAATCTTTGTGTAAAAAAAGATGCTTCTGGGAAACTTATTGCGAATATTTCTCCTTAAATTTTTTCAGTGAATTATGTTGCCATTTTGATCTGAAGTTTCCAAAAGTGTCAATGAAAAATATTCATAACTTTCCCTTTGAAAACACCACATTTTATCGGTTGGGATTCGGCAAAATTTCAATGTTCATGCGACGTTTTTACTTTGCACGGCAAAATTGCAGGAATGCTAGGAGAGGATCTTTACTTGTCTCTGTGCATACCCATGTCACGCCCAGGATGCGTTGTTCAGGTCAAAAATAGAGTATGTAACGATAGCACTCATGCAGCGGCGAATAGATCCATTTTCATCGAATTAGTATGCCTGTCTCCTTTATTGGGGCACAACTCTATGTGTAATGGAGAATATTTATGATCAAAGTGCAAAACCACGTATCTCCATAGCGGTAATTCAAATATTCCCACTTCTATTTTATTTTCATTTTTTGGATAGTCACGCCAATTTTCTGGCTTCTTTATACAGAATATTCTATAGTAATAGAGAAGAAAATTAAAGGAAGGTTTCGAGAAATCAACGTTGAATGGTTTACCGAAGGGAAAATTATTTATGATAGGAAGTCTAAAACGTCGCAAACGGAGGCAAGAGGCTTCCGTAGTACGGCCATCAATGAGCTTTAAAGTGCCCCTTGACCTGAGGCGATAACTATTCGAACGCGGCAGTTATGCGGGATTGCATACCCATCGTGCCGAAGGCGTTTTAACTTACGTCAAAGGAAAAACTTCGCTAACGAGTTGCCAGGGCAGAAGAATAATACTGAGACCGGCGAGGAATTGAAGTGTGAACCAGAGGATGACAGGGAGCCATCGAAGTTGCGGCTCAGGAGTGAAAACTTTGGCGTAAGAGCAGTAAGCACCGATGCCGAAGATGCAGAGCGCTCCGAGAAAGTGAGAGACCAACGCGATGTTTCGCTTCCCAAAGCGTCGCAAAAATATCACGTTCCCCATAGCACCCAACGTAAAGCAAACCAGAGCTCCAATCTGTAGGAATAAAGCAGAATAAATCAGAATCATACGACGAGCTTATTTGAGAGGCTTGGAGGATATAGTGCATAAGTGCAGTTTTTGCTATTTCGAGAAACACGTGTTTGAAGTTTCGAAATTACATGGATCTTAATGGCGGGAGGAAAGTTCAAACTGACTTTTTGATGCTTAAAAATTGTAATTTGGGAGCGAATTTTTCACAGAGTATATATTAATATTAGTTTTGGTTTCAGGACATTTTGTCGACGATTTTTTGTCCGCGTAACTTTTTTGTCCAGTAGTTTACACCCGCACGTAAAATAAGCATCAGTGACTTGGTCCAAGCGTTATATTTTAGTCGGCATGTAAAATTATATTGACGATATGGAAATGAGAAATTGAGAGAGAAGGAGGTGTTGTTATGGTTGCTCATTTTCTAAATGAGATATAATTACTTTCTCCTTTTGAATCATCTTTTTAAATTGCCATTGGTGAATATTTGGTTTTATTTCTATCCTTAAAATATTGAATGTACAATATACCTTATATATGTATAGGTACTTTTTTTATTTTTTTATTTTTTTCTTTACGAAATTATTACTTCATTTTGAAGACATTTACATTTTTAAAACGTGACAAATATTTGTAAAACCTTTTCCAAGCGACATCACTCTCAATGAGCCGCAGTTGTGCCGACAGAAACTGCAAAAATGAATAAAAGAGGGGAAAAAACCAAGAAGCACGCAATCTTTAGTTTTAACCCATTTGTACATCGATCTTTCAGAGTCATATACGTCAAATTTTGAGCGTTTCGTTTCGTAAACCTCCCTGCAGCACTATAAAATTACAAAATGTAAAAGAAAAAATTAATGTGCTTTAGAAATCATTAAATTTGACACGGAACCGCCAATATTTAAAAAACACACATTATATTATTAGTTTCCTTTGATAAATTGATACATATTTTTCCCCATCAATTTAAATGAGAATAATCAATGCAGAGTGTGCTAAAATTTCAAAATCATGAGTTAAAAAACGCTGACTATGCGAGTATAAATATTAAAGCCGAACAGAGCGGAGAGGCGTGCTGCCAGTGGGAGAGGCTCACTGGCGCCTACAAACCTAAGTGGATACTTCACGCATTGCACAATGCTTGAAGTATCCACTTAGGTTTGAAGGCGCCAATGCGTGTTTCGCGCTGGCCCGTGCGGCGTGCAGCGCTGATTGTTGAAATAGGTAAACAAAGCTATAGACAAAGTAGACATAAGGAGAATGAAGCGATGTTATTCGTTGAAATGGTTGGTTCTAAAACACAAAGGGAGAAAATTATGCATTGATAAACTCTAAGGCCTCTCGTGGGCTGCCGTCAGTTAGTCTTTTACCTCTCTTCTTTGTCCGTTGCAACCACCCGTTTTCACCTGTGGCTGTGGGATCCCTCAATATTCCTTTTTTGTTCTTTGCCTATAGTTTTGTCTACCAATTTCAACAATCAGCCCGCTGGCTCGTTTTTCGTGATTTCAGTTCGTCCAAGAAAATTCGGTAAAATTCTCGTTGAATCTGTGCTCTCTTTACATTCAAGAAATTCAATAGGCATGTGAAAATCACCAAACAAGCTCTTTTTAAATTATAAAATTACGTTATTTGAATAGAGTGTTAAAGTCCATTACTTACCAATACTAATTTAGGGTTAATTGGTACACCTAATTCGGTCAGTTCACCGATCAGATACGGCCTATTACCCGCAACTGATGCCACTCCACAGATCGAGAACAGGGCGAAAATTAACCTAAGGGGACGCAGAATTTTCTTGTCAGTCATCTGCTTGTATTGTGTTTTTAGGTAGCCATCCTTCTTCCCTAACGAATTACCTGAGGTAAGAAAAAAATGCACTTTAGGTAGGTTTTTAAAAAAAGTTTCAAACGGGTGGTGAAATTTATTCTCACGCGCTGGTTCAAAACTTTCTTGTCTCATGCACATTCTTTTCTTCACCATCAAAAATTATACAAATACGAGTAATACACCTCGAAATCATAACTCGGTTCCAAAATAAATTAATTGAGTTCAAAATCCAAAAATTTTTGACCCATCGACGATTTCCGATCAGCGACCAATGTTGTGACATTAATGACATTTTTATTGATTCATTATAGAGTATCTGATTCGTTTAAATACTTATAGGTAAGCTTTTTTATGAAATGTCAATGAAAATACCGTTAGGAAGTTTTTAAGAATATTCTAAACATATTTTGTTATAATTTTGTCATAAAAGTGTTCAAAAATTATTTCAAGAGACGGAAAAAGTACATTCTCATCAAGCACATTTTAATAACCTTGAAAATATTTTAAAAATTATGTTAATCCTAACAATGAAACCTGATCATGACGGAACCTTCTTACGGCGGAAAGTCGCTTTTAGAGGAATTTTTCCTCCGTGCATATTTCATGCTGCCCTGCTAAGGGAAAAAACCGTAAGAGCCTTTAGGCGTTTGATAAACCTTTGATAAAATAAGAATTTTCAGGGAATTGTGTATGTTTTTTCCCCCAATTTTTCAGATAATTTTATTCGCAATTGAATCAACAGTACCAAGAAATTTCAGGGGAGAATATTCATAAATTCCCTTAAATTCATAAATTCCCTAAAAACCAATGTTGCACAGGTGAAATTTATCAACATCCAGATGTTCATACGGGATTTTCCCTAATACTGGTAAAATAGAAGATGCACGCATGGAATGAAGAATCTACTCTCCAGAGACGTGGCGTGGCGTGCTTTGCAATATATCGATTGATCTATGTCATTTAAACCTAAGGATAAGAATCGAAAAACAAGATGTTCGCAACGAACACCCTAGAAATCGATTCTTAAACACAGTTTCTAATGGTGAAATATCGATAATCGACCATTCATACCTCGCCACTGCTGCTCTCAACAGAAACCTGCTTTTAACGAAAATATCTCTCCGTCCCGAGAGTTTCCGTTCTGACCCTGTACCATTTATTTCTTTCTAAGCACTCATGACAAAAGGACACACATAATTACCCTCGATTGATTGATCTGAATCGTCTAAAATGGTTTCTACTCCAGTAGACATCCTGGTGTAATTGACTATATCTTGAAATTCTTCCTCGACCTCGTGCGGTTCAACCCAGCCTCGCAACCAACACAAAGCTTTTTTCGCATCGTCTAACCGATTTCTAGCAATCAGCCACGATGGTGACTCCGGCATCTGGAATTATACATTGTGCGTGATTAATTTGATTTTTCTTAGGCAATAATCTAGCGATAAACATATTTCTATGCTAATTGTATACGTTGACACTCTTTCATCGGCGGCGATTCATTGAATGCGGAACTTTTTTTAGAATAACTGGGCCACATTTTGCAATAAGAAACTAATATTTCTGGCTCGATTTAGAATTCACATTTGTACTACTAGTATATGTCCCTACGCAGATGCGTGCTTTTAGGGATGAGCTGTAACGAGTAGTTTTTAATCGCAAAGCATAACACTCGACCCTTCTCGCGGGGTGCTTGAGCTCTTTGCGACACACGACCGTGTGCGTGTCAGGATTCTAGGATCATCAGAAAATGAAGGCAAACTTTCAACCCATACAATATTGTTCAAGTTCCATCCACGACCATCCATCCATTGTCTGAGGGATGTTCCTAGAATTTAGTTATGATTTTAAAATACGCAATCATTAGACGGACAATGGAATCATTTTTTTTTTTTTTTCAGTGTCAATTTACAATTCTCACGTAAAAAATCTGAGACCCGAGTGTCTAGCATGAACACACCTACCTGTGTTACAATAACGAAAGTTATGGCAGGAAATGCGCTGCAAACCAAAGCAGCCGTCCTCCAGTCAAAAAAATAACCAAGCGTGTACATCATGAACGACCCTGAGAACATTATAATGTAAACTATGAGCACGTGCATCGCACAGGTACAAAGACATCGGATTATTCACAGTATGAGTGTGAGACCGTCAGCGGGTTCATAGCAGTGGCGTAGCGTGAATGATCGATTCTCGATATTTCCCCATGAATCCGTGGTAAAGAATCGATTATTAAGGTGTTCGCTGCGAACACCCTGTCAATCTATCCTTTTCCATAGGTTTAAATGACAGATCAATCGATATATCGCAAAGCACGCCACGCCACTGGTTCATAGAGACAATCTAGTAATTGCGTTCGACCATTTTAAAAGTTGAGCTTGAGTACGTAGTTGCACTTCTTAAAATGAAATATACGCATATTGGGATAAATCCAAAGATTACAAGTCGCACTTGATGGGAAGGGGTTAATTTCTAGCGTTACGATCCATGATTCCATGATCCATAGAACAATTGTATAATTTTCTTGAGAGAGACTTTTAGTTTTTTGCCGAAGAATTGACAGACTTTGGGGTAAGTTGTGCCTGGGAGTACCTATAGCAAATTATACGATGAATGTAGGTTTTTTATTGGATAAGTTAGAACGGGGCGAAATAGGGTCATAAAAACATACAAATTGCGTCACTGATGATATCTAAGTCCTTTCCTGAGTTTTTTTGTAAACAATGAATGGAGGAAAAAAATATTTCAAATCGTCACTCTGAAAAAAAACTTCGGCTGTGGAAGCCGTGCTTACGGGCTATATAGACACACCAGAAAGCCGGGCTCCGAAGCCGAAATTTCCGGGCTTAGCACCCGGAGCAATCGAAGCTACGGCTCCAGCACACGGAACTTTCGGCCTCTGAGCCAGGAACGGACGGTATTTCAATATAGCCCGTAACTTTTTTTTCAGTGTAAGACACACGGTCCGCTATAAAGTATTCCTTAAATTCTTCCACTCTTCACCCTCTAATCCCTTTATCCTTCAGTCAAATTCTATTTTGTGGGTGATCTTGCATTGCCGATGTCGACCGCGGGCGCAAGTCGACCCAATGTGCCCGTGGTAAGTGGGTCAACGTTCGTCAGAGTATTCTCATCGCGGAGTTCAATGACCGGCAAACAACGCCTCCTTTTGTGAATTTGTCAATCTGACAATAAACATTCCTTCTGAGTCACACGTACGTGTTTGCGCAATGATATTTTCGTATGTAACGCACTTATTTTTCTACTTTTTAATACCCCCTCCCCCCACCACGCGGGAAAAATAAGACCACCCACGTAGCAGTGATCGCGATAAGTTGCGATTTGATCGGAGAATGTATTGCGATTTTATTGACGTCGATTAATTGCAATATTATCGGATAAAAAATTGCGATAAATTGCAATGTCATCTCATATCTTTGCAATAAATTCGCGATTTTATCGACGGCGATTTATCGTAATATAATCGAACGAAAAATCGTGATAAATTGAGATAAAATTTCGATTTTATCGAACGCAATTTTATAGACATAAAATTGCAACTAGATCGAGGATAATGACTCAGGTGTTGATGATCCTAGCGATTTTATCGCCTTAAAATCGTAAAAAATCGCAACTAAATTTCAAAATATCGCGATTTTTCCGTTCAAAAATGCTGCCCCTGGTAAAAGTTGGCGATAAGAGCTGCGTTTCAAAATACCATAAGAATTCTTATAGCCGGCTAAAGGAGGCTACAGAAAATCATATAGCTGGCTGTAGAATGCGGAGAAAATCATATGGCCAGGCTATGGAAGCGATAAAGAATTATGCAGCCGGGATATAGTTCCTATCGCAGGGCTTTACACTTTATCGCTTGGCTATTGCTTTTCCGCCATCGATTATAAGAGGCTATAAGAAATTGTGTAGAAATTCGTGTACTTTGGAAATAATTAAGTTTGATACGGAACTACCTTAATATTTACAAAACGCACATTATATTACCCTTTAATACATTTTTTTTTTTTCATCAATTAAAATGAGAATAATCCATACAGGATGTGCAAACATTTCAAAATCATGGGTTGAATAACGCTGACTCCGCCGGATTAAATAATTAGAGCCTAACACAAAGCGGAACGGCGACGCACTGACGCCTACAAACCTAACAGGGATACTTCACGCATTGCGCAACGCGTGAAGTATCCCTGTTAGGTTTGTAGGCGCCAATGCGCGTTTCGCGCTGGCTGCCCGCCTGCCGCGCCGCAGCGTGCCACAGCGCTTGAAGCAACTATTTCACACCAGAGGTATTGCACAGTATCATACGAAATTGAAGGCGCTCTAATATATTAGTAATGGCTGCAGGCATCCATCAAAAGTACGGAGCTTTCCTCGCAAAATAAATCAAGATACTGCGGCCCAAGAAGAGAGCAGTATTCCAAAAACTCACTAAGTCCTAGCATCCAAAATTAGTAACGTTCAGCATGCACTTTATCGCCTGGCTATTGCTTCATCGCCATCGGCTATGAAAGGCTATAAGAAATTGTGTAGCCGGTTATAGAAGCTATTGGAAATCTTACAGCCGGCTGTAGGTCTATGGTATTTTGGAACACAGATTCTACTGCCAATTTTTACCAGGGACTTGGGCAAACTTCCGTTTATCCTTTGCAAAACTCCATTCGTAATTGAATCTACCCGAATTTTCGAAAATCGCTTTAAAATTATCTTTTTTTAAAAAAAAAAAATAAATGAAAATAAAAAAAGAGGGCCTTTTCCTGACTTTACCGGCTTTGGTTCCTTATCTCTCGCTTATGACGCACCTTACCTCATTTTCAGTCGCGTCCCAAAGTAAGTTACGTAATATTTGATCGGAGAGACGGAAAATTATGTGGTAGCAGTTAAAATCTTCTGCAAAATTTAACTTTAAACCCAAAAGTCTTTCCCGCGTTGCCATACATTCTAGGCATTTTGATATATGTACCATTTTTTTCATGAAATCACTAAATTGTGAACGCACACTGTGAATTAAGCTGTAAACATTTTGAACTCCATCGCAGGATAACTTTAAAGAAAATTTTCAAAAAGAATCCTCTACTCATAATTTTGATACAATCGATTAGTTGGCTCCTTTTAAAATGCCTTTGTGCTTTAGACGGCAGTAAAATAACCTGTTTTTAGCCACTATTGTTTATTTATTCATTCTTTTTTACATCGTGTTCCTGATAGCCGGGGTTAAGAATTCAAGATATCCATTCTGACCTACTGATTAATCAATGAAAGAAACTTCGTAACTACTACGCAATTTTATACTGTTGGGCGTGCCAAGTTGTTAAAGATTATGAAAAATTTTATTGAAGGATTGAATTCATGCACAACGATGAAAGCAGGATGGACAGGAATATCCCAAGTAGCATTTTTCAACGGAAAAATCGCGATATATTGCGATTTTATCGGCGATCATCAACTTCTGAGCGATAATCCTCGATCTTGTTGCAATAAAATCGCGATTTTATCGCCCGGCAATTTATCGCGATAATATCGAAACAAAAATCGCGATATTTGGCGATTTAATCTCGATTTTATCGACAAAAATTGATCGCGATTTTTTCGAACAAAAAATTGCGATGAATAGCGATTTAATCATCATAATAGCGAATTTTTTATTCGATAATATCGTGATAAATTGCCACCGATAAAATCCCGATAATCAACCGATAAAATCGCTATTTTTCTCGATGACTGCTACTTGGGATGGGCGCACTTTTCTTACCATAATCAGCCGAAAATGCCGATTCCAAAAAATTCCTAATGGAAAATCATATGAGCCAACTGCAGATGACTCATGTTTGATGATGGAGAACAGGCAACATTACTTTCAAGTACTGAGATCAATGATCGAACTATAAGCTCAAGAACCTATTGTATGTATGGTGTAAAGAAACGAGGCCGTAAAACAATTTGTGCGGAGTTCCTAGAAGGTACACCTTCATTTATGGACGTATAGATAAGTGAGATGCGTCGTTGAAGCCAACTGAAGTCGGCGAAGTAAACAGAGCCTACGAAAGCGCTCAGCGGTAAATTATCAATTTTTATGAAATTTTCAAAAGTGCATTTCAATAGTTTTCGCTAGGGTCAATTTTTACACGTCAACTTCGAAGTGATGTAACTTTGGCAATTTTTAAGTCAGATGCCTGCACTTGGCCTTGTTTTCAAGCTACAGATTCAATTTACAGCCCTGTCTAAACCGCATGTCGGTAGCTTTTACCTTTTTCTCAAAAGAGAGAAGTGTGCAATACTTTTGGGACAGCCTTTGTAAGTGATGAAATGGCAATAATATTTTATTAGATATTATTGCAATAAATCGACGTCGATAAAATCGCGATACATTCTCCCGTCAAATCGCAACTTATCGCGATCACTACTACTTAGGTAGTAGATAGGTTTGCAGCCGAAAAAGAAGAATGACTATTGCTGCCTTACACTGAAAAAAAAAATCTCGGTGTATTTACTGAGAAAAGGGTAAAATTACCAAGAATTCAGGGTTCTATTTGATCCCAGTTTTTTCTTGGTAAAATTACCATTAATGGAATTGGCAATTTTACCGAGAAATCTCGGTAAAATTATTGAACTTTCTCGGTAATTTTACTGGACCTTGGTAAAAACGTCAATATTTAATATCGACTATGGTAGAATTACCGAGATAAAATAGCAAAATTACCGGGGATTGATTACCAATAAAAGTGGTATTCTTACCTGAGAAAAACAGTAAAAATACCGGTTTTTAGATAAGTTTACCAGTCTGTCTTGGTAAAATTACCAATAATTGGTAAAAAAAAGTGAGATGGTAAAGGTACCAACGGACCTTGGTAAAAACGCCGAGAATTTTTGTTTCAGAGTATAATTGTCCATAAGGAAGTATTGAGTCCCCGAGAGTAAAAGTTTCCACCTGTCGGCAAGAAGCCACCAGTGGAGGGTCTCTCCTCGTCTCTGATTTGTGCATTGAGATGGGACATTTACCTGTCAGAGTGGCCAGCGTCGAGATGGAGGAGAGGGTGCCCCTGAGGTGGGGTTCGCCGATCTCGCCCATGTAACACATGAGCGGGGCCTCGCAAAGTCCTCCGACGAGCCCCCAGATGACGGCCACCGCGTAGAGGGTCGTGATGGAGCGAGCTGAGTACAGGAGGAGCCAGCCGCTGAACAGGGGGATCGTCACGAGCATCATGGAACCCTTTCGCCCGAACGTGTCCTGGAACAACCCCGAGGACAAACTCGCCAACGGTAGACTCAAGTCCGGTATGCTCCCTGTAACAAGGAGGGAGACCAATAAGAACTTAATTATATTTCAAACTTGAATTACATTTGTACTTCTGAAATACAACACGAAAAAATAAAACTAAAAAATATGAACCAAACTGTATAATGTACCTAGCAAAGTGGTGAAATTAGAGACAAGAGACCCTCCACTGGTATCTTGGCAATGGTGGAAGCTTTGGCTTTCGGGACTTCAAGCATTCTACTGTTGACTTACCTACATGGTTGATGTTTAACAACGTGTTGGCAGTTTTTTTTTTTGCAAAAACAAGCCGAAATTTGGGAGACTTGTTTGGCTCATGACAGCTTCCACCTGTCGCCGAGAGGCCAGTGGAGGGTCTCTTATCTCTGAGTAAAATAGTTGTGGGCCCACAGGCCACACTGTTTTGCGGGGAAAGCAACCTGAGTGAAATACCACAGCGCGCAGAGGCGGATCCAGCAATTCGGCAGCACTGGATTTCGTCCAACTAAATACTATGTTAAATAATCGATTCTGGTCGGAGCACCAGGCCCCTCCAAGAATCGATACATTTCCATGGCTTTAAATGGAGAAAATCGATGTTGCCAAATTGCCGGATCCGCCAATGCAGGGGTACCTAGGTTGACAGTGATATGCATGTACTGGGGAATTTACCCCAGTGCTGTCTGCAAACGGAGATTACTGCAGCAACTGTTAAATTACGTATCGCGTGCGTTCATAATGTAAGGGAGCTAGGTTAACACTGTAAAACGCATGCTTTTTTACGAAACTCATTCTAAGAGAGCATGCCCTTTCTGTGTGGCACGCTTCAAAAGGAGTCATTAGGATAGGTCACGGTGTTTTTGATATCTTTATCAGCCTTAAACGTGACTAGAAACGGGCCTCTGATCGTCACGTGAATCCTTAATTAAGGCACATTTTTTTAAAATTAATTGAGCGGAAAATCAGCACTATGTAAACCATCACAATTTAATATGTGAGTATCACAATGTATATCATAATCAGCTTTATCATGACTTCTGAACGGGGAGATGTAGATAAAAGATTTATTTTCGCTCCCTTGAAATCCGATTCAACGAAACTGTGGTCTCCTCTTAGGCACCTCCCACGACATTGGAGTCATGCGTTTATTTATTGATAGTCTTAAAACATATTTTTATCACCATCATTCGTGTCGGCGTGATAACAAGGTGAGAGGTTCTTTCAACTCGACCATTCTTCTCTTAACGGTCATTTTTAGTATACCGGGAAATCTTAATACTTCGGGTTCAAGGAGTTTCTAAACAGAAGATTCGGTCATCGCTGAGCGTATTTCAGAAAACCAAAAAATGGTGTACTTATGAGTTGGCTGGTTGGTCAATAACTGTATTTAAACGTGTTTTAACAAAAAATACGCCATTAAAACCTTAAAAATATAGATCAATGGTGGTGCAAAAAATGTAAAAAAAAGAGAAAAAAAACATGCAGGGAAAGAATAAATTACCTAGATTTGGGGATTTGTTCGAAAAAAGGAAGAGATTGAACAAAGTGTATGCAAACCTATGTGAAGAGGGGAAAACAGCTACCATTAGCTGACAAACGGCGAAAAACTATGTTGGTAATTTAGCCTTAATTTTATAATGAGGAACTACAATTTCTGCAGGCTCATCCGGAAAAGCACTTAATTGCATAGGGACACTAATTGTACATATGATGTTTCTAATCTGAGCCAGAATTTGTAGTCCTTCATCACAAAATGCAGTTTATCTGGCGCACTCTAACTTTTTGGCGACTTCGTCGTATAGGCGCGATTACATACTTAGCGTCTTATAAACCGGTCCATTTTCTATGCGCTTGTATTTAAATTTCTATTATTATTTTTGCATAATTTTTTGCCTTTAATCGATCAGGATTTGATTTTTAAACTAAAGACATTTTTAAAGAAGAATGTCCCCCATACACTGCGCTCTTTCTTAGGAGGGATTGAGCAGTCTGGTCCTTGACAACGGGCTTTTTCCGAGTTAGAGAGCTTACAATTAAGCCGCTTACCGAACCATGATGCTTGGTCATCGTCTAAATCGAGAGGGGCTGCGTCAGGATTTCTGTGAAGTGCACCAAGAACCAGCGTAGGCATGGTCATCTGTAGCCCTAGGTCGATGAACAACCAGCTCTGAATGAGCACTGCTGAAACCTTAAAATTTTCCGTGAATTAGAGCCATGTAAGGAAAATAAAACGTTTACTAATTTTGGTACACATGACGATTTAAAAATTAATTCTTCACATACCTATAACATAAGAGCGATGAAAAAATGGTTGAGTTAAAATGATGTATAAGTATGGTTATCACCAACAGACCCCATTGTTGCAAACAGGGCCGGATTTAGGGGGTGGCCACATGGGCAACGGCCCATGGCGGCAAATCTAAGGAGCAGCAAAAATTTGCAATTTTTTAAAAGTGTAGGTATCAAAAAAAAATCGGATTTATAAAAACAAAATTACAGACGAGAAAAGGCGACAAAATCTCTCATTTTCTGAGAGTACAGTAATTTCTAATTTTGTCGTCTCTTAGTGATGCAAGAGACAGCACCTTCAATAAGTCGAGTTAAGAGAGAGAAACACGCAATTTGGCCTGGAACGGCGCGACTTACTTAGAGAGAAATGATGACGAGGATTTGAGATGATTAGGAGAAGCCCTCGGCGCGGCGATCGGCATGTAACACATATTAGCGCCTACAAGACTACCTGAATACTTCACGCATTGCGTCAAACATAGTGCGTTCAGCAGCGGTCGGCGTGAAACGCATAACGCCTACAAGACTGCATGAATACCTCACGTATTGCAGCACACTTAGTGCGATCAGCGTGAGACGCATAGCGCCTACAAAACTGCGTGAATACTTCACGCATTGCGTCAAACACAGTGCGGTCTGCGAGGCGCGCGGAATTTAAAATCATTCAACCACATTTATGTTTGTTCTTTCATAATTTTTTCGTTCATTTCTTATGAATGGAAGGCCTTGTCCGCATAGAGATAGGTTTACGGAACTTAACTTTCGCGCAAAGTTCCGTGAACTTTTGCTAGTAGTATTGACAGGGCTTTCCCAAAAAATGTGTTCAACACGAGTAAATGCGTCTTATGCACCCCTCCCCCGCTGACACGTTCATTTGATGGCTTTTATCTAGTTTCAAAACGAATGAGAAGGGGGCGGCAAAATACAGGCGGCCCAGGGGCGGCAAGTAGGTGAAGCCGGCCATGGTTGCAAAAACCGTAACTCCAATGGCTTTCACCAAAATTACGGTAAATGCTGCCCAATGTCTGGCTACCTTTACTCTCCAGTACTAAAGTGTCAAAAATCAAGTAATCATGATAGAAATCACCCTAAGTCTGGTAAAAAAATTTCAAATTTTTTTTTTCAGCGGGCGCAGCCTCACATAATTTTTTTTAAAATTATTTTATTTTATTTTTTTTAACTATTTAGTGTGCTTCAAACTGCTGCCGGTGTGCAATCTTTACGCACTATTACACTATATTTTCAAAAATAAGTTATTCATAATATAATTTTAATGTAGTTATTTTTGGGAGGCCCTGAATAGGGGGCTTCTCTTATTATGACTCTATGCACCGAAAAAAAGGTGGATATTTTTACCAGAGTTATGGTAAACTCTATCAGGAGTCTACTTGATTTTTGACACAGTGACGCTGTAAGGTAAATATCACAATTAAGGAAAGGGTAACAGGGGACAGGGTAAGGAGACATCTTTACCATAATACTTTTAAAGAATGCTATTAGAGGTACGGTTTTTGCTATATTATTGAATCCATTAGTGATTAACTTATCATTGTACCTCAAACCATACTTTTTTTCAGAGCACTGCTCGTTTTTAGGACTCATTTTTCACTCTTCTTTTTTATCTCTCGCCCCTGTCTTTACCTCCATATCAGTCATATTTTCTCGTAGAGGAGGAATGTGAGCTTATCAATGGAGTTCTTGCATGAACAGCACCTGATGCCTGAACAGACTACAATTTTTAAAGCTTATGGCCATGCAGTAAGCACGAACTCCCACTTGCCTGTTAAAATCACACGCCATTTCGGCTGCTATATTGCGACCTATTTCTGCGAGAGATAATCCCGCATAATCTCAACGTAAAAAAAAAACAGGAATGGATGAAAAAAATAATGATGAGCTTCTATTGTCGAACGTTGAAAAAATTGCGGTAAATAAAATGTTGACCCACTGGTAGGCATGACGTTAAACTTTCCGACTCATTCGGAACATGTTGTCAGACAAGGCGACGAATTATTCTCATAAATGACGATATTAATTCGGTAAATAAAGTCTATTTGAAAAGGATATTTTCCAGTCAAGTACCAGTCTATATGTTCTCAAATAAAGTTTTTAAATATTTGTTTGCTTAGATGATAAGTGGAGACAGCCTCATTTTCATAATTTGCAAGGCGCAGTTTTTGAACTTTCAGGTGTATCTACTCAAGATACGAGATGCATTCTGAGAAAACTATCCTTAACTCCCTTCATGAAGATAAGTACTAGGACTACTTACAAAAAAGTAATTAACCGCTGCGCTCCACATGAAGTCAAATTTAAGTGATTTATCATTGATGTTGCCTCGTGAAAACTTTCTGTAGGAGTTTATTCATGCTCAGTAATATAAGAGACGTAATAATTCAGAAAACGAAAAAAAAAAAAAATTAAATTCACCTCAAAATTTTTTGGTGAGTGAAAATTTTCGCCCATGTTATCCGGTTCCTAAAAATGGTCCCGTAATCAAAACTATGATACTTTCGGCCCTTCAATGGTGCAACTTTCATAGTTAACCCTTGGAATTTCTAGGGAAATTTTCATTAGCAAAAGAAAATTTACGACATATCTTCTCCATATAAAATAAACTCTGGGAAATATCGGAGGATNGGGGGGGGGGGGGGATAAATGCGTATGACCCTGAAAACCATTTTTCCACAGAGTAACGAGATTTTTTTATTTATATATATTACGTAAAATAATCGTACGCATTAATCTTTCCAAATTCAACTCAGAAAAGAGAATGGGACATTTTTCGCATACGTCGCAATCCATACTTTCCGGTCGCGAAAAATGTAAGTATTCTCGAGTCAAGTCGAGCACTAAAATAATCTTAGTGTATTAGACGAAGGAAAAATTCTCTTGCGCGATGTCTTTTTAATGAGATTAGAGAGGACTTTCTTTTTTTAAAAAAGAGGATAGATAATGTCTGTGGGTGCCAAGCTCCAGTCATTTGCCTGACAAACATGCCTGTATTTTGTTTTTATTTACTGATTTGATTTACGTTGTTTTTGTTTTTTTTTCACGAGCGGGAAATTTGAATTTACCATTAACATGTGTAGAATAAAAATGTTGGTTTCTAGTTGCTTACGAGTTAATTTTGGAGGTTTTCATGAGGGTCAACGTCTTCATTATGAACTGTAGATGAGGGAACGAGTATTTTAAGTGTTTGATCGGACTCCATTGTAGCATTTGGGAACTATTATCCTATGCTCTAAAAGCACCCATCTCCGTAGGGAGACTTACAACACATACTTTGTTTCTAAAATGAGAAATGGTGAGTAGTTCCTTTTTGCGAAAGCAGTCTAATCTTACCCCGTCTTTACTGTAAACTGTTAGATGGGTCTCACCTGTGCGTATGTAGATTTGCTTGAGTATCCATAGCGGGTATTTCTCGGCACAAGGGGGACCTCGTCATGCGCACTAATCGTCTCCTGGGAATCAGACATGATGGAGTTTCACCCCCTAATACACAAACACTCATATACTAGTAACAAAACTGCAAAGCATGCTTTGCGTTACGATTACTGTAGGCAATCGCATCTGCTCGGATCTGCGCACTGAAACTACATGACTGGTCAACGATCCGTAGCCATCCAAACCAAACTGTCTGATCTTTGTCTACCGTCCTTGGCGGCCCCTACGTAACTCGCTAGGCTCCGCCCACCGCGAAACCGCGCGCGCACGGTGGAGCGAGCATCGGGCAAGCTTGGACATAACTTTTTAGACTTCAAATTTTAAGGGTTACCCTGTTACATTAATAATGAGGGGTGCTTCCTTTGGAAATTTTCACGAGGAAATTTATGAAAGCACGTTCAAATCTCTACGATTCGTATTGATGAGTGTGAAAGCTTTTCAAAATCCAAGAAAATGTCCGTGTCCAACTTCTCCTAACAACTCGCTCCACTGTGACACGCTGCGCTGCGCTCCCGCTCAGCTGTGCGCTCTGTGCTGTGCCAGATCGATACGGTATTTACGTTGCTTCAAGCGAGAGTGTTTGATGAATGAGCTGGAGTTGGCAACGCTGCACTGAGCTGCATTTACGATACGTAGTAAGGAGTAATTCAGATCATCGCGGTTTGTCACAATGAGACTGCACTTGTTGCATTACAGACTGCAATAACTATCGCTTTTTTCGATGGTCTAGTTGACAAGGTAAGAGGAGGCATATGCCATTAAAATTTTATGTAGAGTCACGGTAGACGCATTCAGAATTTAAATTTGTTTTTGAACATTGGATTCCGCTTTTTGAGGAACGTCCCCTGCAGTCAAATCTTGCATCGAAAAATTCTCTCAAAAGGATATTTGGAGGAGACACCTTTTCATCGAATTTCAAATGTTGGAAAGTATGTAACTTAAACAGTAATTGCATATAAAGATATTATGCGCTGTATAAAACTTGTGTTACGCGCAGATAAGATGGGGGGAAACTGCTGTCTTGAGGAGAAGATGATAAATTCGACTAAAAGAATGTTAATGAATGCTGAGAAATTAGCGTGACCTCAAATGAAATCTAATTTTATCATCAAGCTACCGTGGTAAAAATTGGCGATAGGAGCTGCGTTTCAAAATACCATAGGAGTACTTATAGCCGACTAAAGAAGGCTATAGAAAATTATATAGCTGGCTGTAGAAAGCGGAGAAAATCATACGGCCGGGCTATACGAAGCGATAAAAAGAGCCATGCACAAATTCGCCCGTTTTTGGGCCCTCGAAATTGGGGTCGGTGTGAGGTATTTTTTCATCTATAGGGTGACCCTTTACACATAATAAAATTTCAGATTGAGTATACGCACTGTTTTTGAAATATGGGGGGGGCAAAGTCCCCGATTTTTACTCATATTTGCAGGTATTTTATAGTCGAACTTCGGCTGCTACAAGGTACCGGATGTAGATATTGAAGCGCGGTTTGCGGTGATTTGTCAAGCTATTTCTGGATTATTTTTTCACATCTTTTACAAACCCGCAAATGGTTTTTCGGGGGGGGGGGGGGGAGCTTTATTCATACTATCATGACCGTTCGTATACGTCTTACTGGCATTAATTGCTTCGTTCTCGACTCCTCTCCACGCCGTAATCATGATGGTATTTTCTGTTAGGAATCTTTCTTCTTCTTTATATTTGACCAATTCTAATGTTGTCTCCCCCTTTCTCCCTTTTAAACCCCCCCCCCCCAATTCTAAACACTCCCTCTCAAGTGTATATTCCTGTGCGGCAGATATGAAGGTGTTATTTGTGGGGAATTATTTTCTGTCTTTATGGTTGATAAACTTTGACCCCACCTATTTCCTCCTTCCCCCTTTACCCCTGTTTTCCCCCCCCCCCATTTCCACCGTACCTTACTCGAAGTTGTCTGCTCCCTCTGCAGCAGAAATGAGGATGTTTCCGGTAACTATTACACTATCCGATAACTATTATACTCTCACAAAAAAAAGTATTCAAGCATGTAAAAAAGAGAAAAGAGGGGGGGGCAGTGGAAAGAGGGAATAAGGTAGGAAATATGAACTAGTGAGGGGGGATGGGAAAGAGAAAAAAGGGTGGGGGGTGTCTCCCTTGTATTGAGTTTAAAAAAGTAAAAAATTCTTCGCTGGAAACATCCTCATTTCTGCTGCGGAGGGAGCAGACAACTTCGAGTAAGGTACGGTGGAAATTGGGGGGGGGTGAAACAGGGGTAAAGGGGGGAAGGAGGAAATAGGTGGGGTCAAAGTTTATGAACCATAAAGACAGAAAAATAATTCCCCACAAATAACACCTTCATATCTGCCGCACAGGAATATACACTTGAGAGGGAGTGTTTAGAATTGGGGGGGGGGAGGTTAAAAAGGGAGAAAGGGGGAGACAACATTAGAATTGGTCAAATATAAAGAAGAAGAAAGATTCCTAACAGAAAATACCATCATGATTACGGCGTGGAGAGGAGTCGAGAACGAAGCAATTAATGCCAGTAAGACGTATACGAACGGTCATGATAACATGAATAAAGCTCCCCCCCCCCCGAAAAACCATTTGCGGGTTTGTAAAAGATGTGAAAAAATAATCCAGAAATAGCTTGACAAATCACCGCAAACCGCGCTTCAATATCTACATCCGGTACCTTGTAGCAGCCGAAGTTCGACTATAAAATACCTGCAAATATGAGTAAAAATCGGGGACTTTGCCCCCCCCATATTTCAAAAACGGTGCGTATACTCAATCTGAAATTTTATTATGTGTAAAGGGTCACCCTATAGATGAAAAAATACCTCACACCGACCCCAATTTCGAGGCTCTTTATGGATGCGGGCTATAGTTCCTATCGCCGGGCTTTACACTCTATCGCCTGGTTTTTGCTTTATCGTCATCGGCTATAAAAGGCTAGAAGAAATTGTGTAGAAATTTGTGTGCTTTGTAAATCCTTAAGTTTGTACGGAATCACCTTAATATTGACAAAACACACATCATATTTTCCTTTAATAGCTATTTTTTTCATCAACTAAAATGAGTATAAATATTAGAGTCTAACAGAAAGCGGTGCGGCAACGCACAGGCGCCTACAAACCTAACAGGGATACTTCACGCATTGCGCAACGCGTGAAGTATCCCTGTTAGGTTTGTAGGCGTCAATGCGCGTTTCGCGCTGGCTGCCCGCCTGCCGCGCCGCAGCGTGCCACAGCGCTTGAAGCAACTATTTCACACAAGAGATATTGAACAGTATCATACGAAATTAAAGGCGCTCTAATATATTAGTAATGACAGGGATCCATCAAAAGTACGAAGCTTTCCTCGCAAAATAAATCAAGATACTGCGGCCCAAAAAGAGAGCGGTATTCCAAAAACTCACTAAGTCCTAGCATCCGAAATTAGTAACGTTTAGCATGCACTTTATCGCCTTGCTATTGCTTAATCGCCATCGGCTATAAAAGGCTATAAGAAATTGTGTAGCCGGCTATAGAAGCTATTGGAAATCTTACAGCCGGCTGTAGGTCTATAGTATTTTGGAACACAGATTCTACTGCCAATTTTTACCAGGGTATAACTATAGCTTGGGTTTTTTTCCCAATGCAATCTGCAAATCCCTTCTTTTTTAGCATTGTCTGAACTTGCTCACTATCAATCAAATGACTGATTGTGAGTGAAATTCATGAAATATTCTGGAATGCAACAGTATTAAAATATGAACTAGCTCAAAGTGAATTGAGGCACCTCTTGCTCTGACGCGTGCGATGGCGTTTTATGAAAGTAACGCCTTGATACACCTATTCGTCCTTTACGGATGTGCGTGTTGCCTTTCCTATAAATGAAGGAACTCTAGCTATTCTTACCTCAACACCCAACTACAAGACGTGCCGTACCTTTATAACTTTAAATCTTTAGACGGCTTTGTAAATTTTTCGAATGTTATGCCCATGGAAAGTATATGTAAAAAAGGAACAAACGTATTAAAGTTTACAAAGCGCAATTTGATGGTCGATACCTTAGGTATAATCACGCTATAAAAGAAAGAGTGATACAAAAAAATGTACAAAAGAACTTATCGATGTTTCGGTTGACCATTGGGCACCATTTATTCGAAGATTTTATCGATTAATTCAACGGGAAATAATATACGAAAAGTTGTTCTTCTTCTTCTTCTTCTTCTTCTTCTTCTTCTTCTTCTTCTTCTTCTTCTTTTGTGCGTGTAGTTCGCGTTTAATTTACAGGTATGGATTTGATGTTCAACGGACTAAATTTCACCGGTGACTGCGTGCAATCCTCAGTGATAAAGAAATTTTAAAAATAATATATCAAAATGTGCCTTTCCAAAATATGAATGTCTTTGGTTTTTTTCTTTTAAATTTTATGTGTTTACTTTTCTTATAAAAAAATATGAAAAGATTACAGTAATTTATTGTGCTCCAAATTACCTTAATTTTCTTTATGCTTAAAACAAGTATCAGAGCGAAAAAAATACCGCGTTCTCCCGCTCTCCACAGGCGGATCCAGCAACTTGGCAACACCGGATTCCCTCCATTTAAACCTATGTTAAATAATCGATTCTTGTCGGAGCACCTGAACCCTCTTAGAATCTATACGTTTCCATAAGTTTAAATGGAGAAAAGCAGTGTTGCAAATTTGCTGAATCCGCAAATGCTGCTCTCTTCGACCCTTGTCAGAATCAGTGTGCATTATCTTCGTATCGCCCTCGTCACCTCATAAAAAAATAAATCATAATGATAAATACATTGCTCGTATTCCTTGTTATCAATTTCAAGTTTTTAATCCAATGCCTGTATCATTAAGTGCTTAATCGTTCACCTCAACAACTATTATCTCTTTCATATATTGTATTTTATTATCAATTTGCGATTTGACGCGCCGTTCTTTTTTCTTCTTTTTATCAGGTCCGGCTTGGTACATTCATATCAACATTTATTTGCGTGAAAATATTTGTATTTGCAAGCCATCTCATGAGTGATAAATACTGTCAAATTGGCACCACTGCTATTTCCTGAATGAAAATTAAGTAAAAATGAACCATAACCCTGCATATTGATGGCTTTTGTAAAAAAAAAAAATGCTTATCTCGGATTGCGAAATTGTATGAGCAGATATGTTTCATTTTCTTTCTTTTCTTTTTATAGAAAAACTGACAGTTTTTATTAAAATTTGCTGAAAATTTTCTTCTCTCATTCTAAATGAATCACACACATATATTCAATGAAACATTTTGATTTGCTTTACTTGAAAAGAGGTTTTTTCTTTTCTTTTTTTTTGCGGAAAACAGTCTTTCGAAAAGAAAATAACCAGGATACACTTAGGTTCAGATTGACAATGAGTGATAATTCTCATACATTCCTGCACAACGTTTTTTACAGCTGCAATATTTGCTGTTGATCATTGTAGACTGAGCTTTGATACGTTCAAATTCCTCATGCTCCTAACAATGAAATCCTGAAACCCGGTATCTCGGTTTAGGTATTTTAACATCTACTTTCTTACATAATTTTTAATGGGAAATGAATCAACATCATTCCTTGTTATTTTCACGGAGAATTCCTCACCAGAGAAAAAAAACAAACACAAAAGTTTTCAACGAACAACGTTGAATAGTTTTTCCTTTAAAAAATAATACGTCACGTGGTTATAGAGTTTTATCGTCAATGTGTTTGAAACTCTAAAACTACCCCTTACGATACATACCTACAAACTGAACAGATTATGCGTAATTGAGGAGACCTTTCCACGAGGTCAGTGACCAAATTGTCTGTGCCGCCAATACAATCACCAGCTCAAAAACAAATACCGCACTCTTCGATATGCCGACAGTAGAATAAATATTGACTTTCTCTCTACATTATTAAAAGCTGTGACACTATTTCGCGGCACCCGCAAATAGATGAAGTAAAAGCGTAGTTCATCATCATAAATCCCATTAAAGTAGACACCTGAAGGTCTCGTGTGATCAAACGAAAATTTTTAAAAATTTGAAGGTGTATAAACACAAAACTAGAAACTTCCAAACGAACTGTGAGGAGTTCTTCGTCCAGGAATGATGATACTTTAAATCTGCCAATTCAAAAACATCGAATCTGACATTACGTGCAGAAATTTGCGAATATGTGTACAGAGCTCTCAAAGAAAAGTTGCCAATTTTTGGTCACCTCACACACAAAATTGTTTTATAACATCCAACAACCGCACCAATCCACACTTCCGCACTTCGGCCATTGATATTCATTTTTCGCTTATGCACGCAAAGTTCCCTGGGGTCGTGCCAGAAATTTGGGGAGTTATATTGGACAAAACCCCGGATATTGACCAAACCAAAATTCACACCGTGAGCTGTTTCCATAGAGTACATAGAGTCGAAATGTAAGTGAAAGAGCCACTTTTAAGCATTTTCCAGGTCTCCAATTCCAAGACTCCTGTGGGACACCGGGTCACTTTTTCGATACATAATCGATTGTCTTCAATACACGGGGACCCGGCCATCCGATGTAAACAAAGAATGTAGGAATTACTACGTATTCCACACCGCCATTTTGGATCGAATATGTGTCGAAAAAGTAACCATCGCTCGGCGCACACCTGGCTCGGAACTCTTCGACCAGAACATGGCGCCAGCTCTCCCATTTACATTACGACTCTGTGCACTATGCTCACTGCGACCTCTATGCACTCTATGGCTGTTTCCGTATCACAGTAAATTCTTTTTTAATCAAGATCTTACTCCTTGCGGACGGTTTCATTTTCAAATGACCACATTTTCTTCGATGTTAGGTTAATTGACTAATATTTCATCCGTCTGTCGATGGAGTTGTTTTCCTCGCGGTTGTAATTTCCCGCGAAATATTGCTCAATCTGCTCCAGCGATTTCCCCTCGGTCTCAGGAAAGTAGAAGAAGTAATACGTGAGTCCAATCAGCGTCCCTGCGCCGTGTAGATACATCATCCAACTGAAGCCCAACCACGCCTCGGTATAAATATAAAACTTAACCATCAGTCCCATCACCACATGTGCCCAAGCGGCCGAAATACCAACTGCAAGACCACGTCCTCTGCAAAAAAAATAGTCTTCAGATCAGGTTTAAAAATGCAAAATTACCCAGACCACTTCAGCAAACCCAACCTAATCTAATCCAGCTGAATCTAATCCAACCGAATCTTTCCTAACAACCTAATGTGAACAAACCTCACCTCACCTAACCCAACACTGTTAAAGTCGAGGAGTGAAATTCGGTGCTAGAGTCTATATCGTGTCTAAAAAACCCGATTAATATGAGTTCTAAGTGAAATTAGAACCATATAAGCGTATGATACTCCACAAAAAGAGCAGATCGATTCCGCTCGGTAATGAGTAACCTGTAAGTCAACCTGGAAGGAGAATAGGTCCGCATCCGCTCCGCTTTCACATCACCGCGCTATATTCACTCCGACACAGAATTTCACTCCAAAATGTTTAACAGTGAACCTGCAGTTAAATTACTGAAATAAAATGAAATAAACGCCATGAAACTGCGATAGTTTTACCACATTCATCGGTCAATTTAATGCCAATACACAATTTATAATATGTATAAAGCAACATTGCAACTTATCTCAATTTTGTACCTTAATTTTATCTCAAATTTCAATAAGAGCAGCTCTTTCAATTAGTAGATAGGCAAAATGAACAACAATGGCCATAATTTTACCATGAACTGTATTGAAATGTATCGCATGGTAAATTTTTGTATAAGAAACAACAAGTATAGATCTCGAATTTTCTTTGGGAGGAAATACTCCTTCATAGGAGCGAACATGCAGAAAACGGTCTCTGTCCTCTCTTTTAATTGATCAAATTCAAAATGAACTACATTTCACAATTAGGAACTGCAATTTCCGGCTATTTCGTAAAAACACATATGTCTACAAGGAAACCGACGGTACGTACGTTTTTTCTCAATTGAGCCAGAAATTGTAGTTCCTAATTGAAAAATGCAGCAACTTACGCCACCGGAAAGACCTCACATATGAGCTGCCAAGGCAAGACTGATATACTAAGCCCGCAGACTACATTCAGTAAAAGCCAAAAGATGATAGGGATCCACCGCAGTTGTACGTATGAACCAGCATCTCGGAGAAAAGAAGAATAAGCACCCATGCCGAGGATACAACAAGCTGCAACCGCGTGAGAAAATAACGCAATTTTCCGCTTCCCAAAGCGACGCAAAAACGCCACGTTCATTATTGCACCGATGAAGAGAGAACCTGTAGAGGATACCTGTAAACAAACCGTACTGGAAGTAAAAAGGAGACTCTTGCCCATGTAGCACGGAATGAAAATGTTAAAATAAAATTGCCATTCTGTAAAAAATGTTCAATATTTTTACATCATTTGGTCAGTATATGTCCATTTCAAACGATCAATAAAATGAGCTCCACATGTCAGGACGATAGGCAATTTGAGATGCAATTGGACTTATCTGAATTTTATTGCAATATATTTCAATAATTTCTCCTTCAATCAGCAGATAGGCAACATACACAACACTATGATGCAGTACCAATAATTTTACCATGTAACTGCAATTTATTGCAATCTGTTCTACTTTTGTATCGATATATAATACTCTACTCTGTAAACATGGGCCTTCGGACTCTGTCAAATTTTCCCTAATAAATTACGACTTATAGGGACAACCAATGGGTAATTTTACATAGGGTGTCCCAAAAGTACCGAGACTGGTTTTGTAACTTCCAAAGTAAGATAGATACAGACATGATCTTGGTCACATTTTAAAGATCAACTCAATACCTATCGATTAAGACCAAGATCAGCTCAATCGAATAAAAATTGACCGAGTTATGGCAATTTGAAATCAGTGAGGAAAGTTTACCCCTACGGTTTTTTAGGAAGATTTTTCGCTTACCAGGATTCAAAAAGTTAATATTCGTATCCGCTTTCCTCCGAATCTTCCATAATTTACTTTTGCTTTTCAAAGCATCGTCCATCAAACCGGATGCACTTTTTCATGAGCTCCTGCCACATATCCAACATTGTTTTCCTGAATTCTTCCTCTGGGATGGCGTAGAAAAAGTTCTGAACTGCATTCTGGATTTCGGTCTTCGATTCGAATCTTCGTCCGCGAAGCTCCTTTTTAAGCGCAGGAAACATCCAAAAATCACATGGAGCCAAGCCAGGGCTATAAGGTGGATGAGGGATTGTTTCAACTCCATTATTACTCATAAATTCACGTGTTAAGTTCGATGTGTGAGGCCGCGCATTGTCTTGTTGGAGTATCCACGAAGCTTTCAAGTCCGGCCGTTTCCGGGAGATGTGCATTCTCAACTCCTTTAGCACTTTGCAATAATACGCACTGTCAACTGTTGTGTTTGGTGGTACAAAATGTTGATAAATGACACCTCGAAAATCAAAAAACACAATAAGCATCACTTTACAGGCCGATTTTTCGATTTACGGCGATGAAGAATCTTCATGAAAAACCGTAGGGGTAAACTTTCCTCACCGATTTCAAATGGCCATAACTCGGTCAATTTTTATTCGATTGAGCCGATCTTGGTTTTAATCGATAGGTATTGAGTTGATCTTTCAAATGAAACCAAGATCATGGCTGTATCTATCTTACTTTCGAAGTTACAGAACCAGTCTCGGTACTTTTGGGACATCCTATGTATTTTAATCTATCAGGGAATTTCATTAGTTTATGACTCGGAGCAGCTGAAAACCTCACGGAGAAATATTTATACCCAGCTTTTGAGCTTAAAATTTTATTTAGGGATTCTTTGTGACATTTCTTGTGTTTGAACGTAAAAATAGATTAGAAGTTCGCATAGCCCCTGACTTCGTTTCTTTTTTATTTAATACTTACCAAAATTAATCTTGCGTCGATAGGAGATTTTAGCTCCTGAATCTCGCGGATGAAATATGGCCTGATACCCGCCAGAAACGCTGTTAAACTAACTACAACTACTATGAAAACCAAGCGCAGAGGACGCAGTACCTTTCTGCTTGTCATTATTTTGTAATTCGTTGCCAAATAGCGAGTTCCTTTCGCGAAAAATCCGTCTGAAATCAGATTCGAATGTAAAATAGTTGGTGAGACTGCTTTGAAAGAACATAATTTGATATTTTTGTTCATTCAGAAAAAATAGAAAAATAGTTTTGCTCTCCACGCAAACAGAAGAGATGTCTATGTAAAGGTAATGGTACAAAAATCGTCATTCTTAGGCATTTCACAGTCCTTTGACTGAAGAGAAAACAATCTGAGAACAGTTCCGTGGAGTGCTTTGCGATATATCGATTGACCTGCCATTTAAATCTATGGCAAAGGATCGATAAACTTGGTGTTCGCAACGAACACCTTAATAATCGATTCTTTACCATTGCTCCAGATGGGGAAATATCTATAATCGATCATTCATGCCTCGCAATTGTTCAAAAAAAATGTTTGTTCGTGCGTTAGGTGTCTTCCGCCATGAAGTAGTGTGTGCGGACATATCTAAGCGACTAATCGTCACAATTCGTTCAAAATTGACAGAAGGACCACGTGCATAGTCTCTAAGTGCCGTATCTCAGAAAAACACCGATATTAAAAAGGCTATGGAACAAAAGCAATAAATTGGCCCAAGTACCAAAATCTCTATCGTCAGCTGTTCTTTACAAAACTTACCTTTCTTGGTTTGATCCGATCCGTTAGAGCTGCTTTCATTTTGTTCTGTCGAATTCCTGACATAGTTTACTAAATTTTTAAATTCTGTCTCCACTTTGTTCGGTTCAACCCAACCTCGCAACCAACATAGAGATTTCATGGCATCGTCCAGGCGGTTCTTTGATATCAGCCAAGTCGGGGACTCGGGTATCTGCATAAATAAATAGATGATGGGTAGACAGAATTTGTTTTCTATAAAAGATACGTTTCAATCTGACAATTAATTCTTCCACCTGAGAAACAGTTCTCGGCATATAATTGATCATACGATAACTTCCGAAATATTTACTCTGGGACGTGCCGCACATTTGCTCTGGTTACTCAGCGTGAAACTCGGATGAATGATATGAGCGCCTGCAAGACTGTGGGAATACTTCACGCATTGCGCCAAACTGTGCGGTCGGCTAGCGCCTACAAGACTGCATGAATACTTCTCGCATTGCGCCAGACTATGAGTTCAGTCGGCGATACGCACATTTCTATTGGTTACTCAACGTGAAACTCGGATGGAAGCAAGGTGGAAGAAAGCAAGGGCTGTTCCTTTTTTTCAATTTGACGTCTGATTCTTTGTTCCTTAGGATGTATTCGTAGACCTATATCGAAAGCTATTACGTGATGGTCCCATAAACAATCCGCGGGCACATGTTTTTACTGAGCTTCGGGTCAAGCTTGGGCATCTACGGGTTAACATCTAATGCTCCGAAAAAAGTTTGCTTCTGTCACGCTATGATTAAAACCGATTTAATTCAAGCACGTGCGAATAAACGTTTTAAAAAAATCAAGGTTTTAGCAAGACTGGTCCATTTTCCTTGTTTTTTATGTAGGCCTACAAAACGCAGTAGAAAGGGGGAGAGAAAATTTATCCTACCTCTCTCCCCCCTCAAAATGGCGCCAATAAGCGTCAGCTGTATATTTCTTGAAAAATCTATTCGAGAGATAAATGACTGGACATTGACCTTTTGAAACATTAAAAATGTGCTTAAATCAAATATTTCAAGTACATTGGTCTTTTACGACTAGTTCTGAGCACGTCCGATTGATTAAAAATTTATCTACTCCTAAGATTAGCCTCAACTCATACGGGTAGAGGATATGGGCTTCTTTTTAAAAATGAAAAATAAAATATATTTTCTTTAAACTTTTTAATGGAGGTCGGTATGTACATGCTAAGATTTTTGGTCGTTACCTGAGTTAAGAGTGCGAAAGTTACAATAGGAAACGCACTGCAGATCAAAGCAACAGATCGCCAATTGAAGAAGTAATTCAAGGCGAATACGACTGAAGCACCTGGAAAACATATTTGAATTGTACTGCATTTTGCAATTTGGAACTATAAATTCTAGCCCGGTTTAAAAACAACGTATGTGCTATTATTTTCCCTATGCATATAAGTGTTTTTCCAGAAGAGCTATAATTTATAGTTCCAAATTGCAAAATGCAGTCCAATTGAGTGATGAATGATCTTTAATCCTGCCGTGCTAAGGAAAAACGCCGTATGAGTATTTGAATGTTGCCAAATTTCCACTCAGCAAAGATCCGTTTTTAAAGATAGTTATTGATATTCAGACCTGAAATTTTCAGCTTTTTTAGATCAAATTTCGAACAAAATACTTCGAAAAATCGGAAAGGAAATATTCACGAATTTTCCTGAAAATTCGTTGTTTTTCGAAGGTAATATGGCAACGCCTGATGGCTTGAACGGCGTTCTTCCCTAGCACGGCAGAATGAGTAACATCATAACTCGAATCGAATATAACGGTCAAGAAAATTAGATTTATAGTCACCGAGGATAGTTCAAAAATCTTTAAAGCACAATCTTTAGTCTATGACAAACAATGGAAACTTGAGGAGTCAGATAAATCAGTTATAATGTGTGATGATAAAAAGATTATCATTGGCTTTTTTTTCTCTCTCTCTACATGATTCCATATATCAAAACACACTAAAAAAAAATTACGAGCTAAATGCTATATAGACATACCTTCCGTTTCGGACTCAGAGACCGAAAGTTCCGGGTGCTGGAGCTGTTGCTTCTGCTGCTCCGACTGCTACGCCCAGAACGAAGACGGTATGTCTATGGAGCCCGTAAGCACGGCTTTCACGGCCGAAGGTTTTTTTTCAGTGCATAAAAATGAAAACTGACACTATAAATTTTCCTTCTTCAATCCTCTGATCCCAGAGAATCCCCTTTAGCACTGCGATAGCTATCCTTTTTTGCAAATTTTGATGTCTCATTGCCAAACAAAATATTCCTCTTCGGATATTTACTTTCGAAAATGAAAGCCTGAGGACCTCTCGTCGACATAAAAGTCTGACAAACGTCTGCAATAGACTTAGGATGAGTCATAACAGCACTTAAGTCCACTATACTGTCATACTAAGGAAGAACGCCGTATGAACCTTCAGGCGTTGCCAAATTGCCTTTGATAAAACACGAATTTCCTGTTAAACTTATGAATATTTTTCTTCCAATTTTTCAGGTTATTTTGCTCGCAATTCCACCGAAAAGACCTGGAAATTTCAAGAGAAAATATTCATAACTTTCCTAAAAAATGAACATTTTACCGAAGGAAATTTGGCAACTCTCGAACGTTCATACGGCGTTTTTTCTTGGCATGGCAGCACAGGACATCTGATTGGATCCTCCGTTGAATGAGCCCATCGCCGATTTCCAACCTCGACTCTGACTCATTCGATAAACCCTGAAGCAAAAGCTGAAAAAATCAAAATATTAAAATACCTATGATAGCTGCTGAAACTGAGATGGTGGACATGGTGCCTCTTAAGAGAGGTTCTCCGATTTCCCCGGTGTAGGCGTGGAGGGGGGCCTCGGTGAGCCCTCTGCAGAGTCCGAAAATCAGGACAACTGCGTACAAGGCGTATACGGATTGGGCAAAGTACAGAGTCATCCAAGCCCCGAAAAGTGGAATCGTTGTAGAAATCATTGATCCCTTCCGGCCTAACTTCTCTTGGAAAAAACCGGAGGTGAGGCTAGCCACGGGGTGGACAATATTAAGAATACTCCCTGAAAAAAGAACACGATAAAATCAGGGGAGGAATAGACTATATGAGAGCAAGTTGTAATCAGTTGACTAGGCGGGGCGAAAATCAAGTTTGGAGGTCGCAGGGCCGGATTTACCTACTTGCCGCCCATGGGCCGCCTGTATTTTTCCATCCCCTTCTCGTTCATTTTGAAACATCAATAGATCGTACTCGACAGTGGTTCGATGTATCGTTTGGTTCAAAACAATAGAACATAGCCTCAAACAAAAATTTTAGGATTTAATTCGGAAAAGCTGCGAAAATGATAAAATTCCTACAATTTCACTTTTCATTGTCATTTGGTACTCGAGAGAATAACAATTCGATCACATAACATCCGTTACCTCAGATTTCTAAATTGACTTTTGAGGCTGTGGTTACACATTGAATCGATATCAATATAATCTCACCTGCGTGATCTGTCGAATACGATCTATAAAAACCATCAAGTGAACATGCCGGTGGAGGAGGGGTGTATGAGACGCGTTTGCTCGTGTTGGGCACATTTTATGTGAAAGCCCTGTCAGTAGTTAACAAAAGTTCAGTTCCGTAAATCTACCCCTTCTTAAACAGGGCTTTTCAACGAACGAAACAATTATGAAAGAACAAACATAAATGTGGTTAATAAGTTTAATTTCCGCCGCTGCCCGACCGCACTGTGTTGGCGCAATGCGTGAAGTATTCATGCAGTCTTGTAGGCGCTATGCGTTTCGAGCCGACTGCTGCTGACCGCAGTGTGTTTGATGCAATGCGTGAAGTATTCATGCAGTCTTGTAGGCGCTATGCGTTTCATGCCGACCGCCGCTGCGCCGCTCCGGTCAAATTGCGTGTTTGGTTTCTCTCTTAACTCGACTAATTAAAGGTGTTGTCTCTCTTATCACCGATAGACGACAAAATTAGAAATTACTATACTTTTACTCTCAGGAAATGAGAGATTATGTCGCCTTTTCTCGTTTGTAATTTATTTTTTGAATCCAATTTTTTTCTCTCTTTTTTTTAATACCTACATTCAAAAAGATTGCAAAATTTGCCGCCCCTTACATTTTGCCGCCATGGGCCGGGGGCAATGTGGCCACTCCCTTAATCCGGCCCTGAGAGGTCAAGGCTATTTTTCGCCTGATGATGATTTGTGACTATTTGTGAACATAAAATTCGCTAATTGATGACTGATATGAATGTCGGGGTAAGCACTTTATTAGGTGAGTTTTTGTCAGGGACAAAATTAACCCTCCACTAACCACTTGCTGTACTCGTTGGTAGTCAGTTATATCACTAGGCAAATATTCCTATTGTGCGTGTTGCGTGCAGGTGAAAATAAAGGGGTTTTAATTTTCTTGCACCCAAGAGTGTTTGCTTTAGCGTTCAATAGTAATTTGGGTAAATATTGAATGAGTATATCTCAGCTAGATCAGTTAAGGCGGTCTATCTCTGCGTTTATGCAAAAAAAAAAAATATATTTTCGATAAGTATTATTTGTAATTATTTGATACTGACCAAACCAAGATGCCTGATCATCGTTCATATTGAGGGCCTCCGAGGAATTCCTGTGAAGTGCACCGATCACGAGAATTGGAATGCCCATCTCCAGACCGTGATCAAAAATCAAACAGCTTTGTATAAGTGCAACCAAAATCTGTGGAATTTCTCAGACATCAAAAAATTATTGATACTTGATTCATTAATCGATTAATAATGATAAGGGGAGGAAAATTATGGCAGATTCTCGTTCATATAACGGAATTCTATTTATTGTGGGACCCTCACACATATCAATCCGACGAGGTTGTAAATTAGAAACCTTCACAACAAAGCAATCCAAAATTTCTCGCTGGGTCAGCTCCAAAAAATATCAGACCGATCAGACTTGCTCAATAGTCTCTTTGAATCCATAAAAGCATGATTACGATCTTCTCTTCTTTTTCAAGTCTTATTCTCCAGGGATCACTTTCTAGGTATGTTACGCTGGTTAAATTGTAGACGGAAAAAATTAAATTGCTGATTTAACAATTCAATTGTAAAAAAAGTGACTGTAATATTTTAACGTAGATTTCACAACAAAAAATGCTACTTTAACCACTATTTTAAGCCAATTTAACCACGGGGGTGGCTAAAGTAGCATTTTTCGTTGTAAAATCTATATTAAAATATTGCAGTCACTTTTTTTAGCAACTGAATTGTTAAATCAGCAATTTAATTTTTTCCGTGAGAGAAATAATAAATTTTTTCAGACATTTCAGATTTAATTGATTCATTCCCAAACTTTTTCTTTTAATGAAAAACAATACGATTCGATTGACTTATCAGTAGACCACAGACGCGTATACGCTCTAATCTAACACTAACAAAGAGTTACGCCAATATGCATCCCCTGACTGCTTCGAGGTACAACCCCTATAACTCTTCGCGCCTCAGATGTTATGCGTTGCTCCTTACTCTTGTAATTTTAAATAATTGACAAAATAGGGAAATGAGAAAAGATAACAAACCTGAGCAAAACCGGATCGGTATGAAGACTTTGTTTGATGGTTTGATGTTGACTTGCCATGTTGAACATCAGAGCCTCTAGATGGCACCACAGTATCAGTCATGGTAACAGTCGCTGAGGGTAGTTTTACGAGATCCAAAAGTCAGTCACAGGTTACCGAGTCAACGTTAAGTTATCCTAATGTTCAAGTCTCTTCGACTTTGATTCAAAAGAGCACTTGGGGCGCTCTTGTTACTGGCCGGGAAAATGCAGCATGACTGTAAAATCACACAACCAGGAGGGATTGATGCACTGAAAAAAACCAGTTGTTATAAGCACCAAAGTGTTAATGTTTCTTATGAGCCTTAAATTAATGACGGCTATAACTGATTATAAAATTGTTTTTATTGTCCTGTTTTTATGAGGTTACAACCTCATTTTCAACCGTAAAAAAGAGAGCAAAAATGAGTTGCCGATTCACGCTTGTTGCGAGAACGAGACTTTATTTAGTATTTTTATCAATACTGCCGTGCTAAGGAAAAATGCCATGAACATTCGAGAGATGCCAAATTTCTTTCGCTAAAATGTTTATTTTTAAGGTAAGTTGCAAAAAAATTTTTCTTCCACTATTCAGGAACTTAAGAAGAAATTGAGGACGAAAGTATCAGAAAAATTGGAAGGAAAATATCCATTAGTTTAACAGGAAATTCGTATTTTATCAAAGGAAATTTGGCAATGGAAGGTCCATACGGCGTTTTCCTTCACGGAAAAATAGGTGACCCTACGGCCTACGGTTCGGCGGCTAGATATCGCTGAGCGGTGTAACAAAGGCTCATTTACAAAATAGATACACAAAAAAATATTTTTTCAAAACTTATTTTTGGAAGCTGTGACGAAAAGATTGAGAGTTGAGAGCATTCTCAATACTGCGTTTTGCTCAGAGCATGCGCAGTGAAACGAACGTAGGTAACAAAGAGAAAACAGAATTAAATAACCGAATTCATTGAGTTTGTCTTAAGCTCGAAGCACAACTAAGAAGAATCTAAATCCCTTGATAACTAAGCGGCCAAAGTATAATCACTTACCTAAGACTTCCAAGCATCAAACTGTCAGTGATTGGTCAAAAAACCACAAGGATGCCTAATCAAATTGCATGGAACATAGCATATAAGGCTGCACAAAAGTTTACGTGACTTCGATTGGGACGAAAAAAAAACAACAAAAAAAAAAAAACAATGATTAAACAAAAACACGGATTGACTGTTTCAATTATACATATGTTATGAACACATTGAATTGGCACACTAGAAAATAGCTTGCACTTTCCTTGAATGATACAAGTGCTACTATCTTCACACCGTATCTTTGATTATTGATTGTTAGAGTTTATTTTTAATTAAGTTTTTCCGCGCATTTGCTGGAGTTTGGCCTCGTTTTTTACAATCCCCTCTTCGGATAAAGTAGACACTCGCTATCTAAAAGTACACTTAAACGACTTGAAAAGCTTGAAATCCGAGTGCTTCAGGTTGGTCATCAGATCAAATAAATGAGAAAAAATAAGTAATTTCATTAAAAAAGAAAAGGATTTGGTGCTAAAATGTGAACATGCACGATGACACCCAGCTCCTGATTTTTTATGTGGAATAATTTAAAATAATAATCTCTTAAATAAGGAGGTTTGTTGTGGATTGTATTCGATACATCAAATAGATGAGATTGTATCGATGTCGATTGGTTCAACTTGTAAACATAGCCTCAGAAGTCAATTGAGCAATCTGTGGGGACGGGTTTTTTGTGATAGATTTTTTATTCTTATAAGTGCAATATGACAATGAAAAGTGAAATTGTTCGGAATTTCTCCATTTAAGCTTTTCCAACCTAAATCCTAAAAGTTTTGTTTGAGGTTATGTTCTATTGTTTTGAACCAACCGATGCATCGAACTACAGTGGATATCGGATATAACGACATCGGTTATAACGACATATCGGGCATAACGACGTAAACTGGTCGGTCCCGGCTGAAATCCCATTCATTCAATGTGTTTATGTATCGGTTATAACGACATCGCATATAACGACTTATCGGTCATAGCGACGGAGTTTTCGCGTCCCAACAGATGTGGTGGTCGGTTATAACGACCTGAGCGACAGCAGCAGAGGCCGAGGAGGAGAGGATCTCGTTTCCAGACGCCCTAGAAGCCATCACAACTGTTCAAAAATTCCTAATTTTGAACTCAGAATGGAACGATTCCACTTTATCACACTTTACGCTCGGCCCTTAGAGCGTTACAAAAAGGGTACGCGAACACGATTGTGAAGCAAAAAGAAATCACGAACTATTATTCAAATTAGAAGTTTTATACTTCTTCGGTATTGCGCATATGTACTGCAAACATAATGTAGTGTGTAGTGCATGTATTCTCAATATTATAAAATACCTTGTTTTTACAAATTCAAACAAAGTGTTTTAATTAAAATAAGTCCTAGAACACAAAAATAAATGAATTAAATAAATATTCAATTCAAATAAAATTAGATGAAGCTAATAAACAAAGGTGTTACTGAAGAGATAATGAATCAGCAGCAAAATTCACCGGGCCCTGGAATCCCACCTACAGCACAGCCTTGTCCTCAGCTCTTTAACATAGGGTACGTGCGTAAAAATTCCACTATCGGTTATAACGACTATCGGCTATAACGACCGAATATGGCTGGTCCCTTCAAGGTCGTTATATCCGATATCCACTGTACTATCGAATATGATCTATTATTCTAGAAAAAAATCAATATGATCACATTTTACTCACTCTTTGATAAAAAATCTGAAGAGTTTTTAACCAGTAACGCATTACGCCTGAGGCGAGAAGCGCTTCAAGAGGTTGGACCGCAAAGCGGTCAGCCCCCCCCCCCCCCCCCCCC